TCTTAACTCTGAATTAGTACAAAATCGTTTAAAACATTTCCTTTGGTTATAGGACCCTTGGTCAATCCAAAATTTATTGTTGGAGTTTACATTTCTTGCTAATAAGGGAATATTATATTTCATAAAATTTAACAAAGGCATTTGGTATTTTAAAATTTAACGATTTCGGATGGCATTTTATTGTCAAGCCAATTTGGATGAAATATCTATAATAAAGATAATAAAAAATACGGCAATAATGTACCAAAAAATATATTTTCGATTAAAAAAACACGCTTTAGCATACAGTTTAAATGATTAATTGGACTATAGTATTTTTCTTATTTTGAAGTGCAGATTATTAACATTATATGAATTAAACACGCAAGTCCGTGCCATATTTTAAGTCGGCTATAATTAATTTGTAAATGATTTAAGGGCTGATTATGAAAACATATGTAGTACGAAATGTACGGTGTATATTAAACGAGGAGTTTAGCTGCGCACTATACAAACCACAAATCTATGTCATTCTTACATGAAGTGCATTTAATTAATGTTGTTTTTTATCCTGCAGCATGCATTCCTTGCGGACTGCTTTGACCGCATCATGGAGGAGCGCAAGTGGGACGACAGCGGCGACTAGGGAAGGCGGAAGGCGGTGCAGGAGGAGCAGGCGGAGCCAGTGGAGCAGAAGGAGCAGCAGCGGCGCCGACGACGGCAGGAAGCACAGATTAAGCAGCCTAGCACCATACCGAACATCACCAGGCGGACCGAGGCATTGCACATTGTTCGTTAGGTGGTCGGTGGATCCAACCCAGTCGCTGACCTCTCCGCTTCTAAACCCACATACGACCACATCCCCTTCGGTTAGCATGCCATATTCCGGCTGGTCAGTTTTTTGGGCGCTCCGGAATCTGAAGACTCAGATTCGTGCTTGCCAAACTGCTGCACCTAAAGCCTCACCACCCATATATATTGTAAAGTATATTTGGCACTGATATATATACACATATATAATTTGTACATTGACAAGCAATTGCAATCGCCTTGGCTCTCAATGCTCCAGTTAAGGAGGAGGATTGGATGGAATGGTCTGGTCAAACGGATATTAACGGAGTTGGAAAATGTTAACAGCAGCAACAAAAATGTTTCAAATGTTTTCGGCACTTAGCACATAGAGCAAACACAGGCACCAATTTAGATCAAGCAGAACCGACGATTCTCATTATACAATATATATAAATATACACACACCACTCACAGACATGCATACATTATAAACGACACAAAAAAATATATCGAAGAGTATATTTAAGCCAACCTCAGCGTAATATTTAATTCATACTTTTCCAAATACCTTTTGTTCTGTTTTGTTTGTATATTTTGTTCATAGGAAAGCAGCGGCTTAAAATGGAAATCTATGAAAAATAAATTGTAAAAAGTCAATTTTAATTATAATGTTTAGCAATCAAATCAACAAACATTGATCATTTATTTATTTGTATGTACGTAGGAAAGCCTAGAACGAACTCAACTGAACGCAACAAACCGAAATCAGAGTAAACGCAAAAGAAAAGCAGGTTGGCAACAAGCAAATGCTAAACGAAACAATATAAATTTAATAGTAAACTAAAGCGATGTAATGTTGAAAATAATGTACTCATTCGAAAACTTTCTATAGAAACTGTTAGTTAAAATTAAGGTAACGTTAATAGTTATTGAACAAATGCGAAAACGAGACTCAAAACTCAACTAAACTCTCAAAACCGAACTCAAAAATTAACCCAGAAAGAGACGGCAGGCGGACAGAAGAAAGAGAGAGAGAGAACACAAATAGCAAAAATCGAGAGCTTTCTTTCACGACAGAAATCGACAAAAAAACCATTACAAAAACATAAACAATTTCACACAATTTAAGGCAGAACATTATACACCCGCATACTTATAGAAATGGCATATATAGGCATACATTTATCAACGATGCAAGTGACGTCTGCTTGTGATATTTACAATTTACACAATTATTACGATTAATTTTACATATTCTTTAATTGATTCCATATCTTTTTCGTATCTGTATTGGATTTGTTAATCTCTCAAGGTGTGTAGTCCACGTAATGTATTTATTATGTTTAGTTTTAGTCCTACAATAATGTGAATTTAAAATTATGTTTATTCTTATTATTCCTTTTTTTTTTGTCTCTTTTTGGCCATTTACATGTAGCGAGCGCTTATTTTAGATTTGTGTGTATTCCATATAATAATTAATAATACTATTCAACTAACTCCGATCTGTAGTTATTTATTTGATTATTGTTTTTCTGTCCCATAGCTGTTGAGCGAAACAAAAGTGTTGGGCGTCTGGGGGACCGCGAAAACAGAAGCAACATATATCGAACAAATATATACGCTAACAAAAGATACATTCCTTAAAACAAATACGAAAATAATTATCAATGTTTTCTTACACATTTAATACAACAAAATAAGTCAAATGACAGATTAAAAATAAAAGCGTATAAGAACTGGGAAAAACCATCAAACGTTTAAGTGTACAACTAAACTAAATGAACAAATTTAAAAAATTTATTGAAAAAATAATAAAAACATCGCATTTTTCCCCTTTTCAAAATTACTTCATGAATTTCTTGTGCGACCTTTGCGTTCCAGATTAAATTATTGAGACTATGTAAAAATTGAATTACTTAATATTTTAATACGAACTAAGAGTATTCAAATAATACTATTTATTTGAGTAATTTTTAGGTGTATGAATAGTTAAAGTTTTTTCCTTTTACATAGTTTGTACATAACAATGGCATAGTTACAACTTTATCATCTGTTAAAAGATGGTCTTTGGTTAAAACAGGTTTGTATAACTGCGTTTCTTTTGTACAGAAAATATAAGAAAAACCATAGCTGTTTTCACAAAATTGGCCCAAAACGATATAAAATACCATGGTTAGGGCTGTAAGTTGGAAATATCCGCACATGTTTCGAGAGTTGACCAACTTTGATGGTGACTTTGGCATCAAATCGCGGGTTGCATTTCAATTAACAACCTAGGATCTGGGTTCATTAATTCTGAACTCGGGCATCGCTTCACGGCATTATAACGAGGCGAATAAGTGTTTATTAATTCGCCATCGGTATTGAATTTTTGCAATCCGCTTTTACATCATTTGGTGGAGTGTTGGCCTAGTGGCTTCTCACGTGGTACAGTAAAAACTCTTACTAGAGGACTATTATATATAAAATGCTATATCGAATAATTAGCATTTTATTGTTTTCTATTTTTCTGGCGGAGCTTACATATAATGTAGGAACTTATTCCTAAACCGCACTGTAGTGGGTTTTATCAGGAGCTGTAAAAGTTAAATGGTTCAGCTGTTTTTTTTTGTTTCATTAAATCGTTTTATTACCGTCTCGAATATGTGATTCAGTCTGATTGCCTCGTACGTTTTGGTTTAGGTACAGTGTACACCGGCTATAATAGCATTTCGAATACCGGAAATTTAATTTCACAAAAAAAATAGTGAATTGATATCAATATTATAACAATAGATATACAATTTAAAGACAACTTTTCGGATAGGTTGGAAATTTTTTTAATTTCCAGCTCTCTAACAAACTAAACCGGAAAAGTTCACTTTTTCCATATATTCCAGCACCGCCTCTATCTCCTCTTCTTCCTTTTGTTAATGCCTTAATCATAAATATAGCTCAATCGTCAAATATTTGCCCACTTCGAGAGAATTTATGAGTGCAATTTGTTAAACAATATTGCGAATTAGTATTACTATTCCGCCCCGTGAGATTATATTATACCGTGGAGCAGGAGGGGGTGTTTGTAGTGGGAAGGGGGCGGGGGTTGTGGGTGGTTGGGTTGGTTCTGTTTACCTTATCAGGTAACACATGTAATTATAAAAACTGGCCGCTGCCGCTACCGCTGCTCGATTGAATTGATCGAATCGGCAGACGAACGAGTTTTAGCTCTTGACTTTGTCAGTTGATTAATTTTGCGATTGATTTTTTTCTTGTCGTGTACGCTTACTGCTGAAACAAGGTCGAGAATTCTACGGGGAAGAGCGAAAGAGAGCCACAGCGAGATTACGCCTAATTAGCTAGCCAAACAAATGCGATCAACGCAATGGGCTTATGGCTGAAAAACGAATTTAATTAACTGAATCAATATGAGAGCCGTCGCAGAGTTCAAACAGAAGCGACAGGAAGGTTTAAGAAAAGGGGAAGAGTGTTCAGGGGGGAAGCTGGGATGTGGATCAGCTATACATATCTGCGTAACCAGTGCACTGCGATTAAGACTATACTCCGAAAATCCAGCATTACAAAGATTGAAACAATGTATTGGCGGACAATTTTCTACCTTTCAATTTAAGTAAACATTTTATTTGACTTACAAATTTTAAAATAGAAATATTAAACTTTTTTTTTGTCATTTTCAGTGCTTCTTTCTTTTATTATCATTTTTTTCTTTGGTTTTTTGTAAAGAGAATTGAAAACTAAGTCCTTAAATATTTATTTTTAGTTTTGTGTTTAAACACTCACTACTTCTGAATTATTCAAAATAGTTTCATTTTCCTGGTGAATTTTTTTAATAATATATACTTATATGAAAATAAAATTGATCGGTCTAAAAATTGTATTAATGTTTTATAATCCAAGGAAAGGGAAGCCCAGGTTTTTGTTTAGAGAATTAATATTTGTGTATTATTTTTAAACATACATGTTTTTTCAATAACAAACTAAAGAAAATAATAATTGATCAATCTAAAAATAGTATTATTTTGATACACTTTTTTGGTCGGTGTGCGATTATCGCTGACCGATGATAAGCGCTGATTAAAGGCAAACAGCGATGGCAATCGAAGCCGCCCGCTCACTCCCTCTCTGTCCCTCTCTCTCCATCCCCCATCCCCCCATCGCTCTCTTTCGCTCTGCCGGCGATTTTGGGTTCCGCTTGGCGCTCAACCCTTTCATTCGCCAGTGGAACGCGATCGCGTTTGGAACGCAGCCGCTGGAATTCAGAAGCGGCAGGAGAAATGGCTCACTCCTCGCAATCGGGTGCTGCGCAGGCGCTCAATGGCCAGCATCCGGAGTTGGCCTTCGCGGACGCGGATACGGATGGGGATGGGGATGGGGGGTACGAGCGGTACGAGCGGTCCAAGGGGGAAGGGGGGTCTCCAGAGCCGGAGAAGATACAACTTCTGGGTTCAATGGCCAGGAAGCAATCCCTCAGCGAGCGACGCAACGTGGAGCTGCCGCTCCTTAAAGTGATCAACGAAAAGGAACCGGAGGCCACCACCTCGACCACGCCCTCGCCAGAAGCCTTCGCCCCGGGACTCCGGCGGAACTCGATATCGATGCCCTCGGGCATCAATGCCCTGGATCTGGAGGCACTGCGTCTGCGACATCAGATGCAGCCACAGGATGCCCTGCACGAAGAGATTGTGAGTTTTATTACATCTACTCTTAAAATCTTTGTCCCTTTGTGTTTTTCATGAACATGATGTGAAATTTTGAGAATATTATTCCAAAACATATGTTATAGATCAAAGGGTACATTTGTATTCGATCAAAAGTATGTCACCCTAAAAAAACATAAAGTCTTCAACATATGCCAATAACAAATCAAGATCTTAAAAAGTTAAAGATCTATAAATATATTATTTTATATATATATATAAGACATGTGATTTTCAACAGATTTATTTTTAGTTTGAGGTATATATAGATTTTAGGTAGATTGCAAAGATGTTACTAGGCAAAGACATGTCTGATTTTAGAGATATTTCTTTCTATCTAGATTTCCAAAAATGTAGCCAATTTTAGTTGTAAGTCTTTCGCCTTTCTTTCTTAAATGGAATGTTAGTGGAGGGTATATTATAGTTCGGTCACTCCGCATAGGCGCTTTGTGTTTTAAATATATAATTGCAGCAAACCAGTTAAGCAGTTGAGCCCCACTCAAAATTAAAATACAATGCGTAATTAAGCGAAGCGTCATCGCCTCTAGTCTGATTCCTCGCTCTCGGCGATTCTCGCTGGCTTACAGAAAATTCCCCAAAATAATATCCAACCGTTAATTGAGCTTTAATTATATGAAGTTTGCAAACAATCCACATGTGACAGAAACCCGAAATCCAGTTAATAGTCACATGATGGTCCTAAGGTACAAATGGGCACCATTATTTTAGCACTTTAGTTATACAATACATCTGCTGGGTTACACTATAATAACCCCTTTCGAAAAATGGTTATAAATTAATCACTTTTACTTTTGTTTGAAATTTAAGGGTTACAAATTGTTTTGGTTAACCCCCAAGAATAGCTTTGTTTATATAAAACCAATCAATTCAAGAAATTTAATATATGTACATTTCATGTAATCAATTATACCTTAATGAAATTAAAGTATGCAATTGAAAGCATAAATTATCATGATATCGAAAGGCCCTAATTTAAGAGAAGTTTAAATATCCACCAAAAATTATAATATACCAAACTAAATTTCCATTAATATATGCATAGTGCTCCAAATACGAATTCATAGCTTCCGAGTGATTTTAAAATTAGCATAAACATTTATGCTAACAAGATATTATAATCCGAAACAATTTAATTCAGTACAAATTAAAAGAAGTTAAAACTGGTTTATTGGTCTTTAACAAAAATATATATATATTTGTGCTATAAACAAATATATTTGTCTACTGATCGAAGTGATGCAATTATGATTGATTACTGATCTTTCCCACAAATATTTATATTATTCTGGCCCCACCCCATCTAGAATATCTAACTTGAATTATTAGCGCATCCCGTATTATTTTTCCGTGGGAGATGCTGTCTATTATTTTTGATGTGTTAACACTCAAACTCATTACTGATGTCAGAAAGAAGCGATGTATGACTTGCGATAATTATAAAGCTGCAAATAAGCCGTCGCGCGGGCGAAGGGGGCGTGGTCCGGCCAATGCGGCGTATGTGTGATGTACTCAAGCAATCAACTGTCATACACGAAAAAATCACACATACGCAGTGTGGTCTTTGATGCGGCGGCCCGGAAGTATGCAATGGTTTTTTATCTTTCATTTGGTGGCAGGAAACTGCTTTTTACGCGAAGAGAGACTCCAAAAAAATAAAGAATAAATAAATACACAAAGGGACAAATAAATGTCACAAGCAAATTTTCTACCTTTAATTTTCACTCATTGTAACTAGGTCTTAAAGATTGTTATGTCGAATTTAGCTGAGCCAACATTGAAGAAAAGGCTTTTTCTTTTCAAATAAAATAGTTTTACGAAGCCGTACAGATTTCTTGGCACAACTTATATTAAAAACGAATAAACATATATGTTTACTTAAAGCCTTTGCATAAGTTGAATAAAGTAAGCCGACCAAAACCAACTCGAAACGGGTGCTAACATCCAGCCAGCGGTTCAGTTAACGTGTTTTTCAACCGGTTACAGAATGGGAGCACACCTATAAAGAAAGCCCCATCAGTTCAGATGCAAAAAATTAACAATAACTTGCACAGGAAAAAAATGGTTACCCTACCAATCAATAAAATCATTTGTAAAAAAAAAAATATAAAACTATTTATAATTTTTAAACTATTGGAAAACAAAATACCCCTTTGATCTCCTGATATTATAAATTCTTTTATTAGATGTATGACCTTGTTTATTTTCTTATTATTTTTGAGTTAATTTTATGAATTCAAATATTAAATATTATTTAATCGAAATATTATTATGTTGTACCTAGTGTGCGTTATTCGCAGTGTATCTATTTGCGGCCAGTCGTCACGATTAAAGGCTAAATCGAGCGCCACCGCTCGGCGCTAAACAGCTAAAGCCTTACTACATAACCAATCAGGCTGGCCACAATTAATTTACGACTGCCGGGTAATTCTATCAAAATCAAATTCCCACTCACTCGCGGCCTTTCGCTTGGCTTTTCACTTGGCTTTGGGTTGAGTCAACTTGGTTAGTGTTATTCTGAGTGTGGGTGTGAATATTCCCACTCAACGCCCCATTCTGACTGCGCTGCCGACGTCGACGGCGACAGCGGCCGCGGCAGAGGCGGTAGCAGAGGCAGAGACAGAGCGATTAAAACGCATAAATTGAGGCTTCAAAAACAATATTCAGGCAATAGCAATCCAGCAATTATCAACGGTTAACAGTGCGATCGCGGCATCAATAGCGTTCGGATCGGTGACCTATATTTTTTATGTTTTAACAACACTAAAAAATACTGAGATTATTTTGGACTATATTATTCTTTCATTAAGGAGTTTTAAATTACCAAGATATCTGAAACGGATCCGTGCCCTATTTTTATTTTAAGTGTATCAGAAATACATTAATATTATATAATATTTTAATTAAATAAAATATGTGATGTTCAAAAATTAATTATTAAAAAAGTATTATTGTTTTTTCTGTGGTTTAATAAATTGTGCATATTTTAATAGTGTGAGACAAACATTCTTTTTACCAATAAAAGCTTCTATAAATTTTAGAAACGATATTTAAAATATGATAATTTAACATTAAAGAAAAGTGTAAAAATACCAAAGTTGTGTGATACAATTATTGAGTGCCAAAAATGAGCTCGCCGAACAGCCGCTTCATCCTGTCGAGTGTTTCCAGTGAGGATCAGCCGCCCGAAAAGGATGAGGACACCGACATAATACTCGATATCAGTGCGGATTTGGATAGGGATAAGGCAGGTACTAAGTGTGGCTTGCAGCTAAATATGGTGTTAAATTGCTTGATACTACTATTATTTGCGGTTATATTGAGGAACCTTGACGAGGTTCTCTGCTGCGGTGACGCCTTCGTGCTAATTGCACTCACCTTGCCCAAGTGTAGGCAGGTGCCAAAAGCCCAGCACCCCGAGCAGAACCGATCCAGTAGACCCCCCATCCCCCCTCCCTTCCAAGTCCCACACTTTCGGTTACAATTGTTTACCGTTTGCTTTATCTATATGGTGTAACAAAAAAAAGGGAAATAGTCACTATTGGCCATATAAATTCCTGTTTTATATATATGTATATAGATAGCCGACGATGCGGCCTCCAGCCTTGGAACTCCGGCTACTCCGGGCACTCCGGGAATTACGGCGCCGACGACATCGGCGAATACGCCGGATAAGGTCGTCAGCGGTACGGCCATCAATTTCGCCAACGCCAACGATGACAGCGATGACGAGTTCGGGAACGCCAGAAGACCAGTTCACCGGTGAGTGGTTAGCCTAGCTATACACATGTATGTCCTGGTTACACAAATATATGTAATAAATTAAAAAATTGTGACATAAATTATAGACAGAAATCATATAAAGCTTAATCTTTTTATATACCATTTCTAATATGGTTCTTAATATTTTATCAAGTATTTCTATGCTTTTAATGTGTACATTTCAGTAATTAACACTTTTTTAAGTAAGGTTTTTCATTTATATTATATTTGCATTTTTATATTTATTTCTAAAGGCTCTTGACTATTTTTTAAGATCCCTTTTTTCATTATTTACTATGATCATTATTTTTTGGAGTTATTGGCATACGATTTATGGACTTGAATAAAAACTGTTTCCAAGCTGCTGGAATTTATTTCTTATAACAATTTTTCTTCAGTTGCAACTTCATTATTCTTTAATTGATATTTCAAACGGAAATCAATGTAACACAATGCGTAAAAATTCGTATCAAATAAATAGTGAGTCAGTTTATGATAATGATGATTAGCCTAAATGGCCACCGTTTAGATCCTTCAAGATAAAAGGGCGCCGACAGGATACATCCATTCTTTGCCATTTACCATCCAGAATCGAGATGCTTTAATTTGAACTCACGCTGTCATTCGGCCCATTTTCTATTTGATTCATCGGGCAATTAGATTAATTAATTGAAAGTCGCTGCCTTTTGTCTCCGAACGACAGTAATTCAATTGTGGCGTCGACTTTGAGTGGAACGTGCCTTTCCCAACATTCCGCCCATATTAACGCCCGATTTCCAACACCAAGCCCCCATGACCCCCCACCCCATTCCAAGTATGGGTTACGGTTACTGCCCACTTCCATGCTAATTTAATGGTGATTTTCATTCTCTGATTTTCCCCGCCTCGACAATTTGAATTAAGTTGCGCTGTGAATTCCTCTGATTGCCTATTTGGTAATGGTATCGGAAAACTGCTGGCCAAATAACAGTCATTAAAATAGTGATAGATCCCAAAACACGGGGCGTAACATCGTCTTTTAGACAGGTAATTTCAAAAAGGCTAAATAATATAGATCACTTCAAAACTGATCATTGTACCTATTTTATGGCAGTTGCAAATGGTTACTAATGATAGACGAAAAATATTTGTATTGCTTTTACACATTTGAATACATAATAATATCTATGTTAAGCCGATCTTAAAACAAAACATTTGCCGCGTAATTTTAGATTCTTAATTCTCTTGAATCAATTGATTCAATTTAAAATGAAATTCCCCCTGAATGAATTGATTTATTGACACTACATAATTCCATATTAATTATCTGACTTAAAGCGGTTCAAACTAACTGTTTTAATACAATACTTTGGTTCTCTTATCTCTAATTGCATTGTACGTTTTCGAGTGCTGATTAAAAATCAGCATGGCAACTCATAGGTTGCATCTTAAATAAATGCAGTAAATTAAGGAGTAGTAAACCCTTTTTTGACTACAAGCTCTGTTAAACATAAAAAGTTTAAACTTTTTGTACAATACTTTCTTGGTTAATTTTAAGTTCAGTGTTATACACGTATAATGCTTAATTGATGAAATCATTGTCGCTTCACCGTTCAAAAAACATTTTCTGCTTATCTCATTCAATATTCTAGTTTAGTCTTTTATATTTTGTAAGACCCTAAGAATCAAAGAAAAACAACTCTATAATGGAGCTTTTTGGGATTTTGTTTAAGTCCCAAAGATACTGAGAGATTTCTTGAAAATACAAATAGTATTAATGGATCTGTCCGTACAATTCTGTGTCATACAGTTTTTAGATTATTTCAAAGATAACGAAGCTTTATCATTTTTACCAAAAAAAAAGCCAAGCCGCTCCGAGATTTCTTTACGGCCTTGTGTCATACAGCCTTAAGTTTTTTCCAAAGATATAAATGCCATTTCGATAATACCTAAAGCTACATAAGTATTTCAATTTTCAAAGATACCGAAGATACTAAAAAATCCTTGAGGTATTGTGTCATACACCATTCGGTTTAAAACTAAAAACTACAGTTGGATCTCCCCGAGATCTCTCCAAAGTACAGTGTCATACAGCTATTGCTGGCACACACACGCGATGAGGGCAATTTAAGTGCTTAAGCACATTACAGGCGGAGACGGAGACGGGTCTCCAATCTGCTCGCTGATGATAAGTTAATTTGGAGGAAGCTCCGGCGACCCGGACTCTACAGATCTGGAGCTGTATCTGTATCTGTATCTGTTACTGGGCTATGGCGACATAAACGGATCTCGGCTCAGTTGATGACTGTGATTGGGCGTGATAGCATCCGCATACTAGTGGGAGTATCTCAATCTCGAACTATTCGAGTTGCAATTATATATACACATATATATATATATATATATTTATCGGCTATAGGCCCCGGGGAGTGTTTACGACTTCGAGAGCTGCCAAGCCGCTTATCAACTGTAAATAAATCAGGCCAAGCAAGTATATATATATGTATATATAATTATAGAGCACAATATCAGCCGCCCAGATTTTCGTGTTTTGTTTTGCCATTTTTTGGTTGTGCGATTTGTTTACGCGCGATTTGCATACCGACGGAGCAGAAAGTGTGCGTTATGCAAACAAAAATTACTCTGGGCCCCGAGAAATACGCTTAACGACTGTCTTCCGTCCCCGATAAGGGCGATAAGCTGGCCCCGATCGCGTTGCAAGTTCAGGGTCCATGGTTTACGACTCACGGGGGTGCATCTCCTCGTCTGAATGATTCCCCTCTGGTTATCTTATTCGGATTTCGACATGTCGCAATCGCTGCACGGAAAAAATCAAGCGATCTTTTTGTTTCTAAACAATTCCTTGAACAAATTTTCTTTGGTGCATTTCATTTTGAATTGGTGAATTTCGATATTCAAAGGTGCCATTCAGAAGTTGACATATCTTTTTGAATATCCGCAAGCCATATTTTTGCTATGCACTGAGAAACTTGCTTTTGAATGGATTGTTCTTATGTTGTTATTCTTATGTGCCAAGTTTTCATTTATGTTTCAATTTAAACTGATATTTTTGCCATGTACAACGCATCAGCTGACATTGGAATACATACGACAGCTTTACTTATCGGGCTCGTAAATAAATTTATGTCCTATCTCTGCTACACTTGTTATACCCTTGCAGAGGGTATTATAATTTTGGTCAAAAGTGTGCAACGCAGTGAAGGAGACATCTCCGACCCTATAAAGTATATATATTCTTGATCAGGATCACCTCCTGAGTTGATATAGCCATGTCCGTCTGTCCGTCTGTCCGTCTGTCCGTCTGTCCGTCTGTCTGTCCGTCTGTCTGTCCGTCTGTCTGTTTCTACGCGAACTAGTCTCTCAGTTTTAAAGATATCGAATTGAAACTTTGCACACACCCTTCTTTCCTTTGCACGCAGTATATAAGTCGGAACGGCCGGGATCGGCCGACTATATCCTATAGCTGCCATATAACTGAACGATCGGAAATGCCATAACTTTGGTGTTTGTAAAGTTAGGAAGTTGGGATTTTCTATGGGTTTTGAATTTGGCTAATCAATCCGACATGCCGAATTTCATAAGGATCGGCCGACTATATCCTATAGCTGCCATATAACTGATTGATCGGAAATGCCATAACTTTGGTGTTTGTAAAGTTAGAATGTTGGGATTTTCTATGGGTTTTATATTTGGCTAATCAATCCGACATGCCGAATTTCATAAGGATCGGCCGACTATATCCTATAGCTGCCATATAACTGAACGATTGGAAATGTCATAACTTTGGTGTTGTTAAAGTTAGGAAGTTGGGATTTTTTATGAGTATTAAGAATGCATCATTTGAATAATTTTGGAGAATATAATTTACAGAGTATTCTGCAAGGGTATATCAACTTCGGCTCCGCCCGAAGTTAGCTTTCCTTTCTTGTTGTACTTTATTTAGGTATAGGTATATGTATATGTATATCAAAGAGACAGAAAGCGTAGGTCTTCTTTCTATGTCAACATGAATAAAATTTTTCTGTAAGTCTACAGTTTTTAAAAGGAGAAACATATTACAAAAAAGTAAAAAAAATGCTCTTAAGATTTATTTACATTTATTTTATTTAATGGCTTGCAGTGCTATCAGTATAACTTATATCTTTATTATTTCTACCCCATATGGTAACAATATTAAATTGCCTTTACTTATTGTAAATCTATATTGTAATTGCAGCGATCGTTTCCGCAGTCGGAGACGTGCCTCGATTGCCCCCCTGCCCGCTTTGCGGTTAAACAGCAAGGAGATGTTGGCCAGTGACTTCGATAGCCACAGTTTGGCCTCCAACCAGGCCTCCATCACCAGCGTCAATTCCTTGGCCAGTTTGCTTCGCGAGAAGATGCAGGTGGGTACTCTTTAATCTCTGATAATAGAGAGTTCAAAAGGTCTATTGATAATAACTACCATGTATCTCTGGATCCGTATCCGTAGGCCTTCCCACAGCTGATAAGGAAAAAGAAGCGGGAGACAAAGGACTACAAAATCAAGATATTCGTCATCATTATGTTTTTCATCATCATATTTCTGGTAAGCGGACTAATTCTGGTCTACCAATCTGTTCCCTTAATCATCATTCACCCAGTAAATTCAGATCACTAGCATAATGAGTGATTAGCAGCAGTTCGAGATCATAAACCTGAAGAAGAGTAATCAGCAATGTTTATTACTGAAAACAATAAACAAAAACATTCGAATATTCCCAAGAGACGGAAATCAATAGAAGAACTTTTAGTAGAAATAAGACGATGACTTTATATTTTCCAGGTTGATTTAAGCTTGTCACAGCAAACTGAAGGCATTGAACTGGCTTCACAAGATAAAAGTATATTTTTTTTCACTTAGATAACAATTATGCCTTACGTCCAACTGGCTTTTATGGGTTTTCAAAAATATATTTTGATGATTTAAGCCCCCATTTAAGCAGTTTATCACATCGCTTTTTTTTATTTATTTGACATCTTGACAAAGGTTTTACACGAATTTTGCATTCAAATATATAATCTATGTGGAAATTCCTTTAATGTTCATTCATAGTTTATTTATGTCTTGAAAATACTAGTACTACTGAGGGTTAATGAAAATTAAAGATAACCACTACAGGTATTAACTATTTTATAGATAGTCATCGCTATTATAACATGTTATCACTAATGAAATAATCTGCCTAAATCTACCTTTAATAAATGAAAAGCAAAGTCTGTTTAATATCACTAAGATAACTGAAAGATCTACGATCTCTAATATCCATGATGAAATAGACAGACTTTTAGTGATCAAAGGAGTTACCATCCCATTCATTCAAACACATCATCCTCGCAGAAACCACTGGCTTATATAGACCCCCCCTCCCACAGATCGGCTACGCCTATGTGGCCTACCACCAGCAGGTGCTCACGAAGAGCTACTTCCAGAAGATCAAGTTCAACTCGCACGACCGCATCTTCCGGATCCTGAGCCACGAGGACAAGGAGGTGATATCGGGCCAGTTGGGCACCACACTGGGCTTCGACACGGCCCCGTTCCACTGCCTGGAGGACCATCGTCGGAACGATGGCAGCGTGTGCATCGAGTGGAACGGGATAGCCCGACTGCACCTGAACTTCGAGGACAAGGGGGTCTTCCGGTGCTACACGCTGCAGTGGCAGGCCCTCACCCCGGGCCTCCTGCCCACCGACTGCTACGAGCTGAAGCGGGACAATGGCATGTGGTTCGGTGGCGGGGTCACCAAGGGTCAGGAGTGGTCCCTCAGCTATGCCAACTTCGACTTCGCGCCGTACGCCTCGGGGGACAGCAAAATCCATCAGTTTGGCAACGGGGTGAAGAGGTACTTCATCAACTCCATCGGCGTGGCCATGCAGGTGAGCGAGCGGACGCCTCTGCAACTGGGCGTCAACCGGACGGAGAACCGCTTCTGCCTGCGGGCCGCCAACGATGAGTTCACCTTCGTGAACCACCTGACCCCGCTGCCCCAGCTGGACTATCGCATCTGCACCACGGAGGACATGCGCAGTCTGCACATGCTGATGACGCAGCAGAGCCTGTGGGATGGCCTCAAGGAGCAGGAGTTCAAGGTGCTGCACTCGCTGCTCGAGGAGCCCGTGTGGCGGATACCGCATGCGGAGACAGCGGATTCCCTCAACGAGTCGACCATTTGCGACTACTCCGAGAGCGCCATTGCCATGGGTCTGGGCCACATAGTGATCAACGAGTTCTGGCAGGAGAACATCGGCGACTTCACCGTGGACAAGGCCCGATTCCCCACGCTCAAGGACACCATCGATGTCCTGCACCGGCGGGGCTTCAAGGTGGTCCTCACCATCCAGCCGTTCATCAGCACGGACAGTGCGAACTTCAAGGATGCCGTGCGGCGGAAGCTCCTCATCTACGAGCGGCACTCGGAGCGGAGCATTCCCGCTTTGACCAGGTACAAGAGCAGCTCCAGTGCCGGCGTGCTGGACATCACCAACAATGCCTCGGTGCCCTGGCTGCTGGAGAAGCTGCAGCGCCTGAAGGAGGAGTACGGGGTGCAGAGCTTCTACCTGGACCTGGGCACCGGTTACAATCTGCCCCACTACTACCAGTGCCGCCAGACCCTGGACAATCCGGACACGTACGCCAGGCTGTTCACCGCCAGTCTGGAGGGCGCCGGCCTGATGGCGGTCTCCACGGCCAGTGTGGTGCCCAAGCCGCCCACCTTCCTCAGCACTCCGCCGGCGAACGCCACCTGGGAGGGATTGCGGGAGACTCTGGGTGCCGTGCTGAACTACGGGGTCATTGGCTATCCCTTCGTGCTGCCCGGAGTGATCGGGGGCGACTATCTGCTGCAGCGACCGCTCTCCAAGATGGTCTCCTTCTACTCGATGGCCCAGCCACCGCTGCCCGATCCGGAACTCTTCATCCGCTGGCTCCAGCTGGCCACCTTCATGCCGGCCATGCAGTTCAGCCATCTGCCCTCGGAGTACCGCAGCGACCTGGTCACCCGGGTGGCCCAGGAGCTGAAGGAGGTGCGCCAGACGGTGGTGATCGCCCTGCTCAAGAAGTACCTCAGTCCCTCGATGAACGAGGGCCTGCCGCTGGTCAGGCCCCTCTGGATGATGGATCCCCACGACCCCGCCTGCCTCATCGTCAGCGACGAGTTCTCCGTGGGCGAGGAGCTCATCGTGGCCCCCATCCTCCATGCAGGACGCGAGGAGCGGGAGGGTGAGTCCCAAATTATACGGCTAACAACAAACTTCTGGCCATGTATTCAAAACTTTCGAAAAATGCTTTGCACAAAAGTGACCAAGTGACCTGCACTTCTAAGCCCATAACTTTTTTTACAGACATCCGATTTCAAAGTGGCATATCTCTAAATGATTGTGGCTTAATTCTCTAAAAAACTGCGTTCTCAGTTTATTTTTTAATTTTTGGTCGATTTTTCGTCATTTTTAATGAGTTAACCCCTTTCCAAATTCTCGAAAAATGGCTTTGCAGAAAAGTGACCAAAATCTGCACTTCTTAGCCCAAAACTTTTCATACAGACATCCGATTTTAAAGTGGCGTACCTCTAAATGATTGTGGCTTAATTCTCTAAAAAACTGCGTTCTCAGTTTATTTTTTAATTTTTGGTCGATTTTTCATCATTTTTAATGAGTTAACCCCTTTCGAAATTCTCGAAAAATGGCTTTGCAGAAAAGTGACCAAAAACCTGCACTTCTAAGCCCATAACTTTTCGTACAAACATCCGATTTTAAAGTGGCATACCTCTAAATGATTGTGGTTTAATTCTCTAAAAAACTGTGTTCTCAGTTTATTTTTTTTTTTGTCGATTTTTCATCATTTCTATAAGGGGTTACCCTTTCCAAACTTTCGAAAAATGGCTTTGCAGAAAAGTGAACAAAATCCTTCCATTTTTTTGAGTTTTAATGCGATTCCTGGGTGGACTGGATCTGCCAATTCCATAAGACAACTTTAAACTGGGCTAATTTTGTATTTATAAATGCATTCTTTCAGTTTATCTGCCGCAGGGCGTGTGGAAGGACGGCATCGATGGATCACTGCGGAAGGGCAGCCGCTGGATGCACGGCTACCGGGTGCCGAAGGACAAGATCGCCTACTTCCGCAAGATGCCGGATAACACACGGTTCTAGGACTCCGCATCCACCTGCCCCGCAACCCATGTGATATGACCGAAAGACCGAAAGAGAGCCGGCACTTCCGCATACATCTATCTGTATTGAGTAGCCTAAATACTAAATACTAAACACGAAATACTATATATATATATATATCGATAAGCCCGCGATCGTAATACATAAGATGCCTTATCGCTAGCGCTTAAGCGTTATCCTTAGCCTATGTAATTTCCATATTTTTTTTTTTGTTTGTTTGTCCGTATGATTAGTTAAGTACATCTGGGATGATCGCTTACTCGCTGAATAAATATGTATGCTCCATCAATAAATAGGGTTTCCTTTCCGTGGGCTACTTGGTCCTGCAGTCGGGCAGCGGGGACTCGCAGGGCTCCGTTTCCGGGGGCTTTTGCAGGGGGCCGCACTCCGCATCGGCCACCACCACGTCGTGCTGGTCCAAACAGACGACGGACCGCCGGCGGAGCGGGGTGGTCGCGGAGGAGCCCGGCGGACGGCAGGTGAGGGGGCAGAATTGCCAGGGACCTGGCCACCAGTGGGCAGGACACGGCTCCTCGCCACATCCCCGCGCCTGCCGCTGGGGTCTTTTGTTCTTGGCGTGCGTCCAGCAGGGCAGCGTGTCGGCCAGGAGTCCTGGAATTGGGTATTGTTAATCTCTGATTGCTGATTTAACTGCCCCTGGGGCACTCACCCTTGCCGCTCTCCTGGCAGACGGGCTCCCGGTGCTGGACTCCGCCGCCACAGCTGGCGGAGCAGGCCGTCCAGTTGCTCAGCCGCCACAGGAACTGCCTTCCGGCACTCACATTCAGAGCGGGCAGCGTGAACTCGTAGAAAATGCCAGCGTTGCTCTCATTGCCGCGCACGATCGCCTGGAAAAACAAAGGGAAAATGGGTGAAAGTTCCTATTATATATGTATTATATATAAAAGCTAAAGAACACATTTTTCCTCTGTTCAAATATACAGCTTTTGAGATATAGAACACCGTAAATATTGTGGAAATTCTGGAGATTGAATATTGATATTTTTAAATTGTGAAAACCAAAGAGTTAACAATCACTGTGTTTAAATTGGAGTAGATAAGGCCACTTAAGACCATCAAAAACTAAAGTTAGTGAATAATATAATATTTATTTTTTTTAATTGTGAGATACTTTGCAGTCTTTAGTTTTTCTGTTCAAATTGCTGTGAGTGAGGTAAAAAAATTAAGTAGCTAAATGATCACAAGGAAAAAACGAAGAGATAAACGATCTTCCTTTCAGAAATATTTTTTAAAAAATGGCCAACAATTTGTACAAGTAAAGATCGTTTGCAAAGTAAAGCATTACAAAGAAAATGGTTTTATTGTTAGAAAATTTTAAAAATCTTGTAAAATAGTAATAGTTTCTTTTTTAAAGTCTGAGTTGGGGAATCTCAACCGCTTACTTAGTTTATTACATCATTCACTTGTATTTAAACTAAGAAATCGGTTGAGATTCCCCAACTCAGACCTTAAAATAAATAAATGTGATCTAAAAGCCCTCACATGTTGAATTTGAGTTGAGGTAAAAGGGTAAATATGCTTGAAAAAAGCCACTTACATAGAGCGATATGGAATGCTGGATGGGCTGAGGTATTGTGATGGTCTCCTGCTCGTCGACGCGATCGTAGAGGCTCTCGGCGCCGGCGATCTCGAACTCGCCGGGCATCGAGATGAGGCTGTCCCCGTTCAGGTAGAAGCGGTCGCCCTGCGCCGTGGCCACGGCGAGGAAGTGCGGCGAGTTGGCCTGCTCCCGGACGAGGATGTGCCTGGCCCGGGCCGGGATGGTGACGATCTCCACGTAGGCGCCGTCCTTGGCGGCGAACGGGTCGGCGAAGGTGTCCCTCACCGGCTGGCACTGATCGCCAGTACCGCCGCAGACACCGCAGCGATCGTCCTGCAGCTCCGAGTCGACGAGCCAATCGCAACCAACTTTCTGAACAAAACGCGATTCGGGCTCAGGGCTCAGTTATCGAGTGTATGGGAGATGGGATACCCTACCTTGCAGATGCCGTCGATGCACATGTTGTTCGTGCCCAGGGTGCAGGGCGTCCCGTCCAGAACCGTGGAGCCCCAGTTTGCGATTATCGTGTCGTCCACGTCGCTGCAGAACAGCCGGCAGGGATTATCTGGGGGATAGCCATGGATAATCACTCGGATCTGATGTATACCATTTTTGAAAATAGCTTTTTAGACCTTTTAACATAGACTGACCTAACTTAAAAGTCAAATTCAAATGGTTTAGGTACGAATACCAATATATTGTATTAAATCACTCCGATCCGATGTATATCATTTTTGAAAGTAACTTTTTTAAATTCTAAATGAATATTTTTAGTAGCGCATATCAGTTTTTGTAAAATAGTTTCTTGACTTTTTTCTAGAGCCTAGAATAACTTTAAATTCAATTACAAAACTTTTCTATTTGGTATATTGGTATAATTTATATGGATGTATATAAAGAATATATCTAAAATAACTTTAAACTCAATTAATAATCTTTCTTATTTGTTATTAAATGTTTTCAAATGGTTAAGGTATGAACAAGGTATAACAGATCACTGTTTTCACACTTTTCATTGACCTTTTGCTAATTCTAGAATAACTTTAACTATAACATATAAAAAGTATGGAAATATTAACTGAATATCTTTGATTGGCTTTGATTTGAATGTTATTGGATTTCAAAAAATGGTGGTAAGAAGATTGAAATATTTGAGGAATTCTAAGATTGTAAGATTGTATGTCGGACTATCGGATTAAGTGCGCTTAGCATTTATGGGGCTCTTATTCAGTGTTATTCGTGAGGAGGTAATCGAGGATTGGGTGACGGGTGACTCACTCTTGTCGAAGAAGGGCAGCCACTTGTAGGTGGCCCCCTGGTAGCTGACGTTGTCGAATCGGGCGCACTGCTGCGCCCGGAAGGTGGGCTCCTCCGGCGGACAGGGTCGCTTGCGGCAGATCTTGTACCGCTTCCGCTCGCCGATGCAGAAGACGCCCCCGTTGGCGGGCACCGGGCTGTCGCACTCCCTCTGCTGGGTGGACACCCCACCGCCGCAGCTGCGCGAACAGTCGCTCCACTCGCTCCACTCCCCCAACCCCCGCTCACCGCCGCCAGCTCCTCGCGGCGGACGCACCGCCCGTTCTGGCACCACTTGTTCCGCCCGCACAGCGTCCCGGGGGCGGTGGGCCGCATGTGGGTGACGCACTCGCCGTTGACCTTGCACCACAGCGTCGAGCAGAACTCGTGGGGGGTGGAGCAGGCGCCCACCTCGCTGTCGGTGGTCAGGTTGAACTGCAGTCGACACTGGCCCCTGGCATTGTACCGCATCCCCGGCAGCTCGCCCGTGTAGTTGTACTCGTCCAGCGGCGTCGGCGGATCGTCCAGGCACTCGCCCAGTCCCTGGCTGAAATTGGATAGTTTATTTGTATTAACGATATAAATTTGTACAAAAGAGTTGGTTAATAGTTGTAGGTAAATACAAAATTCTAATGGGCCTTTTCATGTCCCAGACTCTTGCCTAAAATCCAACTTATCATATAGTAGATGGGAATTACTATTATTATTATTTACAAAGCTCCTTATATCATTTCAAACAGGAATCCCATTTTTCGTTAGTTTTTTTATGTACAAATTTCAGTCCCTGGCTGAATTTGTATTATTATATACAAAGCTCCTTAGTTTATTTTAAATAAAAATCTAATTTTTCCTAAAATATATCATAAAAAAATTGTTTTTACTTAACAATTTGGAACCAGTGTTTTTCAATATTTATTCAATTTGGAAATTTACATTCAACTAGTTTAGTTTTTGACAAGAAAAGACACATCAAAATAAGAGTTTTTGTAATTGATCAACAACTGTAGCGTTCCAATCATATGATAAATGTATATTGTTTAATATTTTTAAAGCTGGCATATGGATATGTAATACTTACTCCAGGAAGTGCGTGATGTACTTGCGGCTGCAGTTCGACCAGCAAACCTGCAGGGTGTCCGCCCCAAAAGTGGGCGTCATGATGTGGACAATGGGACCCACCCGCGGATGGCAGCCGATTTTCGCCGTGTCGTGGAACATCCCAAAGCTGTGGGGTAAATATTTGACATAATCACAAATGAACACACATATTTATTGAACAAAATGGGAGAAGGAAACCCCAACAAGAAACGTAGATACAATGTTGCAAATTGTCAGTAAGAAAATCCCCCTCTCGCCACTCCAAAACCTGATTATTTTAATGGAATAATAGCCAATTGTACACAAACAGATATATCCGATTAAAAGCACATAAACAAGTACCCGAGTATCAGAGTATCCGAATAGCAACAGAAATAAAAACAGAAACCAAAACAAACCACCTGTTGTTCCCGCCCAGGGAGATTCCGATTCCGATTCCGGTCGGCTTACACAACCCATCGCCACTATATATCTTGGTCGATCGGAGAGATCGAAGCTAAGGAGGGGGGAGGGGGAAGGGGGGGCGTTGAGTCAATCGCGGACTGAGCACGCTAGACTGACTGACGGCCACTGGGCTGCACTCGAAAGAAATAGGTGGCCAGAGATTCTAACAAATTAAACAAATAAACCACCAAACAACTGTATTTTAAAAAAGAGAAATCTTTATAATTCTAGCATTCTAGAAAATTGGGACAAAAGTCATAATAACAAGGATATCATGAAATATATATATATGACTCAATAAAATACAAAATTGCTTTACAAAAAATTAATAATAAATTCTATGGTACTAAACATTTTTACGAACAATTCCATCAACTCACTATTTGAAAATAAAAGATTGAGTGAGTTATACAACTGAAATATTCCTCAATTAACCTTCATTTTCTCACAGTGTGGACTTGCACAGAAGGCTGCCCACAGGCAGCCACTTGGCAACTTGAAAACTAGGCAGCCTGGCACGAACATCGAACGATCGGCCCATTCCAATCCAATCCAATCCAATCCAATGCGATCGGATCCATTCCGATCCAAGTCCGCAGCTCCCCCGATAAGCCAACTAAAAACCGGACCCGGCTGTCGACTGGGTGTGAGTTCCAGTGAGTCGGAGTGTCTGGGTGACTGGGTGTCTGGGTGCGCCGATGCTGTGATCACGGTGAATCACTTGGGTTCAGGTAATTGCCGCTAATAGATCATTTTCCCCGTTTATGATATTGTGTAAGGGTCAATGGTAATGGGGTGTGGGCAATCAAGCAATTTACCCTACCATTTACATATCTAAGGTTCATAGGTCAGTTGAAAAGCCTGTTTCTCTAGTATGTCATTTTTTTGTAAATCACTTGGAGATTTAAGTTTCTTAAATTTTGATACATAAACAAAATTTTTCCGCAATAATTACCAATGGGTCATAAAAAAATCAATATATTATCTGATTTTAAGATCGTAATATTTAATAATCACTGCAATCGCTTGCCAAAAAGTATGCTATGATTTTTGACCAAATGTTTTAATGATTACAAACGGAATTAAATAAAGTGAACTTTTTATATTGCAAACAGCTATATAATAAATGTTCGCTTTGTAATATTTCATGGGAATAAAGTTGAAATTGAATTGTTTGTCATATGGATGCAATTGAAACAGTGACCCCGAGATCACAGTGACTGGGCGTTCATCTCCGCTGGCGTTTTAATGTCTCGCTCGACTAATTGAGTTTGAATCGAACAGGAAGCTGGGGCACTGAGTGGTGATCTGGATCTGAATCTGAATCTGAGTCTGCGACTGGTAATATGCAACTATCGACTATCCACTGGCAAGTGGAACTGCAATTGCAATTGGTATTAAAGTGGGCGTGCAACGCAGGCGATCATTGTCACAGAAAAGCACAAGCACACGCAGGTGTCAAAGCATCCGTCGCGTCCACTTAGCCGCCTCACTGAAAACAAGATCGTGGTCGTCGTGGTTGGTTGTATTTCGCAGTCGATTCAATTCGATTCATTCATTAAACTGGGCTGCCCATAAATCTTGTCTTGCGGATGGGGATCGATGGGGCATGCGTTGGCCAACGTCTGGCGCCGCAGGTGGCCATGCGAATCGCTGCCGGCTACCTGTCTAAGTTACCTGCCTGAATACTTTGTTTTACTATACTTTAAAGACCATAAGTGATCAATACACTTGCCTATTTTGAAGATAAATGATTCTCTTTATTTAATTTGATCAAAATATTTACCTATTTCCAGTCTAATTGCTTTTCTCTATTTGTTTTTCTGTTTTACAAACATTTAGATAATTTACATTTTTGAATTGGAAATGTTTTTCTATATTTTTTATTATCATTACATATTTTAATTATTTTCTATAATTTCCTATATATATTTTTTTAAATGATAAAAATAATTTTGTTCATCATTATATTTTTTGAATGAAATATGATTTTTTAATATCTCATATCTCCCAAAACATGTACCTTTTTTAAAAGCAACTAAATTCCTCTTAATATTCTAAATGACACAAATATTGAATTCGAAGATACCCATGGAAGAACCAACCAGAAATATAATACTCTAGTACGGGTAATCAGTACTTACTTGTGACCCAATTCATGGGTGATCGTGTGGGAGAGCATGATGCCATTGTCCTCGTTGACGCTGCAGGATTGCTTCGGCTTGCACATGCCACCCACGTTGGCCAGACCGAGGGTCCTGCGGAGGTATAGATCGGGAAGTTATATCTCACGAACCCCATATCCCCCGTTCCCACAAGGACTCACATGCAGTTGTTGGCGCAGATGTTCTTGCGCGTGATCAGGATGGCCACGTCGTGGTGGTGCGGATCCTCTTCACTGCCCTTGTTCAGCTTGTGTTGCCAGCTTGGGAGAGTCCAAGAAAATAGGTTACTTTAATTCAACTAATTTACGTTTCTTAAAAACCACATTTGGGGATTTTCTTAAATGTATTCTAGGGGTTTTCTAAAGACTCTTGACCATGAACTCAACACAATTATTAATGATGTGAATGTTAATCAAAATATCAATAAATAACCAAATCATTCAGGATTTATTAATTTCTAATCGATTTTTGGTGATAATTATTCCTGAAAAAGTCTTGTTGTAGTTTATATATATTAACGAACCTAATACAAGAAACAAACCCACATTATTACAATTAAATTGTGATGTTTCTTGAACAAATTAAGGATAAAATTGCGAAATGTTATTTTATAGACCCACCTGCAGAACCGATCCAAGTTCTTCTGGGCATTCTGGGTGAGGTTCAGCTGAAGCTGGGACTCCTCCTCGTCCAGCTGGATGATCCGGACCACCACGATCTCGATGGAGTTGCCGATGCTGGGGTCCTTGTACAAGGCGGACACCATATTCATGATGGTCAGCAGATAGCCATTGAGGTCCTTGTGAAAGGCCGACATGGTGGCATCGGCCACAATCAGGGTTTCCACATGCCGTGGACTGCTGATGGATCGTCTCCTCCGGGGAATCTCCGGCTGATCCCGCTCCGCCTGGAACTGCGTCTCGTACTTGAACTTGGTGTGGGGCACCCGGGTTTTCGGCTGATGGTGATGGTGGTGGTACTTGTGGTGCTTGTGGTGTCGCCTTATCTGGCGACCGCCCTGGATCTTCACCTTGCCCCTGGACTGCCACTCCAGTCTCGTCTCCATCCGGCGGCGAGGCTCCCGAGTTCCGCAGTTACTGACCTCCACTCCGGATCCCCCCGATCCTCCGCCCCGCTTGCGCTTGTTCCGCTTCCTCGATGGATGCTATGTGATCAATGGCTTTTAGAATTGGCATCTAAGGGTATCGATTTCCCCTTCTTACCTTCGGTTTCACGGAGGAGCGCTGGAAGACCACGTGCGGATGGCCATTCGAGGGATGCGGCTCGTGCTGCTTGGAGGGCTCTATGAAGTACTCATTGCTGGCCGTCCGGATGTGACCCACCTGCCAAACGGAATCAGTTTAGAAAGTGCGAACATTCAATTGTTTTCTCAAAATTTAATTATAAACTTAATATCCATTTCTGTATGTTTTCTTTGTAAATATATTATTTTAGCGGCTAAATATTTATTTTTAAACTTTAATTACTTTTACTATCACAGAAACTTTTGGTGAATTCAAACATATTTAAGTCTTTTTTTTATATGAGGCAAAAGGTGGTGACCACAACCTGCGCACTTTCCCTATAAACCAATAACCAACAATATACAGCATAAAATATACTGCATACAACATAAACAATAAAATAAAGGTAACATGCAAAAATAGACAATATAGAACATACAACATACATGCAACATTCAACATGCAACATGCAACATGCTACATGCAACAATCTACATGTAAAATGTAACATGCAACATGCAAGATGCAACATGCAACATGCAACATACAACATTCAACATGCAACAATCTACATGTAAAATGCAACATTCAACATTCAGCATGCAACATGCAACAACCTACATTCAACAATCAACAATTATCAATACACAGTCAACACTAAACAAGCAACAGTCAATAATCAACAATCAACAATCATTTATCATAAATAAGCAATTAACAATTAACAGTCAACATAACACTTGGTAAATGTTAAATAACATCCATCTATGCTAATGTAATGTTAATGTAAGTTAAGAAAATGTAAAGGTGGCCACGTCATCGTCAAGGTAAATTATTACTCCGTCGGAATTATAATTCCCAACCAGTTCTAGCCAAAAAATTACGACCTATGGGTTGTGGCAGCTCGTAAATCAGTTCACTCGGATGTCAGAAAGTGTGAGTGTGTGCTTCTTGAGGGGATCCAGATGATTAATGGCTGTACAATCTGAGTGGGATTGTCACCAGGATGTAGGATCAAGGACCTCTTAAGGTACGTAAATTATATTATTATAAATTACCCTAATAATTTATATAAATTCGAATTCCAGGTGAAATATGTGTATGTGTGTGTTTGATTGAGGAGCGGTTGCAGAAGGCTTAAAGCGATACCATCATACTTGGACAGGATGCAGTGCATCAAGGATTTAACTGAGTATGTACTATTATTATAATAAATAAAACTCAAAATTTACACCTTAAAAAGTAATTTATTTTTAAGTGCGAAAATAATAATTGTCAGAGGTTTTCCTAAAGAACAATCGACCCAAAAATAAAAAGTAAACTGAAAAAACAGATTTTTAGAGAATTAAACCACAATCATTTAGAGATACGCCTCTTTAAAATCGGATGTCGTTACGAAAAGTTATGGGCAGGTTTGTAGCACTTTTCTGCAAAACCCATTTTTCGAAAATTTGGAAAGGGTAACCCCTTATAAAAATGACGAAAAATCGACCAAAAAATACAAAGTAAACTGCAAACACAGTTTTTTAGAGAATTAAACCACAATCATTTAGAGATATGCCACTTTAAAATCGGATGTCTGCACGAAAAGTTATGGGCTTAGAAGTGCAGTTTTTGGTCACTTTTCTGCAAAGCCATTTTTCGAGAATTTGGGAGAGGTAACCCCTTATAGAAATGACGAAAAATCGACCCAAAAATACAAACCAAACTGAAAACACAGTTTTTTAGAGAATTGAATCACGATCATTTACAAGTATGCCCCTTTGAAATCGGATATCTGTACGAAAAGTTATGGGCATAGAAGTGTAGGTTTTTGGACACTTTTCAGCAAAGCTTACAAGCACAATTAATGATTATTAAATGACAGTTTAATTACTTTAAAAAATATTTTAAGAAAAGGAGGAACGATTGTTCCTTATACAATTTATCGTAAGTAAATAGCTTGAACTCCAAAAGGGTTTCAATACAGGGAATATCAGGTATTAGTTGGTATAATTATGTTCATAACATTATTATAAAAAATGTTGGCCAACTCACCAGTCCGGAGCAGGTGGAGATGGCCACATTGGTGGCCGGTTGGCCCCGCACCTTGCCGTGAAAGTGGCAGTTGAGGTGTCGCGGGGTCAAAGGTGACCGCGTGCGCAGATCCCGGCGATGGCGCTCCACCACCAGATTCGGGGCCAGGAAGTAGCTGTGCGCCGTCAGCTCCAGATGCAGTGTCTCATTCGCCAGCGGCAGCTGGAGGTGCAAGTCCGCCGCCTCCGAATCCTGATCTCGGCCCAGACTTCGCCGCTGGCGATGCCGCCGATGGTCCCGGTCGTGGGCATAGTCCAGCTGGTGGCTCATAAACTCGCCGTCGGGGTGGACTCGTCGTGGCACCACCAGCTGCCCCTCGCCCGCCACCAGTTCGTCGGAGTGGAGACCGTACAGCGCTCCTCCAATCGCCTTCGCCCTTCCCGGTGATTCAACGACCAGCCAAAGGCAGAGCAGCAGGCTCATCCAACGACTCCCCACCCGCATCCTGTCGCAGTCCATCACCATGTCCTGATCCTGATCCTGATCCCGGTCCTTAGCCGTTGTCCAGGCTTTGTCTCAGCAGCATGGCAGCGATCGCATACTACGGATCTTGGTCTGGTCAGGATCGGTTCTGGCTGAAAGGGAGCCAAAAGTTAGTCCATTGGGAAAATCAAATGATTTATATATAATATATTTTGCGATTTAATCATTAGTATTTATTAGTATTATTTCTTTTGACAAAAATAACCCCTTCATTGTTAACTATATTAGAAAAAAAGAACACAAATATGGGAAAGAGCTTACGGAGTGGCATTACATTTATTTTCTCTTGAATAATAATCATTTTACTTAAACTGGAAGCTATTTTGCTGAAGATCGATTCGATGTTTTAATTGAGAAATAAATAATTGATTTTTTTATATTTTCAAATATAATGTTATAAAATTTCGATATTTTTTAGCCCCTTCAACAATGTTTTTTTTGGCACCGATAAAAAATCAAATAAAGCGAAATTTTTGTTTTCATAGTTTTTGATATTTTTACCACATTAATTATTATCAAAGTTAAATAGTAATCCCTCTGACAGTAGCAAACTGAAGATTATAATTTGTGATACTGAATTGCCTCAGGTTTTTGGTTAGTAATGAGGCAATCAATCTTGAAGTACTGCGTCTATTGTTGTGGTTTTCGCCGATCATTGTGGTTTCGACGTGGACCTGGCGCCATTCCATCCAACCCACAAGTTGTTGTTAAAGCAATCTATACCCTCGATCCGCACCGATCTAATCCGATCTGAACCGGCCTATTTGGGCTGGGATTAACCTCTGGATGCGTGTTATTATGGCATATAGAGGCCATAAAAAGAAAGAGACCACTTCCAGATATAATAAATAAAAGGTGATTTGCCTTTTGGCTTTTTGGCAAACACTTTCGAGATGGAACGAAGACAATGGTGAGGCCGAAAAGACAAAAACAAAAAGACCAAAAATAAGACACGGGCCATAAAATTAAGCAAATTTTCTGAATGCGGCGCTTCAAAGACAGCAACAACCATAACTATAATAACAACAACCACACTGTCTGGTCATTATCAAAGCAACACGACAACTTAATTATTCAAAAGATTGACGCAGTCAACGGCGCTCTTATCACGATCACGATTTGTAATTTATGATAAATGTTGGCAATTCCATTAATAAAATTAAACAAAAGCTCATTAGCTCCAAAGCCGATTTGCAGTCGAAGGAAAAGCAAAAGATCGGACTCCTTGCCACTCAAGAAAGTCGCATACCCTGAAAATGTATGACTTTAAGAGATCTCGTAGTCTGGCTCATAAATTCTGTATTTACTACTATCTACACTCATGAAATGACGCAAACTTGGGAAAGACCAACTCGCAAATATGACGCCAATGGTCGCACATTGTAGGCACAATCAAAATTAGCACATTTCCTCTGCGTCAATCACAATTATCACCAAATACTCACAAACAATTACTCGAAATATGATTTTTCAAAGGGTCATTTTCGGACAATTTAAATATGTAAAATATATTAAGTATAAAGAACTCGAAATTGTTTAATACGAAATCTTTAAATGTAGTTGATTTTTGGAGTAATCCTTAATAACACAAAGGAGTAATAATTTCTTACTAATTATTAAAAGCAAATAGTCTTTCTTTGAGTGGTTTAGTATTTCATTTAAACATAAATTGTTTTCTTTTGAACATGATGGATGATAAATATACCAAAAATATTTGTTTTATGAAGTATAAAATGGATCTGTTTAATATATAATGAGCTGGGTTTTCAGAAATCCCACTATTTGGCTTCTGAATAATAGAATCCCATCTCTGTATTGACAACGAGCAGATATTCGAAGCTACCCCATCGATTTATAAAGAGCATACGTATGATATCTAACGACAATGACCTTGGCGATGGCGCCTCCGACGCAGGTGCCGTTCTTAATTCCGAATTCAATGTGAACTCATCATGGCCATAATGATGGCAATAAAATATGCGCTTAAATATTGGATATACCCGAAATTCCCACTCCCATTCCTGTTTCGATATTTATTCTGTGAATCGAATTCGAGTCGCGGCGAAACTTGAAAGTCTTCCCAGTTGAATTAGCAAGCGCCACATGATCGTATATTAAAATGTTGCCATTGTCCATCCATCCATCCATCCGTTTGTCCACTTGTCCATTTATCCATTTGTCCCATTATGCTGCAGTGCCTCCCAGTCCGCCGGTTGGCTGCTTGAATGGTGGATGCCAGTAGGCGCCACTCTTAATTATCAATCAATCAATCACTGCCGCCCGACGGTTCCCTCCATTAAATGTCAGTCAATTGATTGCAGACTGTCTGCCACTCCCCTCTTCCACTTCCCTTTCCGACCCGCCCCGATCTTTGTTAATATATACATAGATCCCAACCTAGTAGTAGCCCCCATTATTCCCCTTCCTTGGCGCTTCGCTAGCTGCATTTTGATTGGGATCGAAGACTCCTCCTTGGGGATACGATCAATCTTCGAAAAATGTGCAGATACTAGGAAAAACATAGATTACCAGCAATGACACATAAATATTTATAGATTTAGGTTCCATTAAAAAGAATCTTTTGCTTCAAAAATATCAAAAATTGAAAACATTTTACTTAATTTCGTGTTTAACAGATACCTATCAGTTATTTTAAAAATGTTCCAAATTTATTATTAATTTGTTATGTTGAAAACAAATTCAATGATTTAGTGTACTTCTGAAATCTTAAGGATCTGTGAGTTGATAATAAAATAAAATTACAAAATGTATTGATATTTAAGTATCAGTATATGTATATAACTTTCCCAATTTGATAACGATTTTCATTTGAATTCGAGGTACTTCCCCATATTCTTAAAACCCGATACCATCGAAAACTGACTTAGTTGAATAACTTAACATATATTTAATGGCAGAATTCATTGAGAGTCTCGAGAGGTGTGATCGAAATTCTTGGAAATGTCACCCTACAAACGCGGCATGATCTCATGTGATTTTGTTTCTCCATTTCGGAAATTTCACTTGAATTAAATATCAATTTCCTTCAGCTGCTACGGTCGTCACCCATCCTCCGCATTTCCCATTTTTAATTTTTTTCCTCCGTTGGCGTTTTATTATTTCGCTTATTTCTGTCTTTGGACGATTTTCAACATTTATCACAAGACTTGTCACCATTGGTTTTTGGTCAAGCGAATCATCGATCATCGGTGACGAATATTTATGCTAATGAAAGGCCGAATCAAGACCGGGTACACATACTCCTCCTCTTTCCTGGCGGCCACGACCACGACCACATTTGAGAAGGAAAAAATAAAACAGAAAAAAAACACCGACCCTCTGGCTGGCGAATTTCCGATTTCACTTTGTGGAGGTCTCCAGCCGAGAGGCGAAGCCATTTGTACGCCCACCAGTTGGCCAGATCGGATCCCAGACCCCAGACCCCAGTATCCAAGACTTTGGATTCAGACTAGGCCACGGACCGGACCAAAATGGATCCGAGTTGGATGGCTGTGGAGTTATCGAGGCTGGGGATGTGGATGTGGATGTGGATGGGGAGCAAAGCAGGCCTCTTTGGCTGGAAGCTCCATTCATATGTTTTGCCATTCATGCGTTGTAGTTTCATTGAGAAACTCAGGCAGACACACATGGAGCTGGCACACGGTTTCAGTTTTTCGATACCCTCTAATAGAGGTATTACTGCTTTTTACAGAGGCTATCGTAATTTTATTTCCAGACTCTATTTATAATATTTTGGAGGCTTTTTGCTTGAGTTTAAAGTTACCAAATGTCAAATACAAATATATCAGAAATAATTACAATTTTCAGAATATTTGCAGACTCCGATTTGAAATTTTCTTCTTTTAAATATAAATAACCTTGAATCTGAGGATACTTAAGTTATTAAAGGCATTTTTAAATATTTATTATTTATTATACTGTCGTTTCTGTTCAATACAATATAAAAAAACTGATCTATTGTGCTTTCGGTTGGATTAACCAAAATCGTTTGTATTACATAATTCCAATAGTCTTCCTGGGACTAATTTGTATAGTTTTGTTTTTTAACGGCGGCTCAATATGGGTGGCTTATGCAAGTTCAGTTTTTAATCAATTTTTTTACAACTCTGCGAGGGTGTAGAAACTTCGGCTTGCCAAAGTTGCCTTTCTTGTTCGTTTCTTTTTCATTTATGGCGTTTTTTTTATGAATGAAATGAAACTTTTCACGTAAAACGACGATTCCATATTGCTCGCTCGGCTGCGGCTGGGTTGGGTTCCCCGTAGTCCCCGATCCCCGATCTCCGATCCGCGATCTCTGAAACCCCCTCCCTCCCCCCAGCTATTATCTCGGGGCCCCGCCCTCGCCGGATCGCACGTTGCTCCGATGTTTTCGCTCCTATCTCGGGGCACATTTGAATCTCTATGGCTTCGCACTCGCATGTGGGCCGAAAATGTATTTTTATGGCAACGTCGTTCGATTTATTATTTCATTTGTTTTCTGTTTGTGCTATTAGCGATTACACACATGTCTGCTGAACAGAGTCTTTATCTTTATCTTTTTTGTTTTTTGTTTTTTGTTTGGATTCTCAGTTTTTGCACAAGCATTTCTTGGGGATGTTCTTTCTGTTTTTATGGACCGTCAACGGATCGGATGGGCCAACTGGTCCCGGCCAAAATACAAAATACTTCAGAGCAAATCATATAATTTCAGTTTATTTGTCATGACATTGTTGCCATCTCGTCGCTTCTGACCATACATGACTGACTGTTTTTTTGTTTTTTACCGTTTTTGGGAGTCGTATTTGTTATTTTATTTTTTTTTTCGGCTCTGTCTGTGGGATAAAAGTGTGTGTTTTTATTTTTGTTTTTTGTCTCCATGCTGAGATCACACAGGAAATTGACTGTGGAGCGAAAAAGGCAGAGGAAGTGGGAATAGCAAATGCCCTAAAAGCCAAAGATAAATGGTGTTGATCTGATATGATACCAAATATAATGAGATGTAGTGGGTTTTGGCTGGTTATATGATCATTTAGACAGTAATTTACAGGATTCATTAATCAGTGGCTAGTTTACCTCATTTTCATGTTGTCTACATAAATATTGCATTTTAAAACATTTCATTTAATTAGTGATTACTGATTTATTTAGATAACCAAACCTAGTATAATATTTATATAGCTTAAAAGTATTTTAGTTACTTTTATTATTACTTTTCAGTAACATTTAAGCAAATAGCTTTTGGGTTTGAATTCAAATGTTTGACTATGCACCAACTTTGGATAAATAATCACTGATGAAGAAGCCAATCAATTATTCATTGCGCTTTCATTTGTAATGCTTTAAATTATAATATTAATTTTGACCGCTTTTCCTTTCATTATTGTAATAGTATCTAGTATTCAATTCACAGTCAAAAGGATTTTTGAAACTCTTCAGTAAGGAATTGAACAGCTAAGCCACTGATTTAACCATTGTCAGATGTTAAGAAAATATATATATTTAGAAATAAATTTAATAATATATCATTCATAGCTTCTCTAAATGGTAATACCAAAAAAATATCAGAGACCATCGCAGAAACGGGGATAAATATTACATTTCTCGGATGCCGCGACTCACCGATTCCGATTCCGAATTCGATCTCGAATCCAATTCCGAAAGCCGCCGCTGATGAAGCCCGCAAATATTTTAACCGCAAGCAAAAGCAAACTCAAAATCAAAATAAAAATCAAAATCAAAAGCCCGACGGCAGCAGTGTAGCTTGTTTAGGGGCGGCGATTATAACGCCAGGTAGGAGAACCCAACCGCTCTTTCACAACAATGGCCGAAGATTTCACAAGTCGCGAACTTCGGTTCACAGGCACAGGTAAAAAAAAAAAGAAATACCCAAAAATAAGGCAACAAAAAAAGCGCGTTTTTTAAAACACAGATAATGCGATTCGAATCAATCACACTCACACAGGAGCACGGGCTTTATACACACAAATACACACATCTATTGAATGTGCATTTATTTCTAGGTTCAAGAGAGAGGTCTGCGCAGACGCGGTTGAAACTCTATTAAGACCACATATTATCCATATTTCTCACAAGATACTTTGTTTATTCCGGCGTTCTATCGGATGATATTCGATGCTTTTATGTGATGTTTTCTTATTGGTTCTTTATGGAAAGCGTGACGAGGAACAAGCAGCGCGGGTGAAAAGATATCGTGCAAATACAAAGTCTCGAGAGTTGTGTGTTGCTTAAATAGATTTTCGTCTCGATCTGTTCGAACCTGCCGGCTCGACGTCGAACTTGATTCAGTGCTGCCGATTTAGCACTTTTTTCTGCTTATCCCTATAAGAAAGTTACTACATATATACATATATATTTTAAATGTTTATTTTAAAAAGTTTTTTTGTTAGTAAGCCCATTTCTATATACATATATGTTAAACCCACTTTTTGAATATATGTAAAAACCTTATTTTTGTATATTGGTTCGTGCATATTCATTTTAAGGATTTTGTTATTTTATTTATCCGCATTAGTAGTTAGTAGGCATGATTGCGACAGCACTGCCTCGATCTCTCGCAACAGGTTCGAGCCCGATTCGATGTCGAACTTGGCTTGGCCGAGAAAGAGAGAGCTCTTCGGGTTAACAGTGAAAATTATCCGCATGTGTCCTTGGCTGAACAGCTGGGAGAAAATTGGAGGTAAAAGCTCAACAAATTGATTCCCCTTTGTATTGTAAAATACAACTATCTTTGATTCTTATCAAATTTTATAAAAAATCATTATCTCGTGGCTTTAAAGTGAATAAAACCAGATTTGGAAAATATATTTCTGTTTACGATCAAGTTTGGGTAACAGAATTCTACAGATTACCCTTCTTGTCTATATACAAATTATATAGCTTCCTGAGTGCAGTGAACACTTCCACCAGGTGAAAACTCTTCTTACAGTCATCAAATTTTCCCAATTTTTTGGTAGAAACAGAATCCTATTAAAATTTTGCTAATTTGCGAAAAGTTTATTCATATATTTGATGAACTGATGATTGAACTGATTTAATTTAATTTTTAAGCAATTTAATACTTATCCTATGAATTTGTTTTGGTCTCCAAATTTATTTATTTTATACACCCATTTTATACACCCATAGTTTGTATAGCTTTGCTTAAAAGTAGACAAATAATTGTAATTTATTGATGGGGCCCGTGAAATATAAAGAGTTCAAGTTTATTGTTATGGGATGAGCTTAATCTCATAGAAATCTTTAAGAAACGGCACTTAAAATATCATATATTCAATATATTAAACAATTTTGATAGCGCCTAAAACGGAGTTTCCTAAAGCCAGTCCTCACTGTGGCATCGCAGACTGTTGCCATGCGTGTTTGCCGTATAATTATAATCGTATCATGCATATCTGCTTTATGGCGTCGATCCACAGAATTGGCTGACTTATCTTATAGATGCTTATGCTTCCAGAAATATCCAGGGAGTGGAGTCCATGGAGATCGGACAGCGTATTCCGCCAAGGACACACCGTTAAACGCGGACAATTGCCGGCGGGCCTTCCTAAAAAAAAGGGGAGTAAATTGTTTAAAATTATCACATACTAAAGACGCCGCGAGGATGCGATGGAGACAAGGAGCGGAGGGAAGCCGGGGAAGTGCTCCTTCTCCACCGAAGACGGTACGAAACAAATCACATTATTAGCCGCCGTCGTTGTTGCACGTTATTTTTAAAATTTTTCGTTTCGTTCGGCCCCCGTTTGATTTTAGGCGCCAAGCCGATGTCGCCGGCGTTTGGCTGCAAATTGCAATTGCGGCGACACGTCTGGAGCGTGGCAGCAGCATTCAGCCGTACACTGCCCGAAAATAGGACAACTTGAGATCGCAAAAAAATTGTAAGATGTTCATCTATCAAGCCTGCGACTATGCCCAATAAGAAGCTTTTTATCTGTTAAGGCTCACTCTCTTTGCTTATTGATGTTTAAGTATCATAAAATGTAACAGTGTTTAAACTTAAAATGTAGATAGTTTTAGCAATACTTCGAAACAAGCTTGAAATAAACACAACTCGCATCAACATTTTAGTCAATGCTAACACCAATATTTTGTAATATAAAGAGTGAATGCAAAGTTTGTGTATTGAAAAGAAATTAAACTTTTTTGTTTGAAATATGAAGAATTTCTTTGAATTTTCAAAATTCGTATGTGAAGGTAATGGGATTGAAACACTTGTATATATATTTTTTTCTTATTATTTTCTTATCTTGTCTTCATTATAGAAACTTCTCTTAAAATATATCTTTAATTGCAATTGTGAACTATTTTGTTCAGTGCACACATTCACACACATGAGCAGCAGATACAGTAGAGATAAGGTAAAGTAGAAAAAAAAGCGAAGGAGAGCGAGCGAGAGAGGGAGCAGCCAAGATAGAGATACAAGATAAGAGACAGCCAACAGACGCCAGACAACAAAAACAACTACAACAACGACGCCGACGAAGACGCAGCATCGCTGAACACTCGAAAAAAGAAAATATTCTAAGCCCCATATATCAAGAGGGATATTTCTTATACATCTTTAAGATACATTTACAGGCTAAATATATGTATAACAGCAGAATGGCTTTTTTTTCAGTGTATTCTGATATAAATCTAATATATGTATGTATTTATATCTTTGGGATACTTTTGCTGGTAAAAACTAAATAAGATATTTATATTTGTACCAGATGGATACATGTAGGACAGGAATGTCGGTATTTTTTGATCAGTGTATCGCTGGCTCTGCCGCAGCGATGCCAACAGATATCAAGCACGTCTCAATCTCAATCATTCAGGGCCGGGCTCCGGGAAAGGTTTACGTTTACGTAGCTGCCGCTCAATTAACAATGAAAAGTCGGTCTGGTACGTCATAATATATTTTTATCTGATTACCTGGTTGCGGTGCGCTCTAGAGGTGGACCCACAATATAAGCCGACAGTCAATACAAATGTCTAATACAATAATGTAATAAACACGATAAATGGGTATCTTGAGAAATGTATTCTTTCTGAAACGTGGTTATCTTTAAAATTCTTATTAATTTTAGGATCCTAGTAACTTTAAGATCCGTCCAGTATAACAAAGGATACATTGAACATTATTCCAAGGTTTATAAATTTGGTATAATTTTAGTGTTTTAAGCGAAGAAATAAGAATCAGGAGAAAGAAGTAAATAGTTACAAAAAAACTTGACTTGTTTTAAGTTGAAATAAAAGCAGTGAACATAATTTTTAATTATTCCCAAATAAAATGATTATTATTTCCATGATAATGATGTTAGGGAAAAAATAAAATATTTTGTAATTTCGTTGATCCTGGCACTGTTTTTATTATGTTTTACAAAACTATCGAATAATGTGATCCTTAGCACGTGTCACGCTGCCACCCACAGAAGCCTGAAACGCAGGCAGTGGCGCCGGTGGCCAGGGACCAAATGGGAGCCAGGTCCCACAGATCCCACCGATCCAACAGAATCGTGCGTTAGTCCGTCCCGACACACACACCCCGGCATACAGATATTGTATCTTTGTATCTCCGGCGGCTCCAAGCGACTAAGCGACTGGAACAACATCATTGCTCGTCTGTCCGTCACCCGTGCTGTTAGCATTGTTTCTTCTGGACGTAGCTGTGGCTGTATCTATGTAATTTTTCGCGTGACTCCCATGTCAAGATTTGATCTTTGGCAGATCTCACTAGTCTGATGGCGTCAGTCTCCATGTCTCCAGGTCTCCAAGTCTCATCAATGCGACGCCGCCCGTGTCCCGGCTTAAAAGCTTCATTAGTATGTGAAATTGTAAATTGTAAATTATAAAAACTGTACTCTGGGTTAATTGTTTTCTAAAAAAATGTGATTTATCTAATCAAAAATTCAGACCAATCGAGTTATACATTTTGTAGCTTAAAATACAAATATTTTCTTTTTTAAGGGCTTTCTTTAAAAAACATATACTTAAATGGTTTTAAATTTAAATAAAAGCCTAGAAAGTAATGATCAAAAGTTGAAAATTCTCCTACATCGTTGAACTTGTCATAATATTTCTAATCAAATGGCGTTCACAACTTAAAAGTTATATTTATTTAACATTTTTTCAAAAAATCATCATTTATAAATAATGCAAAAATTGGCAAGATAAAATGTTTTTCCAATCGAATAGCATTCACATTACAGCAAAAAAAAACTGTTAAAAAATGTTATTTTCGATGCCAAAGTTTTTAAAAATCTAATCCACTTTCGGTTTATTTTAATTAAGCCCCATAATGGTCAAAAGTTAATAATGTTTCCAACCGAATGTCATTTGAATAAGTGCATCAATAAAAAAAATACATTAAATACATTAAAAAAATATAAAGTTGCAAGTCTATATGATTTCCAGTTAAATACAAAAATTATGTAAAATTGAGATTTCAAATGAACACTGTCGATAACGGAGGGCGCGAAATGCGATAATATAGCAGCTGTTTCACCAAAGCTATCGCACACGACCTGTCGTATATCGATAGGCAGCAGGCAAATCCAGATGTGAGAGAATTTTAGTTGTTTTGGCCTACTAATTAGGCCCTGTTTCTACTGTTTTTTTGGCCAATTGGAGTTGAGCACTGCGACCCGGTTCGGAGGAGCCTGGCCAGCGGGGTCAAATGGCGCGCAATGTGCTCGAGAGCAGCCTGCTGGGCGCCGGCTTCAGCATCATCTTTCAGGTGAGGCCCATTCGCACTCCCAGTCCATCCTCTGCCCGGGCATTACTCATCCGCCGTGTGACCTGATCTTATCGCCCGCAGATACTGTGCCGCATCCTCACCTTCGGCATCAACGCGTACATCGTGCGGCATGTGGGCCGCGAGGTGCTGGGCATCATGAACGTGCGCCTGCTGCTCCTGGAAAGCACCCTGCTCTTCCTCTCCCGCGAGGCCATCAACCGGGCGGCCCTTAGCGCCAATGCCCAGCAGGGCGACCGCTGCTCCTGGGCGCAGCTAATCAACCAGATGTGGCTCACGTAAATAACTGGGGACAGGTCGCCAAGGTCGGCTTGTGATACACGCCGATTGCATGCTCCTAGGGTAGCCAGGTGCCAGGACAACGGTGGGGACACCTTCACGGTGTCCTCCTTGACCTCCTGCGAAAGTTTCACCACCACAGTTCTTACCATTCTTAGGGAAGGGTTAATAGTTCAAAGATATCTTCCCCATAGCCTTCTTTAATTTTCCATAAAAATGTATAGCTCTTACCATCTCCATTTCATGCAGTATCTTTATGTCTTGAAAGTGTAACAAGAGAGCAAAATGTTCAAGGTCTTATATACCACGTTTCTGTGTTTTATGCGATCAAAATGTAAATTAAAAGATTTTTTTAGGGTCAAAACGCATTCAAAAGTAATAGCTATTTTCATAATAGAAAATTGCCCTGGATACTAAAATGTACTAATCCAAATTAAAGCCAAGTTTGCAGTATAAACAAAACCTTTTAGTTAGAGAAGCAGAAATTAGCATTGCACAGGATAAAGTCGGCTTGCATCTCTTGGTAATCCTTCACTATATTGCCCACTAATTGTACCTTTTTTCAGGGTGCCCATCTGCGCTGTTTTGTGTGCTCCTTGCCTGTACATCTGGCTAAATTGGCTTTCGGCTGTGGACGCCATCTACGCCTCCCAGTACGAGTTCGCCTGCTATGCCGTGGCCTTGTCCTGCGTCCTGGAACTGCTGGCTGAGTCAGCGGTGTTTGTGGCCCAGGTCTTTTGCTTTGTGAAGCTGAAGATCCTGCTCAATACGCTGCACATCCTGGTGCGTTCGGTCATCTTCCTGTGGATCGTCACCAGCGATCGCAGTGCGGCGATCAATGCCTTTGCGGTGGCCCAACTGTCCAGCGCCGTCACCATTGTCTTGGGCCAATATGGCTTCTTCTACTTCTACCTCAAGGGCTTCAAGGACTTTGTGGCCCAGCAGACGCGAAAGAAGCCACCGGCTGCGAAAGCCTGGCAGGTATCCCTCTACGAGCACATGGATGATTTTCCCTTCAAGCAGCTAAACGACTTTCTACCAGGCGTAATGTTCAATCCGAATGGAAAGCACTTCAACCGGGAACTGCAAACGCTAACCCTGAGCTTCGTAAAGCAGGGCGTGCTAAAACAAATCCTCACGGAGGGCGAGAAGTACGTGATGTCCGTGTCGCCAGTGTTGAGCTTCGGGGAGCAGGCCACCTACGATGTGGTGAACAATCTGGGCAGCATGGCCGCCCGCTTCATTTTCCGTCCCATCGAGGACAGTTCGTACTTCTACTTCACGCAGACACTATCCCGGGATATCAAGTTGGCCAAGCAGCCGCAGGAGCGCGTCCGCCAGGCGAGCAGTGTCCTTAACAATCTGCTCCTGGGCGTGAGCTCTATTGGTCTGATTGCGTTCACATTCGGCCAGAGCTACTCGTATCCAGTGTTGCTGCTCTATGGCGGTCCGGATTTCGTAGCCGGCGGATTGCCGCAGAGCTTGCTTCAGTGGCACTGCCTGGCGATCTATCTGCTGGCCGTCAACGGGATCAGCGAGGGCTACATGTTCGCCACCAACACCAGTCGCGATATCGATAAGTACAACTATCTGATGGCCATCTTCTCGATCAGTTTCCTGGTCCTCTCCTACATTTTGACGGGGATCTTCGGGCCGGTGGGCTTCATCTTTGCGAACTGCATCAATATGATGGGCAGGATCCTATACAGCACCTATTACATCAGGGCTCAGTACCGACCGCTGTCACTGGATCCACTGCTGGGCCTCTGGCCGGGGAAACTCTTCGGAGGCACGCTCTTCCTGGCCGGGATCGTCTGTTATTGGGTGAGTATGCGGACAAAACTCCTCTTTAAAGTATGGTATTTATTGTCTTCCCTCTACTCACTGCAGTACCAAAGCTCTGGCCTTGCCACACATCTGGGCGTGGGTGTCCTGGCAGGGCTCGCCTGCCTTTTGTCCTGGGCGCTGGCCCATCGGGATCTGGTGCGACTGGCCTGGCGTTATGGCCGCCGCATTAAGATCGAGTAGGGGCCTTCCCGTATGGATTCAATGAAACGCACAGCTCGAGAAATTATGACATATTTATACATAGTTGACAATTGTAAATTAATTCAGAAGTTAAGTTATGTACTTATTGAGTGTTTGTAGAGCTTTGATTGCTTACTTATTGTTAAGACATGCATTAAAAGACAACGATTACTGTTTACATTTCATTTTTTATTGACAAGGAGTGCATACGTTTGTTGCGCAAGAATAGTCAAATTTCTAAATAAGTTAATAAAATCTGAGGGATTGTGGTATTGCTCAGTGGTTTGGTATAGGCTTTATTCGAAAACTATAAATTGTATTGTCCATTTTTGGTTATTCCCTTTTTTTGATTAAACAACAAATTTAATAAAAAACATAAGTCGACAAATCAATCAAAAAATGTTAAGATAAATTAGAGTTTAGTGAAATATTGCAAATCACTAAGAGATGCTTTTACGCCTTTTTCTTTTTTAATCATAACCAAATAAAGCGTAATAATTTTTTTCAAGATTGACAACTATTTTTATTTAAACTATTAATTTGCAATGGTTTAAGCACTATATAAGCTGATAACGAAATCACAATTTGACTTATTTATTATATAAATTATATTATTACATTATATTTAAGTTCAAAAAATATTTAATTGATTAATGCTAAGTATTTAAAAATGATTGAGTCTCGCAAAGCTCCGCATTAAAACCAAAGAAAGGAAGGCATATATGCAGAAACCGCAATCATTATATGTATGTATATTCAGAAATGTACTGAGGGGCTGAAAATATATATTAATATAACTTAATCATGTTTTCCTGGTTTTTGACCTCCTCTACATCGAGCGCCATATACAAGTATGTATTTGTACAGATAAAAAGTAATCATAAAATGATATTTTTATATGAAAAGTCCGGCATGGAAAAAATGGATCATTAAACAGACAACAAAATAATGTAAAACCGGCTTATAAAATTGTTACTTGACTATTTTCAGACATTTTAATGTATTTTTTTGTTTTATTTTTTGAACCATTAAATATTATTATACCAATTAAAATATAGCAAGCCTATTTCTCATGCATTGTGTTGTTGTATGTCTTGGGCAGGTAAAATCGTATCAAACAAATTTGCCTTTTTCCACCGTTTTTTATTTTCGGTACGTTATTAGTAACATAACAGTTAAAAAAATATTAACATTTAAATTAACATTTTCTTAAGAGTTTAAATACAATTTTTATAGAAAAATTACAATTTTAGGACAATTACCATTAACATTTCATAGAAATATGACTATTTTTATAGGAAACCCCTTGTTTCATAAGTTGGGACAGTTTTAACAATTAAATTTAAGGATTTAAAGGTTTTTTTTGTATGTATAAACAATGTATGGCCTTTTATTATCAATTAAGATTAAAGTCTTCCTTGTGACTTCAGCGAACATCTTTATTTCAGTTCGTTCTCACACATCTCCTTGAAAGGTTGAATTCAATTAAAATGCTGCTACTGTTATCCTTTTTATTCGGTTTCCTAGTTATCCCTGCTTGCCAGGGATCATTTGGGTATCCTCAGGATCGGTCGGTGTGCGTTCTGCACGATGAACCAAGGCAATGCGGTTCCTTTTGCCTGGCCGCACTCCACCCGCTCTTTAACCATTCTCTTAGCATCCAAAAAGCCTTGAAAGGGTCCTGCAAAAGGACGATGTCGCAAGAGGACTTCAAGGACGGAATTCAGAGGCTACAGAACAACCTAGATGCCCACTTTCAGGCTGTCCAGACAAACATAGAAGGCCAGCATACAGAAATCAGGAATTCTTTAAAGGAAACCAGCGCACAAGAAGATCTCGGGGCGACACTGAACCGGACGGAAGTTCAATTTATGGCTGTGAATACCGAAATAAAGAACCAACTGCAGGAAATTGGGAGCAAGATCATCACAAAAGAAGACTTCGCGAATTCAATTCAGGCTCTGCAGGCCAAGCTGGATGCGGGATTGAACAGAACGGAGGAACTTAGGATGGTGAGCTACGGATAGACAGACATCCTTTCGCGTTCCTATCGCATGTGCTTATTCCTGTTTATTTGTAAATTGCACGTAAAGAAAGCACAAAAGCAAGAGTTTGTTAGCCCATTTAATAATACTGCACTGGAATTATGTTATTGCATTGTGTAGGATATTAGGAAATATTTAAATTTCTCTCCTAGCATTCATTTTATTATATTTACATTTGATAAAACATTCACTTTCTGGGTTAACCTCAATTAAGATTTCCCGCAGGAACCAACTAATTAGAATATTGAATTCGCTTTCAATATTTTTATTTTAACGCCTGTTCGATTTCATTTTGTACAGATGAAAATAACAGCCGATGCCAACGATGAACTCAAAAGCCAAGCAAATACCTTGAAAGACACAATAAATTACTTGCAGAGTCAGTTAAAAATATCCAAAGGTCAAACCAAAATAAAAGAAGATATTTTAAATGGGAAAGAGGAGCACCTTAAAAATAAAGATCAACAGATCTCCGATCTAAGGAATAAGATTAAATTGATTGAGACAACAACAATCAGTAAACAATCAGAACAATCTAGTAAACTTTCAGAATACCAAATAAAACTCAGGGAGATGGAACCATTTAAGGTGACAAGTGCGTCGTCTCCACCTGGTTGGACTGTAATTCAGAGACGCATTGACGGATCGGAGAACTTTAATAGAACCTGGAATGACTATAAATCTGGATTTGGGAAAGTCAGTGGAGAATTCTTTATCGGGCTGGAAAAATTACATCGGATGACTGAGGCACGACCCCACGAACTCTACATTAAACTTGGGAAGGTTAATGGATCCACCAGCTACGCTCATTACAATGATTTTAAGATCGGGAGTGAGAAGGAATTGTACGAGTTAAAGAATCTAGGGAAATATTCTGGTGAAACCGGAGACTCTCTTACATACAGTAAGAACCAAAAGTTCTCCACAATTAATCGGGATAATGACAATACCAGTGATTTAAATTGTGCCTTTTCATTTGGTGCATGGTGGTACCACAAATGTTCAGAAAGGTATACCTGTTTATTTATACTTATATTAAATCTTCTTACTATAATCACTTAAAATTACAGTACGCTCAATGGAAAATACTTCAAAAATGGCAAAGGTTTTGAAGGAATTCATTGGGGCTCATGGCATGACAACGACTGGGAGATATCACTTACCTTCGTTGAAATAATGATAAGGCCCAAGTCCTGATGAGTCGAACTTATTAAATATATTTTAATACAAAATACAAAATCTATACTGTACTCCTAGTGGTGTCTGGATTTGATAAATGGAAGTGATTGAGATTATTTACCAACTGATGTGCGTATTTTAGGAACATAAATACGGATAAGTGGAGAGGGTTGGTAAGCTATTTGTAGACTTTGCTAAATTTGTGTTTACAGGAATCTGTCAGTGCGTTCTTTCTTCCAATCCGCCGGAATTCGGAATCCTGAATCCGGAATCGTTAATCCAGACCCCGGGAAACATTTATCCAAGGTCCCTAATAAAACGGAGTTTGGGGGACTATGCAACTACAAGCGCTACACATCCGAATGAAAAGTTTACGCTTTACTTTAGCTGAACAAAAGTAGTAGATTGGAAAGCGCCATCTAGGAGTCGTTCGGCGATCTGGGATGTGGCAATCAATCTTAATTAATTGTATTGAGTCATTTTGATGGGTATGTAAGGGAGTTTGGAGAAATGAAGGTGGTTGCTACCCAAGGGGCAAAGTCAAGGCAACGATTGCACTTCTGCTCTGGTGTTTAATATGATTCCCAAAATCAATTCAAATACCGGAAGACGGTGTCCACAAACATATGTACTTGCCCACAGATAAGCACTTCCAGTAGCATCTAAAAATCATTCTGCGGTTCTAGATTAGCAGCTAGCTAGACACATATGTAAATACATAAGTACGAACGATTGCGTAAGCGGGTCATAACTACAAATATATTTTTTGTTAAGCTGACGTCCTAAGTTTTAGAGACCATCCATGGCGGCGCGGTTTTTGCAGCTCCATTTTGCCATTCCCCGCCTTGTCCGCAAAACCACATGCCCAGTGTCTCTGTATGAGTGCGTTCCTACACAGAGAAAAAATACCGCTGCTCGATTTACTTACATTTTAAATACAATTCAATTTGGATATCGGACCCTCATGAATTTTCAGACTTCAAAAATCTTATAAGATTTACCGCAAGAACAAACTAATTAGAATATTGAAAACGAATGCAAAACGAACCAGTTCTAAATCATTTTGTTTAGCTGCAAATAACAGCCGATGCCAACAATGAACTTAAAAGCCAAGTTAATACTATTAAAGACACCATAAAGGACTTGCAGAGTCAGTTGAACAAATCAAAATCAAAGAAGATATTTTAAATGTGAAAGAGGAGCAAATCAAAAGCCAGCATGAACACCTCTGGTTGGAGTGTAATTCAGAGACGTATTGACGGATCACAGAACTTCGATCGAAACTGGGATGAGTATAAAAACGGATTCGAGTGACTTCATTAATTTATCTTTTTTAAATAATTTATTAAAAATAAAAACACAAAAAAATTGACTTAATTTCCTGAACAAAATCATTCAGTATTAATAAACTTGGATTTTAATGAACTGTTAACTATTTTGTTAAAACTTTATCGATTTTGCTACTTTCGTCTGCTCAGTACCATTTGACTCTGTACTCTGAATGGGATAATGATACATTTTAAAGTTAAAATTTAGAAAATAAAATGGAAAATAAGTAATATTTTATAAACAGGATCAAGGAGCGGTTTGCGGCATTTCGGAGGACCCTCACAATTGCAAAATGCAAGGACACTGGCCGATACATGGCCTTGAGTGGCCAGGAAAACGTAAGGATCGTATGAAAAGATTATGCCAACCACCATATCTCACAACATTTAAAGGGGAGCAAAGAAATACCAGCACACAGAATGCGGCCACACCGAAAACGGGGTGGTATTTAAATCTCGGGGCGACGGTCACACTTTACAACCGAGCGCGCAAGTAACAAGATTTTTGTTTTGCTTTCTTTTTCGCTTTCCGAGGACATACCGGCGACCATGAAGCGCATTAAAGACGAGGACAAGGAAGAGTCGCCGTCCCAACCGGCGGCCCACAATTCCAGCGCCGGTAGCAACGGCCACGACGCCACATCTCCGGTGGCGGCCACTTCATCCGCATCCGCAGTTCCGGATGTCTCGGCAACCGGAGCCTCCGTTCGCACGACAGGACGCGTCAAGGCAAGTGTGCAATGGAGGTCCCGAAACCCCACGTCTCACCATCCCCACCCATTCGTATTCCGCAGAAACCCAAGCTGGTGTACGATCCGTCGGACAACTATGTGTCCCGGGCCAGCAGCAATCGCAATTCCCTCGGCGCAGCAGGAGCCGCTCCTGCAGCCGTGGCTGCCATCTCCAGTGTTCAGCAGTCATCGCCTGCCAAGGAGGCTGCCAAAGAGGTGGTCAGTGGCGACTCCCATTCCCAGGACTCCACAACAAGTCCGGCCGTTTCCGAGCAGCTGCAGCCGGCACAGAATCGCAACTTCGACACGTGCCAGAAGTGTGCCAAAAGCGAACCGAAGCGGGGATCGGGCCACAAGAGCAACTTCCTCACCTGCAAGGGCTGCATGCAAAAATGTAAATATTCCCCACCTGTTCTGCTACATTGACAGATTCCCCAGAAATGCATTGTTCCTAAAATCCTACATATATTCGTCCAGTTCTTCAACACAGTCTTGTTCCTCAAGTCCTGCTACTCTATCAGTAGATCTAGTTCCCCCTACTTTGCCATTAGTAGTTCTCGTAGATTTAGCTTTTTCAAAGGCAAAATAAAGTCTTTCCCATAACATGAACTATGCATATACCAGGTTTACTAATTACCACATACATATCTAGACACCTAGGTTCCTGTAAACATATGCATTTGTAAAAGGCAAAGAAGAGTTTTACTAAATGGATTAGAATAAATAGTATACATACAGAACATTGACTAACAAGCAGTGTCGTCTATATACCCCACTTTACAACACTTTTATGCAATAAGTTATTCCACATGCGAAGACTTGGAGCTATAATAATGTTATAATGTATACCTTATAACCCCCCGTGTTAGTGTTATTTATAAAAACTTCCTTGCAATTGCATTATATTCTGTCAATTTATTTTATTTCCTAATAATTACTGATTAATTCAAGTGAACAAGATATAATATGAATGTTTGATAAAGATTTGTACATGTATAGCCATATTAACAACCACAATCGTAATCACCAACTGTTTTGTACCTTCTTTTAGGGCACTTTCCCTGTTTGCCCATCACCTTCGAGAACCAGAGCCTAGCCCGCAAGAGGTACAAGTGCAACAAGTGTCGCTACTGCCAGGTGTGCAACGTGAGGGGCCGAGATCTGGCCATCTGCAGCACTTGCGTGGATGCCTACCATGCGGACTGCAATGATCCCACCATCAAGCAAACCAAATCCGTCGAAACCAATCCCAACTGGAAATGCTTCCGATGCGAGGCGAGTAATAGCGGCAATAACACCAGCCCTTCCAGCGAGGAGCAGACGGGGAACAGGAAATCCAATGCGAGCCGCGAGGACCAGCCGGTGGCGGCCAGGAAATCCAATGCGGGCCGCAAGAAGCGCGTCCAATCCGACCCCACGGGTCAGGAGAAACCAGCAAAGATTGAGAAGCTGGGCAAACGCAGTCCACCTTTAAAAATAGAGGAAAAGAAAGAAAAGAAGGAACATAATGAGGAAGAAGAGCAGCGGGAACAGCCAGTGGTGGTCAAAGTGGAGAAGGTGGAGGATGAGGAGGACAGAGAGAAGGAGACGGAAAAAGAAACGGAAAAGGGAACGAAAAAGGAGGAGAAAGAGCCCATACAGCCAGAGACTCGGGAAGAACCGGAGCCACATCTGGAATCGTTTCCCTCACGTCTAACGCCACCGCCACCTGCAGCTGTAGATAGCCCCGTGAACATCAAGAGCCAACCAGTATCCTCCTGGTCCGTGGAACAGGTCGTTGGCTTTGTGGCCAGGCACTATCCAAAGGAGGCGAACGTGTTCCGATACCAGGACATCGACGGAGCCTCCCTGCTGCTCCTCACCCGCCAGGATGTGATGAACGGATTCGGCCTGAAGCTAGGACCGGCGCTGCGCGTCTTTGAACTCGTCATGTCCCTTCAGAGTCGCTCCGACGACGTGAGACTCGCCTGGTTCGAGTAGCGTCCCCACCTCCTTAGCACCTAAGAACCTTGCGCGACACTGTAACTTTAATCTATTATTCTCATCTGGAGCCAATGTTCATTCGTAAGCAACAAATAACAGCTTATATTAAGTCTTCTGGCGGATGACCTTACTGGCGCTCCAGTTTTTAAGATGTTCTTCTGTAATTATACACTTGCAAATGCACATACTTTGTAAATGATATCTGCTATATTTGCAAATAATTATATGACTTTTTATTCGAATAATTTTTTTTTTAGAGTGGAGGGCCAAAGGGTTGCTTGTTTATTGACGGGAAGCTATCAAAAAATAGATAAACCAAGGCACGTGACACTATTGTGGGCAATTAACCTCGTTAAAAACGCATTTGGGACGGTCTCATTAAAAAGTAACTATCATTTAAGTATAGTCAACAGAAATTCTTTAGTTAAAACTATAGAATACCTTTCCTCTTTATCTTCTAAACTGCTTTCAATAAATCGAGTATTTAAGAATTCAAAACTTGCGTATTTAAAATAAATTCCCAAAGTTATATACTTATTTTTATTTATTCAAAATTACAAAATGTTGAGAGTTGCGTTGACTCGATATGGAGTCGCACTTATAACGCCTGGCGAGTAATTCGACTTTAGTAAAAATATCAGGGGAGAGCCCAAAAATATAATTTTACCAAAATAAACAAGTAAGAGCATACATTCACTCTTAAATTTGGTCAAGTAAATATTATAGGGACGCAAAAAAAGACTTTGGACAATTCGAAGCCCTTTTCCAGAAGACTAATGTTTTAACAACATATTTGGAAAAAAACATTATGTATTCAAACATTACGAATGATAATTGAATAATACTGCTGAGAATTGCCCAAGAAACTATTCTCGAGTCCAAAATTAGGTAATTAAAAAAATTCTGTCCAGCAATCTTTGGCATTCCCTAGCCTTTATAAAGTGACTATCAAAATGATATATTAAAAATTGTTCTTCAGATTTATCATTTTAATATCTATACTTCAGTTTAGCTAGTGAATACCCTAGTTATATTTAATTTATATAAATAATTAAGTATTTTTGTCGTAATTCGTTTTCTTTACATTAGAACTATCGTTTCCAAGCGGAAAGTGCTACGAATTGTCCAGACATTAACATCCACCCTAACATATATACACACAACGTGGGGAATATCAATCACATTAGATGCAATTATCGATCGGTCTCCGGGTTATGGACAAATACTGTTGACAGATCCGGATTCCTCCAGAGTTAGACGCGCGGCAGCAACTTTTCCTCGTCGCCAGCAGGACCCTGCATACTCGACTTTGGCGCCGATCTGGCAGGATCGTAGCCATAAAGAAAGATCGAGGCGATGACCAGGCCAGCTCCGAAGCTAAACTGCAGTGTGAGATTGAAGTCAAAGATGTAGATGGAGGCCACGCACGAAATGATGATGGCCAGGGAGGTGGCGAAGCCCTTGAGTATGTTGTCCGCATACTTGACCACTACGGCTACGATCAGGCCACCGCCGGCCTGCAGAAGAACCAGGTACCAAACGAACGCATCGTAGCCATTGAAGAACCCCTGGTCGAAGATCCGACTGCCGTCGTTTACGAGGCAAGTGAGCAGGCCGAAGGGAATACTCAGCAGACTCAGCTGGACATTCCTCATCCACACGGAGATCTCGGCTCCTTTGAGGATCTTCTCAAAGTATATGCCCGCGAATCCGGAAAGGAAGCAGGCACCCAGTGCTGCCCACAGTCCGAGCATCCTGTTCTGTTCGGGTGCTCCTCCAACGGAAGAGGCGGTCGCTGCAGCTCCAGTTCCACCGGCTGAACCGCTCGACGGTCCCACCGTTTGAGCCAACTGGACCATGACAATACCCATAACCAGGAGCAACAGCGCACCCCATTGGGTGTTGAGCAACTTGCGACGCAGAATCACCACCGCGAACATGGCCGTGGTGAGGATCTTCAGCTGGTAAGTCACCTGGTAGGTGGCCGCATCCAAGTGGGAGGCGGACACATACAGCAGGTTGTTTTGGACGATGTAAACCAGCGAGGGCACACACACCTTTAGCGTGTCCATTGGATTCGCAATGATAGTCTTATGCAGCGAACGGACGAACTTCTGGGCATCCTTGCCCTCCTCATTGAAGACCAGGAACAGGCACGTAATGAGCTTGGCGAACTCTGCCATTAGCACGGCTGCAAACAAGGGCGATAAAAGCAATTTGTGAAATTTCGGCAGAGGTCGTAGATTATTAATTTTTGCTTTTGCAAATCAACAAAATGTTTTTAAGAAATTCGGTTACGTTACAATATTAAAAGGCTAATTTAAAAACTAACTTCTGATACTTTTCTTAAGTCTCTGACATTAAATTGAAAAAACCCATTAAAAACCAACCAATCAATAAAAATCGAGAAAAGATCTATAACAAGGAATACCTATTTAAAACTATGAGTTTATCTTATCTTAATAAACACAGCTAAATTGCAAAATTTGTTATTGATATAAGATCAAGAATGGCTTCTAATAATTATAACATTTATAAAGCTTTGACTATAATCCAAATAGTAAACCTACAATTTTGGGAAACTCGGCATTTAAAGTCTGAAACCACTTTTATCTAACTAGGTGCCACATGCGGAAGTGGCTGCTTATCAGCTTCTTCGGCCGCTCCACATCTACCCGAACGGCCATTCCCCGCCTACTTCTCCTCCTTCTCTTTTGCTCTTTTTGCTGATGTTGCTGCTTGCGTGGACAGACCCACGTTGAGGGTTCGTGCAACTGCCGCTAAACCGGGTGAACCGGATGACCTGCTGGGGGCACAACTACTCACCCGTGGAGCTGAGGAAGATGTCGCCAGGCCGGGTGCGGGCGTAGCGCATGCTGAGGCCCAGGATAGCATTCTGCAAGGTCAGCGTCAGCAGGCTGATGTACTTCAGCGTATTGGCGTTCACTGGGCGATAGGAATAGGTGACGGGTGCAGGCAGAAGCGCCATGTCAGTACGGCTGGAGGAACGCCACTCAACTAAAGGCCAAATACTCACTGTGTATGTTCATGCTGCTCCGATTTAAACTCTTTTGTTTTCCCAACTCCAAAACCAATAGAAACCAAAAGGCAAACAAATGCCGGAGTTTGCTGTACAAATTGCCTGGGCTACAGACTCCGTTTCTGCTTCTGGCCAAGAACGTTCAGTCGTCGGTGGAGCGTTTGCTTCGGCGGATCGCTCCGTTCAAGTTGGCCAGGGGACGAGTAAAGAAGACGACACCGGACACGTAAACAACAATCTGAGCCCCAAGCTTCTGCCATCGGCGACTTTTTTATCGCCGCCCCGTCCATGTGGTTGTTGTTATTGTTGCTTTGGCGGCAGCGACCGGCTATTCGATAGCCACAGTGATGGCAGTGCTGCGTGATTCGCGGGCGGGAATCTTCGGTGCATGCAAAAATAGCCAGAATTGGCAAAGTGCATTTGAGCAGCTTTTTTCTTATTCTTCTTATCATAAGAAGAGCCTTTTCTGCTTTTAATATTTCCAAGTACTGCAGCAATTATTTCACTTGAAAAAAAAATTTATAAAATTAGATATCATAGATATGCACTTACATATATCAGAAAATTGTATAATTAAGTATGACAAACGAGTATACATTTTTTAAGCATCCACGAAAATACAACAACAGACTCCTAATATTAATTCAAAGCCATTGGTAAATAATTTGATGTGTATTCAGTATCTTTTCATTGTTGTTAGCTTAGAAAAATAAACATAGCAAAATGTATTTGTTTTTTATTTGTTCAGGTGTTGCTATACATACGTCACAAGAGGCAGTAGGTGAAGTCAATTGAAATAATCATTGAAAAACAAATAAAAGCAGTTATATTATATAAAAATGTACAAGTATTAGCATATCGCAAGAAAAATAAAAATTGTCTACAAATTAAATGTGTGAGCGTTGTTATTGGTTTAGCTTTTTATGTTTACATAAAGCAGCTGATTGTAATCGATATTACGCTGCTCATCACCAGGGAGTGCTTTCGCCAGCCCGTTTATCGATAACACATACTAGTGTGGCGATTCGGTTTGCATATTTACGAAAAGTTGGTAACTTTTTGGCGAATTGTGAAACTCAGAAAAGCCAGGATGCGGGAACAGCCACTGAAGGAGGTCACCCAGCTGATCCACGCCATCAAAGTGGGGTAAGTCGGTGGGGATTTGTTCTGGCCAAGTATTAAAGTGGGCAATCTACTGCAGGCTGGTGGAAGGATCCTACAGCATAACCAACAAGACGCTGGATATCTTCAAGTACATCATCATGAGCAAGAGCTGGCAGAACGCCGAGTGAGTTGAGGATGTACCCCGGCCAGGATAACCCATTGACAAATCCATTTGCAGTGCCCTCATGCAGATTGTGCGCGCCCAGTGCAAAATCCTGCAGGCAGCTCTGCCCCAGGAGACGGTGACCTCAAATATAGCCCGGAGGATTCTTAAGCTGACGCGGGAGGAATTCGACCTGCTGCACGCAAAGGGGCAGCACTTCGCCGACGATTCGCAAGCCTCGCTGTCGCTTCACAAACTGGTCACTCAGACTAGCGAGAGCAATGTGAGCGTGGACTACTCGGTACCGCAGCAGGGATTGCGGGAGGCGCTGCTCGACCATCTGCAGGAGGTGGAGACGGAGCTTGAGACCAGCTCGGAGAACATCTGCGTGCAAGCTGAGGAACACATCCACTCGTCGGAGATCATCCTGACCCTAGGCCATTCGCGGAGCGTCGAAAGCTTCCTCAAGCGGGCGATCAAGAAGCGCCAGTTCCTCACCATCATCGTGGCCGAGTGTGCACCAGCCTGTCGGGTGAGTTGGAAGCCCGGAAGGGATTCGGTCTTGTAATACTAAAGGACTTTAAAGGGGTGCTCTTCTGGTTACCTTAAAGTGAAAGTATAAAACACAATTTAAGGGAATTTGGTTTGATAATGTAAACTGTTTCCCCTGTCCATATTCCTGTACCACACTATATGTATATGCCTTACTAAGTTTCTCATTCCCATTGCAGGGTCACAATCTAGCTGCCAGCTTGGCGGGTGAGAAGAATGTGGAGATCGTTGTAATCCCGGATGCAGCCATCTTCGCGATGATGTCGCGAGTCAACAAGGTGATCATCGGCACCCACAGCGTGCTGGCCAACGGAGGACTGAGAGCGGCCTGCGGAGCCTACACGGTGGCACTGGCCGCCAAACACTACTCCGTGCCGGTGATCGTTCTGGCGCCCATGTACAAACTGTCCCCGCTGCATCTGTGCGAACAGGACGCCTTTAACATGGTAGGCTGTGCGGAGGATGTGATCCCCTACGATTCCATTCCCGCCCGAGAGGCCAAGGTCTACAGTCCAATGTTCGATTACGTGCCACCGGAACTGGTAACCCTTTTCATATCCAATACGTAAGTAGTGATTGCGTTCGTTCGTTCCAAAGGGCCTTTTGTATATATGATATTATCCTTTAGCGGCGGCCATGCCCCCTCGTATGTGTACCGCCTACTCACGGAACTGTATCATCCCGAGGACCTGGAGATTTGAAATCGAGTTTGTCGCGTGATTTTTTTTTCAAAAATTCGATTAATAAACACTGACCCTAAAGATTTAGAAACATATCCATTTTTAGTTTAATCGGTTTCAATTTTAATTAACTTCTGTTTCACAACGCTATAAAATAATTTAACTTCTTGCTAGTAATATTTTATAAACTCGTTTTAAATTCATTTTATGCGCATTCGAAAGTAAATACCTATATTGAAAAACAGCAATGGTTACAATTAGATTTTTGTTTAACAACATTGAATTTTTTTTTTCTAACAATGCGGTGGATCGGTTTTCGTTTAGGAACACATTAAATTCCACTCTTATGATTTTATAGATTCTTTCAGGTAACTTTTTTTATGTTTGATTTCGATAAGATCTTGGATTTTGAATCTATTTTTGAATATTTTCAAGCAGCTGTGTGAAGTCCGCCAAGCTATCCGCATAGTAATCTGGCTGGGCTTCCACCGGGGCATTTAGCATGTCCTCCTTGGTCAGGCAGCCGCTAAGCACCAGCAGGGATTGGAAGCCGCAGGCTTTTCCGAACTGCACATCTTGCACCAGGGTGTCGCCAATAAAGATGCAGCGCTTGGGCTCCCGGATCTCGAACATTTCGCCAAACATTTCGCCCAAAATGGGCGACGGCTTGCCCAGGAAGGTGGCCTCCCGTTGGGTGTATCGCTTTACATGCTCCAGAAAGTCAAAGAAGCCGGCTACATTAAGATTCTCCGCCAGGGGCATAATGACATCGCTGCCACCGGCTATCAACTGGCAGTCCTCGTTCTCCTGCAGATGCCTGATGGCCTTGGCTAACTCAACGTAAGAGAGATCCAAGTGGATGTCGAAGAGCACTGCTCCCACGGGCTTCTCAATGGCCAGGTGATCCACAAGCGAGGCGGCGGTCAGGTGTTCTTTGACTTGCTGAAGGGAGAGGAGGCACAAGTCAGGTTAAGTATTTAAATTGTAGTTAGTTATATTATAAATAGCCAACAAAATAATTGTTAATTATTAAATTATAAAAGTGCAATTGTTACTTTAATAATACTGTTCTATAATACTGTTTAATGAATTTAACACTCAATATTTACTATGTTTGTATGTCTACAAAATTTTAATCTTGGGTATATAAAGTTCTAAGGAAAATCTACATTTTAAAGTTGCAAGTCATAGAAAAGCTCCTACAATTAAGTTAATGTTTGCTTTTTGGTGTAAGACGAAAGTAACCCATTTTCCCTTACCAGCGACTCGAACTCGATGTTGTGCTTACGCAACGTCTCATTAGCCTCCAGGGACATGAGGGAGAACACCCGCTCTCCGGGCTTGTTCTTCTTCAGGTACCTGACAATGGTCTTCACCGGATGCACGATGTCGTCCTCTTGGACATTATTGGCGCCTATATGCCGGAACTTCTCCATGTAGCCCTCCTCGGAACGAAAGCTGTTGTTGGACACGAACTTGATTTGTTTTCCGGCCGCTTTCAAGGCATTGACGGCGGGTCCTGTGTTGGGAATCCAGCCCACCAGGAGCCAAACGACGCCATCGCAGTCGCTGATCACCAGGTCGAAGGAATCGATGAACTGGCGCTGCTCCTCCAGGCTCAGCTTCAAAATGTGACGTGGCGGCGACATGGATATGGGCGGCTTTGCAAGGCTTGTTATGAACTATGAACGGATGCTGGTTGCGCGCGCATTGGAATTCCACAGCCGACTAACTGCCTTCGCCGGCATTTAACCTTCAATGTCGACGCATTGACATTGTTCCCCCGATTCCTCGGCCATTGAAATATGTATATACATTTCATGTTAAGTATCTTTTATTACACGATTTAGCGAACCGAGCTGAGTGGCTCGTCCGATAAGATTTCGTATGTAAATAGATGCCTCTTCTGTGTGGGACGCGACATGAAAGACGCGTGCTATGCCTATTTCCTAGTCTTATCATCTTCAAAAGCAATTAAAACAACTTAAATAATATCTCCCTTTGCTTCCTAGTTATCGTTGATCTAAAAACCAAACGTGAATTTCTTTCTTAAATATTGAAGGTTATGTCTTAGTCATTAAGAGTGACTTATTATAAAGTTGCAAGTAAAATTTGTTTTTTTTTTGTTTTACCCACAAAAAATAATTTCATTCAAACTTTTGCTTAAAATTAACGGAATTTTCAATAGAACGTTAGCTGGTTCGATATATGAACATAAGAAATATCGAATTTAATATTAACTGTCAAACAAGATACCTACTGATTGTTTTTACCTGTAATTAAGTATACATTTTTTTTTATTTTTTATACACACTACATTATAATCTTCGAATCTTCCAAAATGTTTTTCAAATTAAAAGGAACTAGTTCGATATTAATGTTCACTTAAAAGTATCGAGCTTGAAATAATTTCAAAAATTAAAGCTAAATGATTGGCTAAAGTCTGTTTTTTAAATTTTAACAATATTTGTCTCTTAAAATACCGCTTTTTTATAGTCTTGAAAAACTAGTGTACAAATTTGGGTAAACAATGCTCTCAATTACATGTCAAGGATTGAATTACATGTCTATATCACTCGGTAATCCACTAAAAATTCCATTAATCTTAAAACCCCTTCGATTCATGTGGTTGAAGGCGATTGACAGGAATATCGATCGGTGCAACGGCCTTTTGTTTACACCGTTAGAAGTTGTTGCTTGTTGCTCTTTGTTGTTCTGTTGAAGCTTATAACATGCACAAACATGTACAGTAAGCTCGCGAAAGGGAAAATATTTGTTAACTGAATAGTTAAAAAATATAATATAATATTAAATATTTGTATGCTTACATACAAACGTATGTATATAGACCGAAAAAACCTAAGCACATAAATGCATCATCTTTCAAGTAGAGTATAAAATATTATGTAAACTAAATTAAACCTATTTGAAAAACAATAATTATGGAAACATTCTCTGCACCAATAGGTTATGCCACTGATGGCATACTGTGCTGTGCCCTAGACCCTCACCACACGTCAACACCTTGACATTGATTACTGCGGCATTTGGCCAACGGAAACGGCGGAAAACGAGGATTGGGAATGGGAATGGAAAAGCTACCGAAACAGAGAAAACCACAAATGGCCAATAATTCAAATTCAAATGCAACATTTCAATTGGTGGTGTCCGGAAGACACTTGTTTCCACGGCGGAGAAGGCTTAAGAACAGGCCAACGGGGCGTGCACTTGATATGTGTGTGTCGCTTTGGGTTCGGTTTGGTTTGGTTTGGTTTTTGGGTATATGTACATATATCACAAGTCCAAATCGATTGCCGGGGCAGTTAGTTTAGTTAGGCGTCTCTCTGATAAGATACGAGAGTACGAGTGGCGAACGCTTGCGGAGAATTCCGCTAGAAGAAAAGCACATTCTGGCCCCTGAGCTTGGAGCAACTGTTCCCGGCGGTTATACAACCAATCAAAAAAATTCTGGAAAATGTCTGCGCTCGCTAATGGAGGTCAGGAGGAGGATTTGAAAATTCTGGGCCAACTGAAAACCATCGAGCAGATCAACGAGCAGCGCCGGATATTCCTCAACAGCACGATCAACGAGGAGGTTTCGGAGGGCTCGAATGGTGCGACCACCCAGGAGGAGGACTTGGAGAAGGATCTGAAGAAGTTGGAAGAGCCGGAGACGAAGAAAACGCCCGCGGAGGTGGAGCCAAAGACAAAACCAGAGGAGACCCCAAAGAAGGAGCTGGACACAACGCCCGAGAAGGTGGAGCAAACCAAGCCCCAGCCCCCCAATACGCTCACCCTAAACGTGAAATACGCCACCCTGCCAAGTCCGAATGTGGTGACCCTGAGATCCCCGCTCTCGCCGCCTCCCAAGCCGCCCATGTTGGGTCGCACCCGGAGCATTGGTTCCGGCGATGGCAAGAGCCCCACCGTTAGCAATGGAGGCCTCCCGTCCGACAAATCCCTAATCCGCCAGAGTTTTCCCGAAGGTGCCATCAAGCCCAAATCGCCGGCGAAGCCTCAAACTACCACTCCCGACGAAGAAGCACCCGCCACCGTATCCGCCCGCCACTACGAGGGACTCATTGAGGAGCTGCGGTGTCCAGGATGTGCCGGCGCCATGAAGGCACCCATTCTCCTCTGCAAGAGCGGACACAGTGTCTGCGAACAGTGCACCCGCATTCTGCTCATGTGCCCACTGTGCAAGGTACAAATTGACGTCAGCCCCCGTCCACGTTCGGTTATCAATATCATATCCCCTCCATATATTTCTTATCTAGTGACGTGGAAATACAGGTAAAAACTAAGGAGAAATTAGACGGAGATTGCCATCATCGACAGGCGCAGGACAGAGTGATCTTCAGTTGCGATTATTTTTATTACCTTACGGAGGGTGCTCTAATCAATTCTCAAGAGGAGCCACTATCTGCACTATAAAGTAGTATAAATACACCTTGTCCGCTTGTCCATATTATCTGGGTTTTCAAAACAAATGATTATAGATTTTTTAAAAGATGTATTTGTAACTTTAAATAAGGTGTTCTAAGCAGTTTTCTAAAGTTTGCTTCCGTTAGTATCTAATTTTCGTTACTGCTTTCTGAAATTAAAAATATAACTTTTAGATACCATACTTTTCAATTTTTAAATTCTTAATGATCAATTCTTAAGAGGAATCCTTATCTGCTCTATAAAGTACATTGCACTATTCCATATATAGAGTCTTAATTATTTTCGTTAGTTTGGTCTTTAACTTGTTATCTGAGTGAAGACAGTTTTATAAGATAAAGCTGTCTGATTTCTTCAAACCAAATATTTATATCATAAACTCGTTAAGTATCGGTAAAACAAGATTAAGTCAAAAAGGCTTATATAAGAGTAATGTTTTTATTATTTTTAATTATTTTTTTATAATAACTTATCAAAGTCCGATCTCTAAACAAGTACAGTATAGATCTTTCTTTAAAAACATACAACATATAATTAGTCATTAATGATGCAATATCCTCTTCTTTCAGGAGCCCTTCACCTCCTCCCGATCGCTGACCGTGGAGGCGCTCTGTGCCAAGGCGCACTTCCGGTGCGGACACGCATCCGGCGGCTGCCAGGTGCGGATGCCGGTGGTCCTCCTCCCGTGGCACGAACAGCAGTGCATGTACAAGCCGATGAAGTGCTTCATGGGCCGCGTGTGGGGCGATTGCCGCTGGCAGGGACGCGAGGTGCAGTGGAAGGAGCATCTGGAGGATCAGCATGGCGACCGCCTGTTCCGCTCAAGCAGCGCCGATCTGGAGTGGAATCTGGTCACGCGGCGGAAACCGCTCACCGGCTACTACGTCTTCCAGGCGCACGACGAGATGTTCAACTTCTACGAGATCCACGACCGGCAGCGCATCCTGTTCACCATGACCTGCACCTCGAACCGCCGGGACAGCAAATACAACTACGCCTACGAGGTGACCGTGCTCCAGCCGGACAACGAGGCCCTGTCCATGACCCAGAAGTTCCCCGTGCACAGCGAGTACGACAAGGACATCCTGATGGAGGGCACCTGTGTCAGCATTCCTCTGACGGAGCTCAACCGCTTCCTGGACCAGGAGAAGGTGAGTTCTGAATAAGATTGCGGGGTTATTGCCTGAGACTTTAGTTCTTTGAAAGTGGTTTCTATTTGGTTTTCAAGACCAGAGTTCCCCGAATTTTTCTTATCGCCCATTAGCTGGAATATGTGATCGAACCTTATCTGCACTTGTAAGTGCAATTTATTTTAATAGCTTCGGAAAGCATTTATGGCAATTTAACGAAAAAAAGATAAATGATAAAATATAAATAGACGCAAGCCAAATATTCGCGTATAAAATGTATTAAAAATATATCATTAATTAATGAATACAGACCAGAAGATATATTTTGCAATATTGTTTTTAAGAAGCAAAGCATGGACATTTCCAGCAAAAATATTTCAACATTGAATTTTTAAAAAAATAACCGTTCTATAACTGCATATATACGAAATTTGTTAAATAATTCTAAAGTATTTTTTTGTTATATTCCCGAATCGAATATAATATACATTATTTTATTATTATTTTAACTGGGTATATGTGTACATTCAGAAATATTTATAAGGACTAAACAACGAACCAGATTTACCAACTCCTTTTGCCATTAACCAGGTTCTCCACTACCGTGTGAGTGTGCTGGCGGTCAAGTCCCCGCGCCGCGCGAAACCACCTCGCCAGAGTCTGCCACATCCCGTGGACCTGGAGCAAACTCAAAATGGCGGAGTCAATGGGAAGAGCGTGCCGACCAGGATGATCATTACGCGCACGTATAAGGAGGCCATCGGCGAGGCGGTTGCCCAGGCCAAGACAGAGGTGGCCACTCCGGACTCGGAGGAGGATGCGGTGGCCGGCGGCGGCGATGCTGAAGGTGATAATTCCGGAGGTCTGGAACTCGAGCGAAAATGGGGCACTCCGCAGCTGCACTTCAACCGGAAATATCTGCGAAACACACTGAACGACTCAACACCCCTGGAAGACGAGCTGCGCCCACTGGCCGGGGATCTGCGCAATGGACATGGCGACGACAAGCTCTCCCAGTGCAGCAACAGCACGAGCTACACGAAAAAGGTATCTGATTCGTTGCGGAGAAGTTTCCGGGCCCTCAAGGCGGACATAGTTGAAATGCGGCCCTTCAGCAAGAAGGCGGTCAAGGCAGGATCCCCCGATCCAGTCCAGGCGAATGGCAACTAGTGATTCCAAGTGCGTTTTTTTCTTTTTTTTTGTGGTGACTATATATCATTTCTTTACACCCCAGATAAAAGCATGTAAATATAGCAAATGTTTTTAAATCTAATGAAATATGTACTTAACTCTTAATAAAACGTAAATTAAAATATAAACAAATGCAATATACATATTACTTTTCGTTAACAAACTAAATACATCAACTTTTCAATGAGATATGAAAAATATTTAATTGCAGAGTTACTGAAACCTAAATGAAATTTTAGCCTCTAGTCATAATCTCGTAATCAATTGACTTGACTTGGTAATATTTCCTCCAAAAAAATTATAGTTTATAAACTAATACTTATCCTATGCCATTTACCAATGAAACGCCTTAGATATTGGTTTGGATGACTCATTTTATCTAGGACTTAGACTACACAGCTAACAGGATTCGCATAAAGGGCTACAGTAAGCCCTGCATTTCGTTCATGAATTGCAGATAGGCGTCATCCTTGGTGGGCGGCTTACTGTGCGCCTCCGAGGGGGCGTGGTGGCCATCATTCGCCGCGTGTCTGGGCCTCGCCGTCCGGCGTTGATCCTCGCGCTTCACGCGCAACGTGGACGGCACAAAGCGGGTGACATCCGCACTCAGATTCCTGAAAAACAATTTTTTTTTAATACGGAATATCTAATAGGAGTCGTCGAAACCCACCTGATTTGTGGTTTGGCAGTAATGGTGGTCACACCCTTGGCGGACTCCTTGGGCGGACCTCCGCCGCCTCCCTGCTTGTTATGGTGGGCGAGGCGAGGTGGCAGGCCCGGCGGCGGTCCCGGTGGCATCCTGATGCCCATTCGGGGCATCGGCCCCAGGCCATGTGGCGGCCTGGCTCCGGGTGGCGGTCCAGGCGGCATGCGCAGGCCAAAACCGGAGCCCGCATGTGGTGGTCGCATGGGTGGCGGTCTGTACATTATGCCCGGTGGCCCAAGATTGTGCATAGGCGGTAGTTGGGGAAGTTGTGGTGGCGCTGGAACCGCCGACGCTGGTGGCAGAGGAATAGTCGGGAGTGTTGGCGCCGCCGGAGGAGCTGGTATCGGCTGCAATGACGCGGCAGAGGTTGATTTTACTGGCGCTGGCTTGGTGGGCGGTTCGGCCATTTGCTCATCCTCATTCTGATCTTCGTCGTCGTCGTCACTGTCGCTACTGCTGACGGATTTCCTATCCGAGCTAGAGTCTCGTTCTTGGCGCTTCTCGGACTCGTCGTCATCGTCCTCGTCTCGCTGTTTATCCTCATCGTCCTCCTTGGCCGCCAGTTTGCGATGCTTGCGCTTGTGCACATGCTCCATTTCCTTCATGAAGTCATCGATGTTTTGGTTATTCGGTTCGGCGGCATCCTTGTCTTTGTCGTTGCTCTTCTTAAGCGAATCCTCCTCCTCTTCCTCCTCGGCCTCGCCATCATAGTCCGTATTGCCCTCGGCATCGGAATCGAGTTCGGACAGAGCAAACAGATCTGGCGGCGGTCCCGGTGGGACACCCAACCAATCCTTTTCCTCGTCTTCCTTGGATTTCTCCGCCTGGGTCTCGCTGGCCGTTTGATCACTATTTTTGGTCACGCCTGGGGGAGCACCGGGGGCATATGGCGGCAGGGCCATGGTCATGGGCGGCGGGGGAAGACGTATGCCGACGGCGGCACCGAATCCCCCAACAACAGGTCCGCCAGCGGGACCGGCAGGACCGCCTGGCATGGCCGCTGACACCGGAGCGGGCAGGGGAATTTCATCGATCTGGACGCTCTGGGCGTGCTTGACGCTCTCGTAGTACTGCTGTTTCTTCAGGCGCTTCTTCTCGTACTCCACCTCTTTGCGCTTGAGGTCCGCCCAGTGTTCGGGCTCGTCATTGTGCTGTAAGAGAGACGGGTGGTTAAGGGGGCTCCACCTGAACAGCTACTTTTCCAATCTTACATAGAGTCGCATCACCCGGTCGAAGGTCTCCTTCAGCTTCTTTCGCTTGTCCCGCAGCACCTTCTCGTTCAGCGGAGACGGCTGCAGCACGTTGTACTCTGCAAATCGGAGGCACTCCATCAGTGGCTGGTTAAATGCTTGCTTACCCGGTTACCCACCCATCTCGTCGATCTTCTCCATCTCCTCGAGTATCTGTGAGGGATCCTTGTTCTTTAGGACCGCCGCCCGCACCATTTGGCGCTGCCTCTTATTCTTCTTGAGCTCCTTTTTGCGAGCCTCCTTGCCTAAAAGAATGCGCCTGGTGGACTTAACACTTCGTCGTGGGTTAACTATTGTACTTACGCGCCTGGTCCGTGGGGTTCATGTACTTGCCACTTTTCGTGGTGTTGATGGAGCGGCGCCCCATCTTCCCGGCGAATTATAATGCCTGCAAATTAACAAAATAATGCTTTAAACCTTAGCGGCGGCGTTTTTTTGGCCAAGTAAAAATAAACACTACCCTAGTGCTGGAAAACGTCGGCTGCTTAGTGTGGTTAAATGTAGCCACTTTAAAAACTATTGGAAAATAGCTAAAAGCTATTTGGAAGAAACATGAACCTTTGAACATACTAGTAGAAAATGAACAAAAGGAGAAAACAAAATTATATGGAGGTCAATAAATTTATTTAGATAACTGCAAACTCTTGTGGACTTGAACAATATTTTGTTTTATTAAGAGTCCTTACTCAAAATTTGTCTGCCGTTTTTTCCTAAGTATATACAAAAAATATTAAACTCCGTGAAGTGCAAATCTTTCACATAATAAAAAAAATGTTCCTGCCAATCAGTTCGCATAGTTCGTATATTTCGTGTCATTTACAATATGTTTGCCCAACAGTACATATTTACGGGTGTAAAATTGATCTTGTATTAAAGAAAACGCTATGGATTTTATTTCGATCTAGGCAATTAGGCTATATTTGCGTACCCTACTCACAGAAGGAATACAAAAATAAAAAACAGGTTTAAAACAATTCGATGTTTCTTATTACTTTCTCTTTTAAACAAACTTATACATAACATGTTATTTAAGCAATACCACTGCTTTGTTGATCACAACTTGATATGCTGTTGAAATTCAAGTGCATAAAACATTCAAAGAAACTAATTTTTCTGAAAACGAATATATATGGCTTTTAATTTACCCGCTATAAGCCAATGCTGCCCAACACTGCCGTTAACATAGATTTTTAGTCCCAGCCGTTTTAGACGTTTTTCAACCCTGTTCGTTGAATAAAGCCGCAAAAGACAAGACCAAATTGGCGATGCGATGTCGTTCCCCACTAATTACAATCCTGATCCCGACAAAAGTCTGACGGACCTGCTCATAGAATGTCAGCTAGACGACAAAAATGACGTCCAGGTAAGCTGAGGCTTTTCAGTCATCCGTCAGCCAAATCAAACCAAACACTAATATGAATCCAATCCCACCGTGCAAGGCGCCCCAATCCAACGACAGTGTTTCACCTAAGAACGCCGTCTGCAGCAGCACCGATATTTCGGTGTCGTCGAATGATTCTTTGGTTGTCAGCTACTTACACACATCACAGTTCAACAGCTCCTCAGAAGTGTCCCAGGGAGCGATTACCATTGAAGAGACCAATCCAAACACTAATATCAATCCAATCCCACCGTGCAAGGCGGCCCAATCCAACGACAGTGGTTCATCTACGAACGCCGACTGCAGCAGCAGCGATATTTCGGTGTCGTCGAATGATTCTTTGGTTGTCAGCTGCTTACACACATCACAGTTCAACAGCTCCTCAGAAGTATCCAAGGAAGCGATTACCATTGAAGAGACCACAGACACGGACGGCGAGGATCCCTTGGCTGAAAGTCGTGAGTTCCCATCGCAAAAACAATAACAACCGGTTGTAACCCACATTCCGATTATCCTAGGTCCTGGTTCCACGGACATCAGTATGAACACGAGCTCACGATTGAAGCGACACTCCCCAGATCCTGTGGGCGATGATCTGGAGATCAAAAAGTGTAAGTCGGTAGCCGGGTATCCTCTTGCCGAGGTCATCTGCGTGAATTCTCGGCATCCATAGTCCTGCTATCTGCAATCTCTAGGCCCGTCTTTCCCGTGCTCATGGTAGCCCGAAATTAGGTTTTAAACTGCGAAGTTCTGTACATTTTCTCGGTTTAAAACCTACTTTAAAAGTTTTATGAGATCGAGAACGCTCTATTATACCAAACATATACATATATGAAAGAATACTTTTCTAATAGATTTCGTTGCGCCGAATCTTAATCAAGCCACCTGAAAGTTGAAACATTTTTAGATTTGTGTCATTTCTGTACCCCAATAACGGACGAAAAGATTCTTGTTTTTAAAATTCTTTTCATGGGAAAGTGCAACTACTTACCTTTCGACCATACAGAGTTTTAAGATTTTTCAGATCCCATTCAAATAAAACTCTTTAAAAAAAATTTGTTTTCTCAAAATGCAGACATCGTGGAACTGTTTCTCGGCTGGATTTGGAATCTGTACACTGAAATCTATTAGAAAAGTATACTTTCCTTAATGTCTAAAGATAAAAGTATTAATGTGAAAACATTGTGATATTAATCCACTTTACAATAACTGTAAACTGACGAAATTCAAATTTTGGATATGGAAAATCCCGGGCTTGAATATTTTCGAGGTGTTCCAGTAGCTTAACAATATATATATTTTCTATTTATAAACCTAAAATAGTAATAATTCGTCTTTAAGGCCTAAAATAAGATTGTGGAAGACACTCCTAACTAATATCTTAATGATAAACAGATGCTTATCAACCACAATTAGTTCATAGGTCCTTACTGGAGAGCATGGAAAAACTCTGGATTTAACCATTTCGTTAAATTTTAAAAGTTTTTCTATCTTTCGGTGAAGCTTCAGTTGAATATGTAGTAATTCTGGAAATAAACCCCATATCTTAATGAATTTCGTTTAATATGTTTTAGGGGAAATTTTTTTTTGGGTATATACGATTTTTAAGCACACTGCATTGTTAAATTTCCATTAGGCTTTGGCATCACTAAACAAACCACTGGACCTTTTTAGGACGTGCAGAAAGAATTACTTTAAATTGAATAACTAAGTAATTCCTAGGAAATATTTCAGTTGCCTTAGGTCCCAGTACTAGTGCGGCCGCCCACGTTGTGTCGTCAATACGTGCTCAATTGAAGCGAAGGTCCTCGAATGACGGTGAGAATGGTACTCCGGTTAAGAAATGTGAGTTGGAAAGTTGGAAAATAAAGAAATGTGGGGATTTGGGGACCAAATTAATTATTATGTCTATGCCATTGACTTGTATCTCGTTTTTATGGATAATTTCTAATAATGCTGCGATATAAAGAGCACAAGGTTTGGAACGCCTTCAAGGACTAGAAAGCTTGAAAAAGTATTTCTTTCTAAAGCGAATTCATTATCCACTTTTGAGAAATCTTTTCAAGAACTTACAAATATACCTACGTATTTAAATTTGTCAAAAGATAATTTATTTTGCATCGATATTTTCTACTATTGTTTTATATACACATAAGGTGGGTTTCGACGCAAAATATTATAGTTACAAATTGCCATATATATACAATGTCATATAACTTTCAAGATTTGGATCCCATACAAATTCAAATCGTTGAGAAAATGAAATTGGATCGATTGACAGACCAAAAAAAGTTGTGTCTGAGAAATTAGTTTAAGTTATTAACTTTAAGTAGAAAAGTACTGTATTAAGCAAACGCCCAAACATAATACAATAACCTTTATTAAAAGAAAGCCATTATTTATTATAAATACGCAGTTCATTGCAATCTAGACGAGATGGCCACCCCTTCGAATCGCTCGGTCGTAACTCGCAGTGGACGTGCAGTTGTATTGCGCATGAACCAGGAGTTTGACTACTCATCCTCGCAATCGAAGGATGATGACGAGGAGGAGTCCGATGATCCGTCGCTGGAAACCGACGACGAGGACTACCAGCAGACAGTCGACTTCGATGAGGCCAAGTGGTCATGTTCCAAGAGGCGCAGCTTTGGAAACAGCAGCAACAGTGCCTGTAGCACCGATGGCAGCCACTCCTCGCCGGAGTCAATGCCTCCCACAATCTACATAGAGTTAGGCAAACCAGTAGCCATCGTGGACTACGAGCCACTGGCCGATCTCGCACTGGAAGACGATGGCGAGCTTAAGACAAAGGTGCACAAGTTTCTGGGTCTCATGGCGCCCCGGCGCAGGCTGTACAATCCCGATGAAAACTGCGATCCAGAACCGGAGGAGAATGAGAAAGTGGCGAACCTATCGCTCGGTCGGCTGCTAAATATTTCTGCTTCCTCGCCCGCGAAGCCACCCTCTCCATCACCCATGCCCCTTATTGGGCCGCCAACATCGCCGACTTCCACTTGGTCGACCCTGAACCTATCGCATCTCAATCCGCCCACCCTACAGGAGCGGCAGAAGAAGATGTTCGACAACATGGTGCTGCAGGCCAATGCAACTTCCTTCGAGGAGGAGACGCCGGATTTCCTCAAGGAGCCCATCGATCTGAGCGACCTGCCCAATAAGAGGCAGGTGGCTGCCATATGTCGTGGGCACAAGAGCTGCATTCCCTACCTGGAGAATCATCCGCACTTCTACAGATTCGTAGAGTCGCTCAATCGTGAGTTGTATGTCCCATTTGAGCAAACGCTGATACACTAACCTTCTGCCCCTTTAGCGGCGACCTCGATCAACTTTTGCCATCCGCTGGCACTGAACTTCCGTCAGAAAAATTTTGGAAACTGCAAAGTGTCAATGGCCAAGCTGTTGTTTAACATCTTCAACCACGCTATCTTTCACTGCGGCCTCCTGGCGCCAATCGTTTGGAAGCGCGGCATGAGCACGCCCTGCAAAAGCGAGCTGGCCATCGGTGCCTCCGGGCAGCGCACTGCCCGCATCCTACTATGGAAGGGCATCAGTCACCCAAGCATGCTCATCAAGCCACTGCTGCACGAGATGATTCATGCGGCGGCCTTCGTTTTCAACCGTGAGACGGGACACGGCGATAATTGCCGCAGATGGTAAGATCGAGATCATGAATCCTTAATCTAAAACTATTTTTCTGTATATTGAAAAGGTGTTTAAATTGTTAAAAGGGTTGTGAAAATATTTTTGTATATATATTTAGAGCTATTTTTAGATTTCAAACACTATAGTTTTGTTTTAGTTTAACATTTAGGTAGTTATTAGTGTAATGACTTATTATTCTGTGTTCACATCACCACTTATCAATAAGTTTATTTATTTATTCATTGACTTTTGAGTTGGTTACTAATTAATTTTTATTTTGTTTTGTGTACATACATATATTCAAATTACTTACGATTAAAACCCAATAATGCCACCCAGTATCTTTTAGTGGCAAATATAAATATTTATTAAATAACTGCACAGTTTATATACCGGTATCCCCTATTATTTTCCATTTCTTAGGGCCTACCAGGCGAAGCACGCCATGCCGGAGCTTCCGACGATCGAAGACTGCCAGCCCACCTTAAAGTATACTTGCACCCTGTGCGCCCGCTGCTCCTACGGCAGGATCGATTTTCCGAAGGAGAAGCTGCGCTGCCACTACTGCCAGTTCGCGGTGGGCGTAAAGCCTTATAGCCAGGCCGACATGTTCAATGGCACCCGGCCAGATCCGGCGATGACCCCATTCAAGTCCTTTATCCGTGACAATTACTTGAAGCTGGGCGAGGAGGGAGGTGCCACGCACAGCTCGAAAATGAGACTGCTCAACGAAGAGTATTCAAAGATGAGTGTTCCAAACAGTTAGAGGACAAACCCTTTGTTACGTTTCAACTGTTTTATATTTTTAATTCTTACTCTTATACATATATAATGGCGAACGTCAAATTATATTTGTAGGGTCACCAAAAGAATGCAGGCGGCTAATGTGAAATAAACTGTGACATATTTATTTTTTTAATACAATCTGTGTCTTCGATTAAGTAAATGCTACTTAATTTAGCTTTAAAACACAATAAACAACACTAATAAATTACTTTGGTGTAATTGCTTAGTTTTGATGTCTAGATTGTCTAGACTTAGAATTACAACTTTTAAAGGGGAGTCATTTATAGCTTACTTACGATGTTATCACTTTTAAAAACAAAACACTAAAGTACTTGATGCTTTCTATTTTCGATATGATAGTTTATATTCAACGCTATCCAAAGCAAAGTCAACACCGATTTGTAAAATATACTAGGTATTAATACATTTATTTGTTGATCCTGCAACTGGATTTCTTGTCTTAAGTTAACCCATCATTCCCTTGCTGCGCTTGAAAGCCGCTCCGGCTTTGCGATTGTGATTGGCCCGCGAGGATTTGTGGGCCTCCTTCTGCCCGCGGTTGCGTTGGGTCTGCTGTGACTGGCCCTGGCCCTTGGGTGCTCCCACTACAGAGGGGCCAGACTGTTGTCCAGCACCTCCGCTACCACCTCCTCCGCTTCCACCGCTTCCTCCACTTCTCTGACCGTACTTGGCCATCTGGCGCTGCTGGTAACGAGCGCGAATCACCTCTGGATTTTCGCAGAAGTCTCTGCCATTACGCTTAGCCGCCTCCGTATCGGATCCGCTCCCGGAGCTCTCCTCTTCGTCATCTTCCACCTGATCCTGTGCCTCGTAAGCGGAATTGGAGGCAGCTCCCTGAAGTCTGGCCCGCAAGAGGCTCACCGGCGGCGCTTGACCCTCGTTCAAAGCTTCGTAGCTGTCGTCGTACTCATCGTCATACTCGCCACTCTCCAGCGGCGTCTCCTCCACCATAGCATACTGTTGGTAGCGCTCTTTCAGCTGCTCCAGATCGCGTTTGTCGTCCAGTAGCTGCTCCGCATTGCGCGGCGCTCCCGGCAAGCCCTTGCCCTGCTTTATGATGCACTCTGGCTGATCCCGCGTCAGAACATCGTAGCGATCGCCATCGTGGACGTTGAAGTGGCGCACGCCCGTCTGGCGTTGCAGTTTGTCCTGCGGATCGGGCGGTACGTACACCTCCTGCCTATCCATCTGCGCCAAATCCGGAGGCAGATTGTCGTCCAGAATGGCGGCAATGGCCTGCTCGCTATTCTCGTAGCGGGTGAGCAGGCGCCGAATAAAGCCCCTGCCCAGGTCGGGCAGCACGTCAAGCACAGCGGTCACCTCTAAGTCGATGTCTCTGGTGGCTCCATTGGCCGCCGCAGACGGTAGTGGTGAGGTGCGCGAGGAGTCCTCATCCTCGTATTCGTCGTCTTCCTCCTCGGTGTCCAGGTTGCTGACCATGTCGTCTGCCATGATGCCGCCGGGACAGCTGCTCAGGGCCTTCTGGTAGCCGGCTATCACAAAGTCCACCTTGTAGTTCTTGCTGTCGAGGGCGAGGTTGCATAAAATATATTAAAGCTAACAAATAAAATAGCAACTGACATGTTCGGGCAGCGTTCTAGCAGCATCTCCATGTCGTGCTCCAGGGGAAACTGCCGCTGGTAGTCCACCACGAAGGTCTGGGCGGAGAGGCACTCCTGCAGCAGTTCGACCAGCTGCTGGCCGCGTCCCGCCTCTATTTGTAAGCTGACCACGCGACGGATGACGAAGAGGAACTGCTGGCGCGTCTCGTTTAGCCAGCGCAGCGAGCTGGCCCCCGGGTTAACCATGTATATGTTCTTGTACAACATGGGCACTGTCATATCATAGAAATTGGCAATGCTGCGAAAAGGAAAGAGATGCCAAATAGGATCATAGATCACACATGCAGCGGAAGCCCTCAAAACGCATCTCACCTCTGGGCCAAGCGCAGTTGCTCGATATTCTCCAGCAGATCAGGACAGAGGAGCAGCAGCAGGCGCAGCGTGTAGGCGCAGTCCATGGCGAAGAGCACCACATCGTCGTAGGGCGTCTCCAAGTCCGCATCCAATGGCGCCCCGCCTCCGGCGCCCTCACACCCCTCGTTCTCCACCTGGATTTGCATGCTGAGGAAGGCGCTCTCGTAGAAGGCTAGTGCCTCCCTCAGATCCTTTCGATACTCCGGCTGCAGTCGCAGCACCTTCTCGAAGATCTGGCGCAACAGTTCTACATTGCTGGTCTCCGCATCACCCACGGCAATGAGCAGGTCAAAGAGCATGGGTACCGAGATCAGGTAGTTGCTGTACAAAAGGCTGCTGTGCTGCTGCGGGCTGATCCACTCGGTATCCGATTCCTCTGCGGTGCACAATCGCATCAACAGACGGACGACGAGATCGAGAAGCTGCCCGTACAGCAAGTTGGCCTGTTCCAACTCCTTGTCCTGGGTGGCTTCCGGTTGTTTGTAGTAGGGATTGGCGCGCTGCAGGAATGTGACAATGGCCGCCATGGCCGACTCCTCATAAACCATATAGGACCAGAATTCGTGCTGACTCAGGCTCAGCAAAAACTCCATGTCCTGGCGGCAGTTGTTGGCCGCAAAGGTCCACTCCTCCAGCGCAGCACCGGATTTCAGGCGGCCGTAGGAGCTCATCAGGCATGGGTAGCTGCCAAAGGGTTTCTCGCGGCGCACCCAATGCTCGTCCTGCCGTGATATACATTAACATACAGTCGGGAAGATCATGGTGACCACCTACCAGTGCCGGAACATTCCTGCGCACGCCATCCTTTCCAGAAAGCGCAAACTTCAAGTCGCCCAGCGGCAGTTTTAGTGGGTTGCAGTTGTTGTTGTTGCTGGTGTCGTTGTCCAGCATGGCGTTAACTTAACTTAACTAAGATTAACTATGTGTAATTCGGCTAATAGAACGATCAGTTTTGCAAATTGAACTATTTCATGCGAATGTTGAGAAAACAGCAGCGCAGGGTGGCCACTATTTGGTGGGGTGTTGCACGGCACAATAACTTGTGACGTCAGAATGTTAGATGGAGAGTTGCCAGAGAATTTAACGGGCTCAAGTGTATTTAAATAATAATTGACAATGATTAGTTGTTATTTACAAGATTCTGTTACAATAAAAAAGTTAAATTTAATGAACTGTTCAATGAATGTATAAAATTTAACCTTTCAAAGTCTCAGTTTCATTGCAACTAGCAAACTGTTCTATTAAATTAAAGTTAACAACTTCTTTTTGAAAAAAATATTTTTATTATCTCAAATAACAAAAGAGATAAGCCAAAAACTTTAAGCGCAGTTTGTGACAAATGTCCAAATTCGAGCAAGAAAAAATAAAATTATTTTTAGGTATCAATTAGGATTACAAGTTGAACGAGTTGTTCGGCTGGTGGATGAAGCTGGTGACCTTTCTGCGTTTGGCCGAAGGACTTCGGCCCGATTCCTTCCAACTCCGTTGTCTTGTTGAGACTTGCGAGGTTCCACCACCACGAGCGCACCTCAGGACTGACTCCTGTGCGAAGAATGTCGAATTTTTCTTGGCCTGAGAAATCCTAAGAGGAATAGACAATAAACATATTAATTGCAGTCCATCTTTCAAGATCGTAAGTACAAGAAAAAAAAATAAATTAAATATTTACCTACCTAAAAAAATGTAAAACTAAGACTCATTTTATTTTTACATTTTTTTTTAGCTTGTAATTTAAATTTATTTGTATACAAAAGGATTTCTAGGGTCTATAACTTTCCCAATTTTAAGCCGATTTCAAAGTGACATACCTTTAAAGACTTGTGGAATGATTCTCTAAAAATCTGCATTCAAAATTTTCATTATAACGCTGATCGAATTTTTGACCCATTTTCATGTTACTTATTTCTAAGTTTCCGATGAGTTGTAAAAAGGTGACCCACACTTGGACTTCCACAGTCCATAGCTTTTCCAAATGTAGTCCGATTTCAAAGTCACATACATCTAAAGACTTGTGGAATGATTCTCTAAAAATCTGCATTCAAAATTTTCATTATAACGTTGATCGAATTTTCGACCCATTTTCATGTTACTTATTTCTAAGTTTCCGATAAGTTGTAATAAGGTGACCCACACTTGGACTTCCACAGTCCATAACTTTTCCAAATTTAGTCCGATTTCAAAGTGACATACATCTAAAGACTTGTGGAATGATTCTCTAAAAATCTGCATTCAAAATTTTCTTTATAACGTTGATCGAATTTTTGACCAATTCTCATGTTAGTTTTTTCTAAGTTTCCGATGAGTTTTAAAAAGGTGACCCACGCTTAGACTTCCACAGTCCATAACTTTTCCAAATTTAATCCGATTTCAAAGTGACATACCTCTAAAGACTTGTGGAATGATTCTCTAAAAATCTGCATTCAAAATTTTCATTATAACGTTGATCGAATTTTTGACCCATTTTCGTGTTACTTATTTCTAAGTTTCCGATGAGTTGTAAAAAGGTGACCCACACTTAGACTTCCACAGTCCATAACTTTTCCAAATTTAGTCCGATTTCAAAGTGACATACCTCTAAAGACTTGTGGAATGATTCTCTAAAAATCTGCATTTAAAATTTTCATTATAACGTTGATCGAATTTTTGACCCATTTTCATGTTACTTATTTCTAAGTTTCCGATGAGTTGTAAAAAGGTGACCCACACTTGGACTTCCACAGTCCATAACTTTTCCAAATTTAATCCGATTTCAAAGTGACATACCTCTAAAGACTTGTGGAATGATTCTCTAACAATCTGCATTCAAAATTTTCATTATAACGTTGATCGAATTTTTGACCCATTTTCATGTTACTTATTTCTAAGTTTCCGATGAGTTGCAAAAAGGTGACCCACACTTGGACTTCCACAGTCCATAACTTTTCCAAATTTAAGTTGATTTCAAAGTGACATACCTCTAAAGATTTGTGGAATGATTCTCTAAAAATCTGCATTCAAAATTTTCATTATAACGTTGATCGAATTTTCGACCCATTTTCATGTTACTTATTTCTAAATTTCCGATGAGTTGTAAAAAGGTGACCCACACTTAGACTTCCACAGTCCATAACTTTTCCAAATTTAATCCGATTTCAAAGTGACATACCTCTAAAGACTTGTGGAATGATTCTCTAAAAATCTGCATTCAAAATTTTCATTATAACGTTGATCGAATTTTTGACCCATTTTTATGTTACTTATTTCTAAGTTTCCGATGAGTTGTAAAAAGGTGACCCACACTTGGACTTCCACAGTCCATAACTTTTCCAAATTTAAGCCGATTTCAAAGTGACATACCTCTTTATTTGTAAATTAATTGTTTATAAATTTTATGACCCATTTTCATTACCATGGGAATATCAAAAAATGTATTGGTATTGTATTTATTAAATTTTCTTCCTTTCTTGTTTTGGGTCTAATTCTTTAATAATTACTATTATTAAATTTAAGTAATTGATTCTACCGTAAATGTCGCCAGGGTATAAAATAAAGTATGATAACAATTCAAACCTTTGCTTTTGCGCCTTTTCATTCGCCACTTGCACTTTCAATTGCCGCGACCGCTGAACCATCCTTTTGCGCTCCATGCGAATCATCTGCAACTCTAGGAAGCGTTTCTGGCACACGGATTTTACCAGATCGATGTCCGTGTACAATTTGTCTATTTCATTTTCCTGCAAAAATAAACGATTTTAATAAATTTATAAGATAAAACTTGTAAGCAAAATACATAACATTCATTTTTTTGTATATCTGCGTTTTGAGTTATCTTAGTTAATTTATATATATTTGAAGGGATGGTGGGACTTATCCTTGTGCTTGTACTTAAAGATTGAAAACATTTTAAGATGTCCTAGAAATCATAAATTGTGACAAATATTTGGAATGTTTGAAAAGGATTATGGGCTTAGAAGAATCCTAAAATGATCGTAAGACTATATGCTAACTTAAAATATTCCTAAATAGTGGGATATTTGAGAGATATTTTCACATCCTTCAGCCGCACCTTCTTCTCCTTGTGCTTGTCGAAGTGGCGGTGGTTGCCCCGCTGGAACTTCTCGACGAAGTCGTTGGTCAGTCCGTAGGGCTCCGGGTGGAACAAGTGCTTGAAGTTGTTGGGCATCGCGTTGTTCACCTGGCGGCCCCGGACGCTCTGCTTGCAGGTGGGGCAACCGAAGATTGGGGCGTCGCTGGGCGTACGTCCGGCGGCCACCTTGATGCACCGCTCGCAGGACACGTGGTGGCAGGCGAGGAGGAAGAACACGGACTTCTTTGTGGCGAACAGCTCGCAGCAGCAGTTGCAGTGGATCCAGAGCTTGTGGGCTTCGGGTTCGCCCATTGCAGCGCCGGAGGAGCAGGGTCCCGCCTCATCGCGCCGAGGTCTCGACTTGGACATCCAGATTGTAAGTGGATTTTGGGCTTAATCCAAATATGCGCCCTGATTTACCACAGGATAATTAAGTCGAGCTGGCAACTCTGGCAGAATAGAGCCCTTCACACGATCAGTTTTGTGTGCTTTTTTTTTGGCACCCAGGTGGCAACACCACGCATAACGGCGAATGCAATACCAAACATTTATTAAAAAAGAAATTCAATTCACAATTAAAACACAAATTTGCAATTAAACACTTAAATTCTAGTGGCGACGCATGCGCTCGATGGGTTCCCTGGACCGAATGCGATACCGCTTCGAGGAACTGGATGGCGACAGCGGGCTGCAGTACTGGTTGTCCAGCGTTTGGGTGCGCTTCCGCTTGAGGCTCTGGTTGTCCTCCATGGACGACTCCTTGGCGCCCGGACGCACCAGTGAGCCGGCGATGGAGGCGCATCGGCGGATGAGGGAGCCCGATCCAGCGTTCTCCTTATTTTCCTGATCCTTCTCCTTCTCACCACGCAGGGTGGCCGGCAGCCGCATCATGGAGCTCATCAGTGACCACAGGCGACCGGAGGAGGCGCCCTCCTGTTTCTTGTCATTCCGCGTGGAGGCGTTCGTGGGCCGAAACACCTCGTCCTCCTCATCCTCGTCCTCCGGCTCACATCCTACGTCCTGCACGCCGCTGAAGACTCTCTTCTGCCGGCATTCCCGCAACGGAGGACGAGCCCTGGGGCGCTGCAATGGCGGGGAGACCAGGGCCAGAACAGTGGTCTCCTTCTCCTTGCACTTGTCCTTCTTCGGCGAAAACTCGCCGCTTAGCTGGCGCGGCACAATCGCCTGGCGTCGCCGCTCCGGTCGTTCTGGAGTCCCAGGATCTGGTGTAAAGAATTGATCCTTGGTAACGTCGCCCTCGCCCTCACCCTCACCCTCGCCACTGACCACAAACTGCTGGCCGCTCTTTAACGGCGTCTCGAACTTAATCTGCTTCTTGTTGATCCCGACGCCGCCGGTGACACGGATGGGCGTTATGGCCGGCACATGTACCTCGGCCGATTCCGAGGTGGAGCGGATGATCTCCACGCTCTCGCAGGAGTTGAACACTGTGGAGGAGCTCTCCCGCGAATTGGAATTCATCCGGGTGATGATGATCGATTCGGTGGTGAGTTTCTGGGCGGACAGCAGGAACGGCCGCTTGTAGAGATCGGGATTTTGCGTGGAGGAGCCGCTGATATCCGAAGTGCTTGATTCGCTCTGCGTGCGCCGCATGGCTGGCGAGAGACGCAGGTCCAGAGCGGAGGATCCGGCCGCCTCAGAGGAATTGTGCTCGCTGAGATCGAGGCGCACGCGACGCTGGATTACGCCGGATGTGGGCTGGTTGACCAGCATGCCGCCATGCTCCACGAAGGCCTTCTGAATGCTCTTGGACATCACCTGGCGCAATGGCGTTGCGGCGCTCATTTTATGGCGGGCGCCCATCTTCCAGGTGCGCTGCTGGAACGGCTGTTGGACGGGATTGCTCTCCAAAGCCGGACTGGGCTCCTCCTGGTAGATGCTGGAAACATGGCCGCCATTGGATGCATTGAAGGTAATCGGCTCCTTGGGCTTGGCGAACACCGATTCCACCTGCAGTGGCGTTGATGTTGATCGTATGACCTTTCCCTTTTCCACAGTTTCCGGCGGATTCACGCCCAGGTGGCCGATGGACCGGCGAATCGAGCTGTTGCTGATGGAGGAGAGGTTGCGTATAGAGGAGACGCTGTCGCTGATGAACTCCTCGTGGGTGATGCGGCTCTTGGCCTTCCAGCGCATGTTGATCAGCGAAATGGGCGTTACGCCGGGGGACGTTTGCGTGGAGATGGCGGTGCTATTGGATGCCTTCCTCACCGTCACCTTGGATGCCTTCCTCACCGTCACCTTGGATGCCTCCGTGTCGCCGGTGAGATCGTTGCAGGTGGTGCCCGTGCAGCTCTGCTGCTGATCCACACACTTGCTGAACTCCCGCAGATCATCGATGCGCGTGTAGTTGCGCTGGCACTTGCGGCATCTCAAGGGAAGGTGACACGTTTCGATGTGGGCCAGCAGCTCGTCGTGCATCTCCTCGCGGAGCAGCAGTGGCCGCCGCTCGCAGATCGGGCAGAATACGTAGATGGTGGTGGCTCCCGACTCCATCTGATGGCGGTGCTCCGCGACTCCGCCGCTGGAGGCCTTCAATCCCAATGGCTCCCGCACAGCAATGGCGTGGGCTTTGAACTGATGCTTCTGGCGGCACTTGCCGCAACAGAAAACCCGCTTGCAAATGTGGCACTTACCCTGGAAAACGAGAGGAATCATTACGGGAGACACCCGGATGTTATTTCAGCCTACCTCATCGGGCTGTCGCATGGTTAAGACATTGGAAAAAGACATCAATTGCGAGAGTTGCGATTTTTACACATGGACATGGACATGGACATACACTCACAAGTTAATGCAGCGGTTCTTTAGTTAGATATGGTAAATATAGAGCTATAGGTAAATTAGTATTATTTATATCGATTGTTTTTGTTGTCCAAATACTCACTTCTTCCTTGAGCAGTAGTAATATAAGTTTTCGTAATAAACAATAATTTTATAGGATCCAATATATTTTAGTGAAGATTTTACATTCAATGCGAACTAAATTTCAAAAACTAAGTGACTTCTTTTTTATTATTTGGTTAAGCTAAAAACTTTGTTAAATATTTTATGTTTAAAGGAGATAATGAGAGTATTACTTTTTATTAGATAATGAAAAACACTTTTGAGTAATTTTCATACATTTTATTATTAATATATTGAAACAAATTACAAATCGCTTTTAAAGCTTGAGAAAAAATCATTAAGTATTATGGTTGAATGGATAATACAATATCAGAAAAAGAAATATAACAGAAAAACGTGAATGGATTTCCGGAATATTGGAAGAAATGTTTCATTATTACATTTTTTGTAATATGAAATACAATCGTCAAATATATTCCGCAATAAAATATTGAGATAAAAAGTTTAAAAAAAACTATGTTGGAAATATAGAAATACCCAAACATTGTCTTGACAATTTGTTTTAAATCCACGATTAGTGAGATCAATTTAACAATTTTAAAATCATTATAAAAGAAAAGCGATGACAATTGTCAATGGTAAGGAAATGTTTAGTTAAGTAAGTTCCAGTATCAAATTAGCAGGGTCCGGTTGCCTGTGTCAACTTGTTAAACTTGCTCAGGCAATCATTTTCCTGGTAAAAGATGAAGCGGTCCGTGATGAAGCGGACCAGGTCGTTGCCCTCATCATCGTAGACGTTGTCAACGAAGATGGTGTCATGGATGGCGAACTGCACATATGCGGTGAAGTGGCGACCGCGCCTATTCTGCAGCCGACTGAAAAACTGGGTGCGCACCACTTGGCGCTCGTCCTCGCCCCAGATGCGTTCCAGGTTGCCCGGCTCCATGCCAAGGATCCGTATCTCCATGGCCTCATCGGTTTGAAGCTGTGGATAATTTAAATTTTATTCAGTTAAATTTAACCATAAGAGTTCAAATATGACAGTTGTATTATTTAGTATTTTGGATCTATATGATCCACAATGTGGATTTGATAAGGTAATCTGAGAAAGGATTATTCTAAGAACCAAAAAGTAGTGTATGCTAAGATCCATCTTTGATTAGCAATAATTTACCAATAAGTTTTACTCTAAAAAGTTTTCAGTACTGTATAATACAATTTAGAATTGATCAATAATAATGTGTACTTTAATGCGTGGATTATCTAAAAAAGGATAAATCTGTAATAATATATAATCAAACAGTGGAGCCCTGTGATAATCAGTCAATACCTTGAATATTTCCTCACAGATGTACACCTTGCTGGCGTTGTAGGTGAGGATTTCGAGGGACGAGTCCAGCAGTCGGACCACGACCTTATCATTCTTCTCCACGTCCACAATGACCACCCGCTCGTATCGCTTGAGATTCTTCACCACGGCCTTATCCCCGGGCTTCGGATTTGGGTGCTGGCGCCGGTGAGCATCAACCTCGTAGTGCCGCTGCACTTGCTCGCCCAGCTGGGTCATCGCAAAGCCGAGGAAGTAGGACTTCGTGGGGAACTGGTCGCTCAGACGAACTGCTAAGTTCGCGGGGCTGGCGCACTGGAAAAACAGATTCAAGGTGAGTTGGAAATGCATCCTTTATACATGAGTATTGCGATATCTTTATCATTCTAATCTTTAAACCGGTTTTTTATATAAATTGAAAAACTAAGTAGGTCCCAAGCCGAAATACTTGTTTATGAGAATGTCAACAGTTTAATAATATTGCTAGTTGTATAACTATTAGTATTATTAATGCACATGCATTAAAATATATGTATGTATATAAGAATACCAATAACTTGTTCAATATAAGAACCTATTGAAATGTGAATATTTTTAGGATACTCACAGTCACGACCGTAAACTGAATCATGCCCTTGGTGGGAAAGTGCTTCGGGGGCAGCAGCTCCTCCCGCCTCATCACATGGCGGTACCTGCAGCGGTACCTCAGGCAATCCCCGTAGGCGATGAGCTGGCGGCAGAGCTTGGGCATCTGCGAGTTGGGCTGATCCGCCAGGCGACGATGGGCCAGGATGTCCAGCAAGACGGTGGGCCTCGGCAGCAAGTGCTTCAGCGCGAAGTCAGCCAGCAGCCAGTTGTTATCCACATCGGTCTCCTGGACGAAGACCACGGATTGGCCGCTCACCTTGGAGTAGAACCGTTTGTAGTTGTCGTAGAACAAGGCGAAGCGGAGCTTGAACCGCATCCAGCTGCTGGCCCAGCTATAGTGGATGAGCAGATCGATGCGTCCGCACCTGAGTTTCGGCACCACATCATCCGAGACCAAGAGCACGAGGGCCCTGGACTCGTCTCGCCACTTGGCGACCATGGAGAAGCCCGCCTCCGAAAAGCACGCCTGGGCTTTCACATCCATCTCGGCCAGCAAATGGGACAGGCGTAGAACTTCAACTTGGTTTGGACAGACCACAGCAATTCGCTCCTCGGCGAGATTCCTTCCCCTGATCAGACCCACCAAATGGCCCAACTTCTGTGTTTCTGGCAGAACCTTGTGTTCCAGCTTAGCGCCCATATAAAAGCTGGCCTCCAGCGGGTCCTCGAAGAGTACCAGGGCATCCGGCATAAGCGAAAGGACGCGGTCCATCACCTGGTCATCATGCCAGGTGCGTCCGGAGACAAGGAGCTGGCACTTGCCCTGGCCAAAATCGAAGAGTTCGGGCAACCGTTTGAGCAACTTCGTCGTGGTGACCGGCAGCAGCCGGACCATGTCGTTCAAGTTGTCCAAGGCAATGTACTTCACCGCCCGGGCATCGAAAATGGGATTCCTCTTCGAGTGGTGCGTCATCAGTTGGAGCAGCAAGTCCACAGTGGTCAGCAGGATTCCCACGGGCTGATAGAGCCGGCAGGCGGTATACGCCACGCTGCCTTTCTCCCAGAGGGTCACCACTCGCTCCATATACACATCATCCTCCAGGGAACCGAGGAGCTGGCTCACCCAGCGTTCGATTTGGTTGCCCTGCAGCTGATTGGGGCACACGAAGATGCTGGCTGGTCCATAGGCATAGCCATCCGCTGGCCGGCGTTGCAGAATCTCGTGGCTGCGCTGGCACAATGTGGGCAGGTAGCACCACGTCTTGCCGCTCTGCATGTTGCCAACGACCATCAGGGATTTCCCCGAGGAGACATGGGGCCAGGCGAACCTCTGGATGCCCCGTGCCCGCTCGGTGCCCAGGCCCAGCTGCTCCATGGCCCTGCGGATGGGGGTGCTGATGTTCGACACTCCACTCAAGGAGTAGCAGGGGATGAGCACGTGGCGACTCCAGGCCAGCACGCCAAAGTGATACCGGGTAGTTTCAAGTGCATGGGGGAAAACCGCCGCTGGAGGCGGATCATCCTTAGGACTAGCCCCAGGATCGTACTCCTCGAAGCTCTGAAACGACTCCGGCGAGGTGCTTGTGTAGAGATCAATTGGATCCTCCACGGAAGAGTCTCCTGGCATCTGGCTTGTGCATTCTTGTCCGAGCTTTTCAGTAAGTTGCTCTATTTCTAAAGATGATTGAGGTGTTGGGACTGACCCAAATAAAATAGGAGTGGAGCTATCTGAATTTGTAGACCCCTGAAGGCTGCGGTTGAGGACCTCCTCCAAAATATCTTCTACATCACTAGATGGCGTATCCTCTTGGTCTTCAAGTTCGAAAAGATTTAGAGGTGTTGGAATTGTCTCGAAAGAAACAGAAGAGAGTTCTGAATTTTCAGAATTCTGCTTTAGACCAAACTGTTTCCAAAAGACTTCAAAAGCGTGTTTATGGTTTTCGATAGTAATCGAAGGACTGGTTGGACTACCAATGGCTTTCGGAATGGCACCCTTTTCTGTTTTTTGAAGTTCTGGAACTCTCACTGGTTTTATACAGTCTTGGGAATCTGTGGAAGATTTCACGGGCGAGCCTCGCTTAAAATATATATCTTCGATATTTTGAGCTTTCTCTGCTGTCATTTCTTTCACTGGTTGACCCACCATTTTGGGGTTTTGGTTAACGCCATTTTGTGGGAAATCCCCTATTTCTGGCTCAGGCTTGTTTATATTACCGCCTGAATTATTTTCCTCATTGGGGCCTGTAATAACCAGCATCTCGGCTTTAGTTTCCGACTTGCTTAGCATCTCCAAACGTTCCTCGAACGTTTTTAATGGCGGCAGCGTAGCATGGATACCGAGATTCACCTCGATCCCCTCAAGAAAGTTGAGCATGCCATCGCAAAGGATCAAAGCTTGTTGAATGTACTGAAAATATGATTAAATATTGTAAGATTATAGCATTTTGTTGACCTAAAAAGTTGACTTAGTCAGGCTGGAAGTATTTTTTGTAATTTTAATAGGAAGAAACAATGTATACTTCTTAAATAAATTTAGTTAACTTAAGGCAAGTCATCCTGGATTTAAAATATAATTCAATTAATTAAAATCATTAAATTGTAAGCTTAGCATGATACAATTTGTAACGTTTTTTTTTTATTTTATACTTTTGTTAATTTTTTTGTTCAGTATTATTTTTTTTTTGCTGTGTACCATCCATTTAATAGTTTATTTGAGCATCTGAACATCTGGAACTCGAAACTTACCCCCTTTGACCAGAGGAGCAGCACTTGGTGGACCATTGGGTCATCCGCTGCCAGGCGAATTGTGTTGACATTACGAATGCCAAGCTCCGATTTCAAATGGTCGGCCTCGGAATTCTGCTGACATATCAAAACAATTCTGCTGGTGCTCGGGTCTTTGGCTCTGATTGTGTCTGCCACAAAGTCCATGGAAGCTGCTCCGGATCTTGGACTGGCGTAGGTAAAGGTGGTGCCCCGGGACTCCACCGTAAAGCTGGGGACCTCAAGATTCTTCATTGTTTTGTGACACGCTTTTCCTTCGATTCGTCGCTTTTAAATCCGAAATAAACAGGCACTTGAGAAAATAAACAAATCCCGAGTGTGATGGCCAAGGCTCACTTAAGATAAAGAGCAAGTCGCCTCCGCTTGGAAATCAGGAACGAAATGACCGAGCAAAATGTTTTTGACCCACAAGTTCGAAATTTGACTACTTATCGATAGCATGTACTCGATATACGATTAACTTCACCTTGACATCTACAAATTATATCTTCTTTATTTTGAATATATATTTGAATTTATTTTCTGAGTGTCCAGAGTGTATTTCCCCTTAATAAAAAAAAAAATTTTATAACAGATATTCTCCGTATTGTCTATTTTACTTTGGCTAGTTTTTGTGAATAATTAATGCAATACAAAGTATTAATTTAAATGTTTATAACTATAAAAGTTGTAGCTTAAAAATCTTGATTATATAGTTTTTGAGCTGAGCTTTTTACCGCTGAATCTGCAAAACGGGTGGCAACCTTCCGCTTAACATTCAGACGTCACAAGCTGTAGTTACGTGCACCACCTCGATTTCGGTATTTTCTACCTAATACCACAACGGTCACTCTGGAAATCAGAAGAAGCTGTGCAGTGCATCAAAAGTTTTTATTTTTCAAATAAGTAAGGCAAACGTCAGTTGATCGGCGAATACGGCGTAATCCGACAACAGCAAACCCGGACACGGACAGGGATACGAACAAGGTCAGGACCAGGATGATGAATGGCAAGGCAGGCGGGGTGGTGGTGCTCAACTGCCGGACGTGCACGCGTGCCTGCAAACAGCACAAGCCGCTGCAGGAGGAGATCGAACTGGGCCCTGAGGGCAGCACCACGCTGGCCAGCATGCTCCACTACTGCGCCGGGCTCTCCTTCGAGCCGCAGGACGGCGCCGCCATGCCGCAGCACATTTGCCTCAACTGCCTGCAGCTGCTGGAGCAGGCGTTCAACTTCAAGCGCATGGTAATCGATTCGGACGAGCTGCTCCGCCTGGGACTGGACGAGGCGCACTGCACCAGCCAACATCAGCAGCAGCAGCAGCACCACCACCAGAATCAGCAGCACCAGCACCAACAAGAGCAGTCCGCCGATCCTAGCGAGGAATACGTCATGATCGAGATGCTCAACGAGGAGCAGGAGCCATGCACTGTAAATAACTAGTAGACAGGGCTTTTTCAACTTAGAACGGGGTGGTATATCCCCCTTGTCAGAGCATTATTAATCGAATTCCACAGGGGAATGCGTCAGGCACAGCAAAACCCTCTCATAAAGGGATACTTTGAGATAGAATGGGGTAGGTCGGTATAAAGCCGAATGGGCGATAAGGCAGAACACTTGTGCCAGTTTTATGAGAGCCTTATAAGTTAATTCAGATGTTCAGCAAGGAGTATCAGTCAAGAACTGCAAGATACCAATGTAAATTGTTCTTCTAAGATGAAAAAACCAATTTAATGCTAGTTCTAGTAAGCCAAAGTTTTAAAATAGGAAATCCAAAATCAGTATATCTTACGGGAAAACTTATAAATTTTATGTTCGTCCGATTCTGATTCCTAAAAACCTTATAGTTAGCATTAGAGTACATTGTAAAAGTGATGGCTAATAAACCTAGAGATTGTATTAAGTTAAAGACACGAATTCCATAACAAAGCCTATAATGACATTGCTTTCTGGCAGGTGGAAGAACAAGATGCAGAGGCGGAACGTCATCCGCACTCAAACAACGACGAAGAGGAAGAGTTCGTCATCGAGGAAGTGACCGAGCAGGAGGAGGAGCTGACGGAGGAGGAGCAGCAGCACGTGCTGGCGGGCAACCAGGAGGAGCACATCACCATGGAGAGTGTGCACGAGTTTCAGCCCGCCGAAGTTGAGTACGTGACCATTAAGGACGAATTCGAAACGATCGTCGCCGAGGAAGATGAGATCGAGGTCATGGACGAGTCCGGAGCACAAGACGAGATAATTGACGGCCAGATGATTGTGATACCCGCGGAGGGAGCCATGGACGAGGTGATCGGCGAGGAGGCCCTGGAATTGGACGAGGACGAGCGCGAAGAGCATTTGGTAGGTGGTCGATGGTATACCCTACACGTTCCCCACTTATCCACAATTCTTCACCCACAGCTGGCTGAAACAGAGGATGTCTGCGAAGAGGAGGACTTCCTGGAGGAGTCGCTGGACTCCACGCAACTTACTGCGGGCGATGCCCTGCCGCATGTGTGCACCGTATGCCAGAAGGCGTTTCGCCAGCAGTGTCGCCTCAACCAGCATATGCGCTCCCACGTGGACGAGAAGCATTACGAGTGCGAGGAGTGTGGCAAGCGGCTGAAGCACCTGCGCAACTACAAGGAGCACATGCTGACCCACACCAATGTCAAGCCGCACCAGTGCAACATCTGCGGCCGGTTCTATCGCACCACCTCGAGTCTGGCGGCGCACAAGCGCACGCACGCAGAGGAGAAGCCCTACAATTGCGATCAGTGCGGCAGGGGATATGCGGCCTACGATCACCTGAGACGCCACAAGCTCACCCACACGGGTGAGAGACCCTACGCCTGCGATCTGTGCGACAAGGCGTACTACGATTCGTCCTCTCTGCGCCAGCACAAGATTAGCCATACCGGCGAGAAGGCCTTCACCTGCGAGATCTGCGGCGTGGGACTGTCCCAGAAATCGGGCTACAAGAAGCACATGCTGGTCCACTCCGGCGCCAAGCCGCACAAGTGTCCCATTTGCGGACGGGCCTTCACCTTCACCAGCAACCTCAATGCCCACGTCCGTCTGCATTCCGGCGAAAAGCCGTTTAAGTGCGAAGTCTGCATGAAGGCCTTTCCCACGAAGAAGCGGCTGAATAGCCATTTGCGGGTCCACAACAAGGAGACGCCTGTGTTGGCCACCGCCGGCGGTATCGATCATCGCCGGCGCGCTGTGGCCGGAGGAGCAGGGGGCGGAGCAGCGTCTGGCCTCCACCTGACCGAAGTACCTGAGCAGCCGGTGTCCACCTCCAAAGTGGTGGTAGTGCTCTGAGCGGGCGCCGAGCTGAGGGTCCGGCTGTAGGGTCTAAGACTAGCCTAAGGTTTTTACATTTACGACTACGCGGAGCTGTTGGGAATCAGTTTAACACAATAAACACTAATGACATTGTACCATGTACATGTATTTTTTTACCCACATTAAAGACTGCTTTTAATCTAGTGGGAGTAAATATGCCAAGTGTACTGAATGCAAATGTAAATATGTAAATGCTTTTCTATCAACATTTTCATTTAAATTTACCCATACTTCATGTAAATTTTAATTTCTTATTCAAATACATTTTTAAATATTCCGCACCCATCATATACATTGTTTATAATGTATTTTAGATAAAGGATCTGCTTTTATAATTAGCTTTAAGCAATTAATGATTATATTTAACTATAATTTTGTTTAAATAACACTAAAGGGGGTTTAAGTTTTGGTTCAAGAGATATATCTCCTGACTGCCCGATAATATGTTATTCGTAATTTATTTAAATCAAATTTGAAGGGAATTATTTTTGTCTATTATTTTTGTGTACCTACAACGATAGTCTGTTCGGAAGTCACAATCATTCTTATCCAGTTTCTTTGATAAGATAGTGCATACTTTCCATGGACAACCATTAATGGCTTTTAAAATATGCATTTCTGTTTTGTAATAAAACACATGGGTTTGGTTTTGTTTTTGGTTTCGCTTTTAGGTCATCTGTTTATAATAATATTATCATGATTACATTGCCAAACAACAAAAACAAGCAAGTTTAGTTATTTATTTAAACAAAAACATTCGCCTTATCGTATCCCAAAGGGATAATAAAAAGAGCGTGCCTTCCTTTCCTGCACCCTACTACTCCTACTCTTAATCGACAAAAAATATGGCCAGTGTGCTGCTCCAGGGGAAGTTTTCGTTGCTAGTCTTAATTTCTGGGCGTGGTTCGGGACAGGCGGAAGGTTAAGGTATGAATATGGAACGGGGTGTGCGGGATGGCCAGCCTCCTAACGCCCCAGAATGTTGCGCGACCACTGCTTGACCATGGGCTTGGTCTTCGACTGCTCGATGCGCTCCGCCTCCTGCATTTGCTCGGCCAACTTGCGCTGATTATCCCGGAACTGATTGATGGGATCGTCGAACTGGCGGTAGTAGTGAAGCACTTCACGCACATCGTCCACGTTGTTCTGGGCAATTACTGGCGAGTAAAGGGCACAAGATTTTACATTGAGTGGAACCAAGTTATTGACGGCGAAACTCACTTTTCAGGAAGGCAATAAGGTCGAGCAGTTGGCCGTCGTCGTCGTTGCCATGCCAGCGGGCCAAGCCAAATGTGTTGTCCGGATGCATTTTGGTGGCGTTCGCATCCCAGTCGATGACAATCACCTAAAATAAATCCATGTTGTTAGACCTTCCTGTGAAAAAAACGTAGTGTCTGAGATTAAACCTTTTTCAAGTCGCGATTCAGGTTGTCCAGGTTCTTCACATGGTGCCCGTCCACAAAGTGCGTGGCATCCCTGACCAGGCGGTACATGATGTACCCGTTGGGATCGAGGGCGTCCAGGATGGGGAACACGGTCATGCCCTGTTCGGCAGTGAAGACAACGATCTCAAAGTCCTTGGCGCACTCGGCCAGAAAGTGATCGACGCCCGGGCGCTTCTTGAAGCGCCAGCCTGTCTGGTACGTCCAGTCCGGATGCACCAGCACATCCTTCATCTCAAGAACGAGCGTATAACGCGGCTGCACATACGGCGGCTTGAGCGGATCAGGCAGAAGCTTGGCCCGCGACGGCTCCTGGATCATGCGCTGATAGTAGTGGATGCTCTTCCACATGCGCTGAACATACTGCTGCACCAGCGGCTTGTGTGTAAACTCGTCCTCGATGGTCTGCCCATTGGGATCCACCTCGGGCTTTCCGAACTCGTAGACGGCCCACAGGCCAGCGGCAACGCCGCCACCGCCAAAGACTGCGAAGCTGGCGGTAAACGGTTTTCAAATTGGGTAAGTAATTGTGCGAAATGGAGGATTACAATGGAAAAGTGGGTGATTTATACATTGAATTTGAAGAGGATTGAAAATCGTAGGCGTTCAACCCTCTGATTTCCAATTTATAAGCCCAAAGGCCTATTACCACCTTTTCATTGCCAGATCCTGGCGAAAACCTACCCCAGCTTCATGCGCTTCCAGGCGCGCTCATTCTCCTTGGCCTCCTCCTCCTCGCGCTTCTGGCGCTCCTGCTCGGCGCTGCTGTCCACCTCTGGAGAGGTCTGGGGAAAGAGCTTGGCCAGCAGTGGGGCACTTGAGGTGGGCGTAGCCTCGGATGCTCCAGTAGCTCCTCCAGTTTCCTGCTCTGTCAAATGGAAATATCACATGATAGGAGTACAACTTGGTGGACTTCAGGTGCGGGTCACTTACTGGCCGTGCTGCTGTAGTCGCGGGCAGTGTGGAGGATCGGGGACAGCGACGGTGGAGCCGATGGCAGCGATGTGGACTGGGATAGCCGCGATGAAGCACGGTGGTGGTGGTGATTACCCAATGCGCGGTGCTGGTGGATGCGGCTGAGAACGCGCGGCGAGCTCATGTTGCGCAGCATCTGGAGGACGGTGGCCGGTGCCATGGTCATGCTTCCCTTCCCGATTTTGTGTCCTTGTGCTGGTTACGAGTCCTGCCCGCTAGCAGCGACTTTTTTCTTACAAAATTTCCAATAAAAATTTCAACCTCGCACCGGCACTGCGATGGCGTTAGGGATTTTTCCTGCCTGTCGCCAAAAGGCGTTAGCACATTTAGCACGTGGTGCCCGCCAGCTATGAATCGAATGTTTTCCAGCCAGATCTGTCCTGTTTTTAATTATGTTGACTACTGTTGTCAAATTCGTTATAAAATTTCCAATCCATATTTTCAGCTAAAAAATTTTATTTTAAGCCAATTTTTACAAAAATTCGAAAATCGGTCATAAAATAAGTTCAACCTAGAATTGATTGTAAAGGTTTCAGCTTCATGTTATGAAATGCGCTAGCTATTTTTAAGCTGTTGTTGACATTTATTTTTTTATTTACCAGCACTGGTGCGTCAGCTGATCTTTGACAACGCTTGGCAACTCTGGTTTCCCTGAAGCTGCAACAACAAAATAAGCTGGCCAGTAAAGACGCTAAAATAGGTACCTTTTTAAAAACTTCAATGTCGCTGGATGACTCGCTGGAGCTGCTGGCCAGCCCTTTGCTAAGCCCCCAATCACCGATGGACGCCCTGTGTCGCGTTTGCCACATTTCATCGCCACTCTGCTTGCCGCTTTTTAAGCCGCTCAATAATCCAATTTCCGAAAAACTAACAACCTTGGCCAACATTTTAAGCTACTGCTGCGGGCTAGAGATCGTGGAGACGGAGCTCTTCCTGCCCCACCACATGTGCCCGGATTGCGTGTCCAAATTGCGGCTAGCGGTGGAGTTCAAGAGGAGTGTCCACCTGATGGACAAAATTCTGAGGCAAAGCCATGTGGAATTTTGCCGCAACGAAAGGATTGATATTTTGAAAACCAAGGCTGGAATGTCGCCTGAAATCAACGAGGACTTTATCTTTGTCCTTGATGACCAGGAATTGACAGACGATTCCGCGGACGATCTGAAATCTCAAGTAGAGGAAGAGGAATGTCAGGAGATGGAGCTAAGGCTGCATGAGGACAGCCTGGATCTGGAATTGGAATCCCAGGAGGTATTCGCGGAGATGGAACACCCAGCAGAGCAGCATAATCATAACACTGAGGAGGAGCTCCGGTTGGTGGACGAAGCCAAGGGAGATCTATACGCTATTGTCGACGTTACTGAGCAACCTGTAGTGGAGACACACGAGCCGTTGGGCAGCAAAAGCAGGCGAGCGAAAACTCCTAATCCCTCGTTCAAGTGTCTGGTGGGTTGGGTTGCATCAGAAATAACTACGAAATTTTATAATGCATCTTTACTGTCTGCAGGTCTGCGGCAAGCAATTGAGCAGCAAAAGAACCTTCAAATACCACATAAATCTCCATAGTCCTTATAACAATTCCCAAGAGAACAGCACACAAAACACAGTTTACAGCATTGAGGAATCTCTCCACATAGAGCCACATTTGCAGGACAAAGACAGTGGCGAACTCTACCAGATTGTCGAGGAGACAGAGCAAGTTCTGGAGACACAAAAGCCTTTGGCCAGCAGGACCAAGCAAGGGAAACCGCATAATCCGTCGCTGCAGTGTCAGGTAAGTTGGCTAAACGCAAATATTGAAAACCAAAGATGGTAACCCATTTTCTTTGCAGATTTGCCGGAAGCAACTGAGCACCACCCACTCGTTTAAGTACCACATGCAGCTCCACGGCACGGCTACACCCTACGTTTGCAAAATCTGCGACAAGTCCTTCAAGACGCGCAACGCATACGACGGGCATATGACGCTGCACGATCCGAACAATCCAAATAGGTGCCCCACCTGCTCCAAGGTTTACCGGCAGGCCTCTTCGCTCCGCACTCATCTGCTGATCCACAGCGGAATCAAGCCATTCGAGTGCAACATCTGTGGCAAGAGGTTGACCCAAAAGTCCGGCTACAAGAAGCACATGCTTACCCACACGGGCGAGAAGCCTCATGGTTGCAACATCTGCGGCAAGAGTTTCCGGTACTCGAGCAACCTGATTGCCCACAAGAGGAGCCACACCCAGGAGAAACCCCACTATTGTCAAGTGTGCCCAAAGCGAAGCTTTGGCAGCCGGTCTGATCTGAATCGCCACATGCTCGTCCACAGCAGTGATAGGCCGTTTAGCTGTGACGAGTGCGGCAAGACGTTCAAGCGACAGGTGTCCCTCGACATCCACCTGCAGACGCATAAGGGCGGCAGTAAGCGGAAGGGTGGTCGGAAAGTGAAGGACCTGCCGAAGAAGCAGGACAACCACGAAGAGACCTGATTCCAGACTTATTACACACCTTGAAAATCTCTTGATATACTTAATGGTTATCTAGTTTTAATTACCAAGAACAAGTCGTGTTCATAAAAAAACGGAGGATTTGTAAAAACAACCCGATGTTAAATGTTTGTTCTTCACTTTCAATGATCTTCGTTATGCGTGGTCGACACAAGGCATAAGTTTCTTTAATAAATAAATATATTTTTTTTTTATTATTTCTTGTCTATCCAAAACCCAATTCTTTACAGATAGTCATAAGTAGTTAACTTTTTAGTTTAGTTTGCTTTTATTTTCGGTATTTGCCTTTGTATAATAACAAGTTCTAAGAGTTACTGTTACAAAATACGCTCTAGGATTAAATGTTGTTCCTTTGTTCTCACCTAAATTATGTGTTGTGTATATATAGAGATATATATGGTTAACAAGGGGCGGGGGCATGGAAGGAAAAACATTTCCAGACTTGTAAAACTTTCGAGTCTTTTTTCGGGAATTTTGTTTTAAGGGTTTATACTTTATCGTGCGGCGAATTGGAAGTTCCGATTAAAATTGGTGTTGTATGCTTAATAACTATTCTGAACCGATCTTACATACTTAGAAACCAATTAGAGGAGTGCGGAACGAGTGTGCGAGCGAATGGACAAACATAAAGGCTGAGAATTAAAATATGGGAGTTTTCGCGTTTATCGCGTGATACAAAAAGTTAATTTATAAATAAATATATATGTTTAGACAATGTGAGTGCTTGCTAATACTTGGCAGACATAAAATGAGAATAGATCACAAAGAGTCGCGTAAAACAGATGTTTGTTCCATATAACATGTGGGATGAATAATATCAGTAAGTTAAAAAAAAAATGGGATATGAGACTTGGAGGCACACATGGGTTCCCTCATCGTTATTCCTATCCTGTCTCCGGTCTTTTCAGGGTCCGGATCTGCATAAATAAACGAAGGAGACACGCCCGGGTTCCCGCAGTTGCCACTGCTAATCCTTCTCTTGCTGCTGCAGCAGGGCGGCGATCTCCTGGAACTTGTGCCGGAAGTCCACGCTGCTCTCGCTGATCACCGACATGCTCGACGAGGGATCCTTTCAATGGTGAAATAAAGTGTGAACCATTTTATCAAGAATGCGTTTTGAAGTAAAGGCTTACCAGTATATCCCTGGTGGCATCAATCTCGTCCAGATGCCCCAGCAGCGATGTCAGCGAGAAATCATTGATATTGTCCTCCAGCCAGCGCGCATTGGAAGTCGAGTCCTTGAGCAAGTGCATCGGGCTTACGCTGCCATGGAAGAAATTTTGTGCTGCCAGGGAAAAGATAACATTTAATAGCGAAAAGTTTGGCACTTTTTCAGTTGTGTTGTGGCATTAAATTGAGTCTAATCGAAATTTATAGATATCCAATTGCATTATATGTAAAATGTAATGTAAAACAAACAAAATATTTGTATCCAACAGAAGCTAAAAACATGATTTCGTTTTAAGATGAATGATGTGAATTTGAAAGTAAGACTTGCGAAAACCGAAACCAGGCTTAGATGTATGTCTTCCTACTTGTGCTCTCATCCTGGACCGCCTCGGCCAGGACACTGCTGACGCCGGTGGTGCTAGTGGCCACACAGATGTCCAGATTGGGCATATCTCGCGCGGCTCCCTGGGCGGTTCCCTCGTCGAAGAACTGCATCGTCTGCTGGTCCATCTGCTGCTGATACTGTGAAGGCATCGCCTCACTTACGCTGGAATCAGATCCGGAGCTGATGCCACTGGAACTGGTGCTGCCGAGGCGATCGATTGGTTCGAAGAGGCCACTGTGGAGTTGGCGGACACTCAGCAGATCGTACGGACGACCGCCAACGGAGGCGGGGGGCAGGAGACGACGCTGCACTAGCACCTGGCGACTCATCTTTTGTCGAGTGAGCTAATGAATTGGGAATTTAAGTTTAAGGGATCTAGGCCACGCCATTAGCGCAAAAACTTACCGCTGAAAGCTGGCGCACAGGATCGATGATGTTGGGTATCGGTCGCCTCACCGGCAGCATCGGGGTGCGGAAGTTGCCCTCCACCACGCCTGCTCCGCCGGCGGCCGCCGCCTCCGCCAGCTGCTGCGCCTTGCTCATCAGATCACGCTTGCGGTCGCAGGTGTGGCCGCAGGTGCACTGGCGCTTGCGTACACGCTCGCTGAGATTGGCCACCAGCAGCAGGTGCTTCAGCTTGTTGCTCACCGACGATGTGGTGACGGCCTTGACGCGTTCCACGCTATCACAGTCGTTGGGATTGTAGGGCAGCGAAGTGCTCGAGGTGACGACGGAGGAGTTGGAAGATACGATTGTTTGGCTGGCGGTGGAGGTGGAGGTGCCTGTTTGAGTGGCCACAGACGAGGAGCCGGCTGCCACTGAGTTGCTGCATGAAGTGCTGGGTGCCATGGCCATCGAGCTCTCCGTCTCACACCAGTAATACTCCAGCTCCAGCTTGGAATCCTGGCCAAAAACCACATACAGATCGCCTATGGTTATATCCGCCGCATTCGCCTCCGTCCATCCCTTGCGGATTCGCTTGAGGATCTCGTCGCTGAGCAGGGGCTTAAAATTTCGGGCCGTTGCCGCCTCTTTGGCTTCCTTGCGTTTGGAGCGAGCTGCCGTAGGAGCCACTAAAGGACCAGGTGCAGGTGTAGAAGGTGCCAGAGTGGCTGAAGGAGCGGCAGCAGAAGGAGCCAAAAGAGACGAGGTTCCCAAGGAAGTAGATTGCTCGGTGGTGGCTGGAGGAGCTGGATCAGTGGCACTTTCCGGCACAACAGCAAGGGCTGGTTGCTGTTCATCAGGTGTGGTGGGAAGAGCTGGAATCGTGGCTCCCTGCGTTTGAACCGTGGCCTCCACTATGTCAACAAGGAAGTCCTGAATCTCCTCCCCCAGCTCATCTCCGCTGCTATTCTCCATCTTAACTAGATTCCCCTCCAGAGGCACATCATCCAAACTTTTTTCCAGTGGCGGACTAGCACCCGATTTTAGTTTCTTGGACTCCGGCGAACGCTTGTCCGATCCGCTTTCCGTTCGGGGTCTCTTGCTAGCCGCCACTGGAATGCCAGGCAGGTTGCCCAACGTCTCGCTGCGCACTTTGAAGCCCATGCGCTCCTCGTAGGCGGTCAGGCAGATATTAATGCTGCTTAAATAGGCGGTGATGCTAAGCAAAGGTCGGTGGATGGCCACTCCCGGCCTGGGTTGGAAGCACAGTGAGGGATCCAGCGATGACGGAGCCGGCTGCAGTGGCTCTGGTTCATTGTTGTTGGTGGTGGTTGTAATGGTGGAAGCATTGGATGCTATGCTGGTGGAAAAGAAGACGGACTTCTCTTCGTGCAGACGCTGATTGGCACTCCGCCATTTGTACTCGAACGTCTTGATGAGACTGATTAGCTTCTTGTGCAGCGGAACTATGATTCTGCCGCGCGGGTTCTGGGCCAGGGATTGCACCCGGCCGAAGGCCTCCATGTTGGCGGGCGTCACCAGCACCTCCACCTTGCTGGGCAGACGGATGTCCTCAAGGGAATCTGTCGAGATGCAAGCATTACAAATTGGATCAGGAAGACCTCTAGAAAAAAGGACTCACCATCCAGTTGATTGAGTCGTCGTAGCGCCTTGCACGATGGCGTCTTGATGCGGATGTTCTTGCCTTTGCAGCGCACAGTAATCTGACCCTGGTAAACCAGTTGCTTCAGCTTCATAAAGTGCTTCTCCGTGAGAAACTGCAGCTTGCGCCGCATCTCGCCGTAGTTAATTAGAGTGTACAACTCCTGGGCGGGCTTTTTCAGTTCTGAAAAGTACAGAAATGTCATTTAAAGTTATATTAACTTTATAAATACATTTTACTTTAAAGTCAATCTGCATGTAAATATTTTTTAAATGGTGAAGGATATTGAATTTGGATGCCATTTCTACGAATTTATAAATTTACAGAAAATATATAGCAAATACCGATGGAAAGACGATCGCAAAAAGTTCTAGGAAATATATGGAAAAGATTCCCAGAATTGATCGATTCTCTTGAACTCAAAAAGTTATGCCGTGTAGAAATAAGAATTATAATCCATCCTTCTTTTATTATTTAAAACGTGTTTTTGGTATATTGCTGATATTTTAATTTGTTGACCTAATTTACGGATATGTGAGAAACGGCTTGTCATTGAAAGCTTCTTGGCCTTGGACAGACTGGAATGCTTTATCCGCCAGGGACTCCTGGACCACCCTTACCTTCCGAGTAGCGCACGTACTTGCAGATCTTGTGATAGGTCTGGTAGTAGTGCTGTCGCACCTGATCCTTGGTCTTGAAGCTATAATCGCTGCTGGCGTTGCGCCGCTTCAGCTTGGCATTGATGCAGTTGGCCACTGCCTCGAAGTCCTTGCCAAACTCATTGAGGGCGTCGAAGAAGCAATTGCGCTCCACATTCGTCCAGGTGGTCTTTCCACTGCCCGGTTTTAACTGGCTGGGCGTCTTCTGGGCGGCCTTCTCTTCCTTTTTGCTCACCTCCCGCTCGCTGGGGGGCGGTGTCATCGGTCGAGTCTGATCCTGCTTCATCTTCTGGATGACCCGGGCACTGGCCCGCGTTCCCGGGCAATTGTGCGTGGTCACCGAGCCGAGGAGCTCCTCCTCGGGCAGAGTGGTCTTCAAGTGCACTCCACCCTTGCCATTTGCGTTTGGCAAGGGCTCCTCGATGGATACGGCTAACGGCGGCTTGCACAGGTCCTCCATGTTGGCCAATCCACATCCGTTTGTCGCCTGGACAGGATTACCAATATTAATATCAATTAAACTGCGTAGTCTTCCGGGAAGAGTGGGAAAAATGGCGCTCGCCGCCGCCGTAGTGGCGGATTGTTTGTTATTGTCGCCGAATCGAGCGTCCGGGTTACTCTCCCACTAAACCGAAATTAGCCCGGACCTCTGCTTAGCTCCGGGGGGCACTCACCTAGAAATCGGACATGGAAAATCGGTGCTATATGGCTATATAAAAAAAGTTATTAACGAGACGCCAGGGATGTTGATGTTGGGCTTACAGTGTGCCGTTAACAGCGAAATGCGTACTGTTCGGCGCAAAGCGCTCGCTGTTAAGTTGTTTTGTTTACTCCCAGTGCTGACCGCTGAGCTATTTTCTAGCTAATTCTAGCCATTTTGCATACAGATAACGTTTAAAGTTAACGTTGGCTAAGTTTAATGGTTTTTTTTTCGCTAGCTTGTGAAAGGTTTGAATTGCTCAACCTTAAAAATAAATTAAAAATCTTTAAGAAATGGTTAGATAAATTAAAAGTTAACGAAAGTTAATGGCAGCCGTCCACTGCGCGAATATACATATTACAGCTATGGGATTTAACCAACTCTAGCGGTGGATCCAAAATTATATTAATCCATAAATTTAGGCAAAAAACAACGATATAAAATCAGAGTTTTATAAAAATTTAAATATAGCACACCAGTAAAAAATAGTTTCCTTCCTTCCTTAACTTAATATACTTAAATATATAGCAGATGATTAAGTTCCAAAAAGTATTAAAAATGTTATGAGATAAGAAATCTAAAACTTTTCTAAATAAAGAAATTTCTTCTAAGAACTATGAATAATTTATGAGCAATCAGTATCATAGTGTTTATTATATTTTAAATATTTGTTTAGTACATTAATGCTTTCATTCGTATTGAAGTGAATTCAAAATAAAACAACATTTATTTAGCTTACCAGTTTACAAGTCACTAAAAACGTGGTCCCATTTCTTGATGTATTTCAGTTTATTTTCTTAGATTTAAGACTTAAAAATATGCAAAAAAAAATTGTCTTACATGCATCACAAATAAATACCAACAAAGAGTAAAACTAACAATACGACCACAAGTATCGAGATGAGCATTATTTTTTTCTGCAATTGGAAAGGGATTCATTTGAATTTGCGACAATCTCGCAATTTTGATATTTATTCACCTTGCGCGCCCTTTTTTGGTGCTGTTCCGCCTGGTCCAGTTCGTCCGCCCCCTTGTCCACGTGGAGGGTAGCCTGCTGGGCGTGGAACTCCACCCGCTGGATCACCTCGCTCTGCTCCATCACCAAGGTCTGGATGCGCATGAACAGGGCGTGGACCTCCTCGATGGACTTCTCCAGGCGGCGGAGCTCGTTGAACCTGTCCATCATTTCGCGCAGCGTCTGCCGCTCCTTCTCCGTCTCCTGCAGGAACTGCAAATACAAATATACCGACTTAAATATGAAATATAATATTCAAATATATTATTTATTGGCTACCCTACAAACTTGAGTTAACCCTAAAATTAATATGAAATGAAAAATAATGATAGAAAAATATTTCATGAAATAAAATAAAAACTTTAAAATAAAATAGTTTAGTGCTTTTATTATGGAGATGATATAAAAGTTGTTAAACAAAATTACAAACAAAATTCTGAATAAAAACTTTTTCTCCCATTCAAAATGTTGTAAATACATACATATGTTGTAAAATATATATGTGTCCATTATTTTACAGTAGTGATTTAAAGCGAAATTAAAAACTTGCCTGACCTATTAAAATTCAGTTTAAAAACATGTGCAGATTTACATGTTTTTACAAGATTTCTAAATGTGGATTAACAACAATAATATCAAACAGATGTTGCTATTGTATTATGTTTTTCTTATAATTTATTCTACACTTACGTTATCCACAAAGAGTTTGGTTGTCTTGTTTTCGATGAGTAACTCGATTTCTTGTTCGCTGGCTTCTGAATTAACTAAAAAGAAACAAATGTTAAAAAATTCGCTTGACATTTAATTGAAGGGGAAAAAAAGAGTAAAGTTAAAAGTCTAATAAAGAGAAGTCCATAGTTTTAAAAAGATCAAACAACTTCATTTATATTGAATAAGAGCATAGGTTTGTCCCTAATTACAAATGCACTTACTAATTTTTGAATGCAGTCTCAGATTTTTTTTGACTTTCGTCTCGTAGTTTTGCAGGAACAGTTCGTTTTTATGCCACAGATTTATGAAGGTCTGGTGGAGGCCGTAAAAGAGTGTCCTTTTCATCCTCGCCTCCAAACTGTAATCGTTTTCCGCCGGCAGGTTAGTCTTGAAGTCCTTGAATCGGGACATCAGCTGATTGCCCAGCTTTAGGTTCTTGCTGTGAAGCTCATCCATCTCGTTCTCTGGAGATTTGGGTCAGTGTTAAAGACAGTAACCTTTTTTTCAGAACCCATTCTCACCGTTGAAAGTTCGCAGGTTAATGGTTTGAGACATGCGGTTCATTGCCTCCAAATTGGCGGCTATCTGTGCGAGTTGTTGTCGTATCTCCGTGTACTAAAGATATAAAATAGTTTATATAATAACGGTAATGTGTATATCCGGGCTTGCTGATTTTTTAATTTAAAAATTAAATTATTTCAAAAATCCCCTTCCATCTTGTCAGCGACCCTTAACTTAAAAAATAATCTTAATATAAAATTTAAAAACCTTTCACTTTAGTTGTCAGTCTCAGTAGATTTTGTTTCTATCCCTAGTGTATAAAAATGTTTACCTCTTTATAGAGTAAGCTGCTAGATATTTTCTTGATAGTATTTTATTATGAGATTCAAAATTGTGTTCTAAACATAAATTAATAAATATATAATTAATAAATGAAAATATTATATATATGTAAACATGTTAATATTTTGTAAAGTTTAGTTTATTAAAATGAAAAAAAAATCAACAATTTCTACCGGTTGCTAAGTGCGAAATGTTTGTTTACATTGGCGGAGAGTTGAAAAACCCCCTAAAACAAAGTGGGCGGGACTTTACTCTCCACACTGCTCTCTTAACTTCCCGTGACCACAACAACACACACTTAATGAAGAAACGGTTCATTTCTACACTTATCACGAGTTTTTGCGATTGAGTAATACATCTGATTCATATATAAGCCTTCAAAAAAAAAGAGGGTTTCTCCCTCTCTGGCTTTCTGTTCTAAAACTCTCATAGAGAGAAAATGTTATACTAATTAACTGGATATTAACGCAGGTTGTTAAGATTGTTCTCTTTTTCTAGACATAAATGTATCTTACAGATACGCTTTAGTTTCTAATCTTGAAGAGAAGATGAAATCACAAAGTTATTAAAGTTAAAATTTAACATTTAATTCTCGTATTTTTATTTTTTGAATGCATCATTGAAAAATGTTCACTTTTATAAATAAATTTGAATCACTTGCAGATGCTTGAATATATCACAAATCCTTGTTAGATACTCACCGGATTGAGAATATCGTCCACATTTGATCCATACTGCGTCATTTTCGAACTCAGCCGATCCTTCGTTTCACTATTAATATTATTATTATTGCTGTTGGTTTGGCTGATGACACTGTAGCTATTGTTGCTGCCGCCGGTGTTGTTGATAATGAACTCCGTGGTTCCACTGTACACGTTCAAAAGCAGTGAACCGTTGGACGATGAATTCGAGTTCGTGCTCAACGAGCGCTGGAACAAAAAAAAAATTCCGAAATAAATTCAATATAGGTCCATGCGATCTTAACGAACTGCAGCGAAAAACTGAGAAAAAACTAAATAGAAACTACCAACTTTGGTTGAGTTTTTATTTACGTTTGTGTGTTCACAATCTGGCGCGGTGTAAATGAACAATAAAAATGACTTCGGTACTGAAATTCACTTAGTGCTAAAAGTTTGGAGGGGGGCGGTGGGGCAGAAGGGCGTGTGTGTGCCCCGTAAGTGTGATGTGTAGCCACATTATCGCTGTTATCTCTGGCCGATCTGATAAATACATGGAGAACCCCCACCAATCTCCGCTGGTTCTCAATTCGAAATAGTGCCAAAAGTGCCCATAGAATTGTGAGAAATTGAGCGAATAGTAAAGAAAACGCAGAACGGTGGTAAAAACTATACCAAATGTGTTTCAATATCTCACGTTCTATTATTTAGAAGCTTCTTGAATACAATATGATTAATTTCAAGTCCTTCCGAATGTCTTTGCAAATCAGGAATGACAGAAATCTTAGAGAACTTCTGATGTGTTCAACGTTATAATCGAAGCTGTGTTCTTGCTGTTTTTAAACATGTTTAAATTTGTACAACTGAATATAAATATTAATAAAATTAATTTGTATATATAGTATAGTTTAGTATTTTTCCTTAGTGAATTTATCATATTGTTTCGATATTGGTTTACATCTTTTAGGTAATTTCGTTTTTTACACATTCTAAACTAAACAAAACTCCATTAATAGGTGATTGTAAACAGTTAATTTCATTTTTTTTTAATTCAAATTTATTTTTTAATGTTGTTGAACCACTGTGCTTGAAGCTAATTAGCAGTTACCTCATCCACACCTCACAACCGCCCACATACCTAATGTTTTCTTATTGTTGCTTCACTTACCTGCAAAAGCTCAGGTAGTCGATCTTTTCCCATTTTTGCTTCTTGGAGTAAATTTTAAATTTATTTTAACTTTTAAATAATTTTTTCAGATATGTTGTTGTTGTTCCTTTAAGGCGTTTCGAAATGTTCGTTTTATATTTTGCAGCGGTTCTGAGCTTTGTTCTTATTTTTTGTTGTTGTTGCCTTCAACAGCTGTTCGCGAATGGAAATACTAGAATTGAGAGTGAAAAAGAGAGCGAGACTTGTCACTTTATCTGTTATCAAAGCTTATCAGCTGGCCTGATAAGGACTACCTAAATATTTACGGAATGCCCTTCACAAAGAGAAAGAGAGGGGTGAACAAACTAGAGTGGGAGGGGTATTGTAAGAGTGATAGAGAGAGCGAAGCCCCTACTATCACTTATCACCTTTTTGCCATTTATTTGCCGCTCTTTTCACTCAGTTTCCTCTATTTCTCTCGTTTCACCACACTTTTCCACACACACAAAACAAAATGTTTTTTTTGAAAAATTACTTTTCTATATTTTAAAAACTTTTAATATTATTCCGCTACATTTTCTGCCGCCATTCAATTTATTGGAAATCGATTCCTTTGTGTTGACCGCGCCGCATTCGTTTTCGAACTAAAACGCAGGCACAAAAAACGCAGAGCCTCCAAGTCGCGTTGAGATTTCTTTCAATTCAAAAAGATTAAAGACAGCAAACACTGTGAGTACAGCTGGATTCATATTAATAGTAGTTATCTGCAAAACGTTTTTTATGATCTTTCAAAACCAACATACATACAATCCATACATATATGAACATAAAAAAATAATACTAAATATTTCCTATTATTTGTATAGCTTGTATTCATAAATACATTTATAAGTTTATTTTTAGGGTTTTCTTTAAAATCCAGGCTTAGACTTAACTTATTTTATAACTTTAATTAGTAACATTTAGTTTTTCATTCAGTTTTTTTTAAAGGAAAAAGTCATTTTTAAAAATGTTGCTCATTGAAAACTACAGAAAACTATTTTCCTTTACGAATTGTTTCAAATTGCTTACAAATTATTTCTTTAAATTAAGCAGAAACTACCCACTACTTTTTTTAACATAACTGTTTTTCATACGTTCGTGTGATTTCGCTGGAGAGCGATAAAGATGGAGAGTCGTACTATATTATGTGTAGTTAGTTACGATCTACATTTTTTGTTGTCTCCGAATAAAATGAATAAATCGTCTTTTGCCCCCGAAATGAAAACTGGTTGGCGTCGGAGAAAAATGTGTTAATTGTTTTTATTATTATTATTACTTTGCTGTATGGTGAATTTTTCAACATTGTTCTGCCATTGTTATAGTAGTTTTTTCACGCTCTATGTCGCTGTTCAATTGAAAAAAAGGAAAAATAGAAATAAAAATAAACCTGCGACAACAACGTTCAAAAGTCACTTGCGCTAATTAGTTGAACTTTTTTCTATTGCTGTTTGCTTGCTATAATACTCTCATATGCATTTTACAGGGTATCATCGGGTGGAATTGATGTAGGTCAAGGGTGTATTCATTGTCACATTTTCAGAGAAATGCTTATGTCAAATAATACCCAAAGTAAATTATTTACAACCGCCCATTACTCAAATATTTTTAGTATCACTGCAGTATTATCTTTTTAATCGAATACATAAGCCCTTTAAATGTTGCGTAAAAATTCAAATTTTAAAATCAATTATTATTAATTGAAATCCACGTTTGTATGTACTCTAAGTTTTTAGGATTTTTGATCGTTTTAACTTTGAAGCCAATTATGGTGAACTTTAGGCACTTTTTTTGTTTTTTTTTACAAAGTGCAGTTTCCTTACAGGGTATTTTCCTAGTGTACCCTATTTTTTTAATTTCTACTATTGCGGTTGAAAAACGAAGCTTATGAACTGCCCTCAACTACGTCAACAACAACAATAAAAAACAAAACCATCAACACCAGACAGTTGCGAATTTCCATTTCTCAAGTTGCCATGCCATAGAAAGAGATGGCACACAAGAATAGCAACGGGCATCCTTCTCGCTCTAATGATTCTACAAAAAGAGTAAGTAAACGTGATATATTGATACTTTGAATTGTATTGCATGTACCGCCATAAGGTTAAGACATTTAAATCAATTAACCAAAATAAATTGAGCTATGCGAATTAGTAATATACTAATTTTTGTAAATTAAAGTTTAATGAAATATTGTGTGGCTTAAAAATATTTTTTTTATTTTTAAATCAAAAGATTTGGGTATGGTTTTTATCATGTAATTTATGTGTAAGCTTTAGGGTATTCAAAATATTACTTCATTTATTAAAAAAATATTATTAGTAATTTTTTCGCACTGTTCAAAGTTTAACAAGTTCAAGTTGCATTCTTGACCCATGGAATTTTAAACCTTCAATCGCTTATCAGTTAAGTTCTTCAAAGTATTATGTGACGTCCAAATGTCATTTACCTGGGAATTGCCAATGGGTATTACCCCCCTCGCTTCTTTTTTCAGTGATTCATCTCCGATTTCTTGCTTAATTCTTATTAAAAGTCATTAAATTGCTCGAAAGTCGTGAATTCATAAATAAGTATGTAAACACCTCTGACTCAATGGAGATATTGCACATATATATAAAACACATATACATACATACAAATATGCGTATGTATGTATATGTGTTTTATTAATACAAAAAGTTTTAACAAAGCTAAATTCAATTTAAGTAGAGTGGCGAGAAATTCTTTATAAAGCAATTCCATACAAGCTGTTTATTTTTATCAATCCGTGGGATCCATTCGGCTGGGAAAGGTGCCTCTAAATTTTTTTAGTAACAATACAATAATGTTAAAACCAGTTTATTAATACGTTTTTTTTTTAATTGTGAAGTTATTATTAATAGAGTTTCATGTACATATAACAGATTAACCATATGTATTTCCGTTCTCGTTCAATTATAGTCATCTTATTTACTTTGCATTTATTTTTTAAACTTTATTGAACTAACTTGTTTTGGTTTTTTCTTCTTTAATATAAATGTGTGAAAAGTGACAACGTATTAGAAAAACTCCGTCCTCTGAGCCCCTGATCTCTTATTTCTTGCCAACTTCACGTTTAACATCTTTTTGCACATTGTTTCATTGATTAACTACAAACAAGGAGGACCGTAAAGGGGAAATATTGCCATAGGCAGTCAAGTTTATTGTCCTGGTTTTTTGTTAGTTTTCTCGGGTTTCGCGCTTTCCTTTTGTTTACAATTTATTTTGTCATGTGTCGAAAATTGCAAATTTATGAGTTTTTGATGAGTCTTTTTGTGCGTTGTCCCCACCTTAGTTACCACTTCTGTTGTTATTTTTTGTTTGTTTTTATTTGGGTCAGAGGCTCACGCACAAAACGAGAAATGAAAATTCGGGGAGCAAGTGGAGGAGATGGGAAAAGCGATAGCCTTGGGAAAATCAGAGGGGTGGCGAGGGAGGTTGTGTGTGCGCTTTTTGACTTTTGATTAAATTCGCAAGCGTCAAAAAACTAAAAAAATATATATTTGTGTATATGGCCACGTAGAATGATACAAAAAAGGATAATAAATAATTGAAAATGTGCAGAATGGACTAGACTAGCAGACATCCTGCTATTTTGATGTATTCTTTTGAAAAGTAACACAGAATAAGTTTTGAATTGAAGAAATATTTAAATATAAAATTGACATAGAATTTTAAGATGGACAAGAAAGTTTTAGGTAAAATATTTTTTATTATATAATAAATTTAATTAAATTAAATTGGTATCTACCTTGCAATAATAGTTTAAATATTTTCACCACATTGACCCACCCATTTAAATTTGTCGAACTACCCAATCATACTCTCCATATTGGTAGCAGAATATATCCAAACATTTCACGTACCAAAAAAACTGTAGACAAATTGCTTTTAAAGCCTTTAAGGCATACTGTAAGTGCAGGACGATGGGAAAAAGGATGAGAAGGTTGATCCGCACCAATTTAAATGCGCGCCCAAAACTATGCAACGAAATTTCATATTTCTCTTTTCCATTTGCATAAAAGTCACACCAACGAAACCAAAAACCAAAAGTTCCCACTTCCACTTCCATGTTGGTTTATTTCTGTTTTTTTTTTTTGTGTTACTAATGCAAATTTTTGTCTAGTTGCGGTCAGGATAAGTGTTTGGTTTCGATGGTTTTCAGCGGAGTGTCCTTCACGTGGGGCGTGCACCTCATCATAATGTGAATTATTCATTTGTTTATGCTCTTAGTTTATGTTTTAATTAAACTCGTTGGATGTGACAAGGCCGGGGGTGGTTTTTATTCATAGTTATTTGGGTTTTGCATGAACCGATGGGGCGTATGAGTGTTGCGAACTGTGACAGATTTCCACAAATCCCGTGTATTCCTTGGTACTTTTCCCCTAAGGAAAAATGATTTTACTTATAATTTTATTAAAAATTAAATTATAATTTTATTAAAAAAAAAGTTCAATAGGAATCAGTGTTGTTATGGAAATTAGACTGACACACGGTGCGTATGCGTAATATGTTAGATATGTTATCTTTCGCTACATTCTTTTTTATTTCATTTGGCTTAAGTTCGTATATTCGTAAGGGAATTGTATTTGTATTATATAATACTTTTCCTAAAATCTAGGATATTAAACAGTGTAACTTTCTTAAAACTTTAAGTGGCTTAAAGTTGGGACTCCAAAAAAGGCATAAGATCCAGAGCAGGCAATGAAAATTGCCAAGTGGCATTATTTATCGTGTACGCAACGGGGGGTATAACACTCACTCACACACACACACACACACCTACACACACACATAGACAAGATAGAGCGGAAGGGGGCAAAACAAAATGGCGCTGCATTCATAATGGCGGTTGGTGGTTCGGTCGCTTCCTGTCGTCGTTCCGTCGGCGCTCCGGTTCTCCTTGTCGCAGCGGATGCTTGGCATTTATTGCAGGCGACAATATTTTGCTTTGCCCTGCACCATCTCAGCGCCTTGGCACCGACCCCCGCCCCCCGCCACCACCCACTGGCCACGCACTGAAAACTATTTTATAGCTAAATTTAATGATATTACCAAAGGGTAATACATTTTGGCCTTTAATGTTCTTCAATATCCGTAATAAGAGTTTTTTATCTTTTTATATTCACCAAAGTATCAATATGTTGTAAGCTATATTTCTTTATTTATCAAAAAATAAATAGATTTTTAAATTTGAAAATAGCTAAATGCATAAGTGAATATTGTGAATAAATAGCAAAAAAATATAGCCTCTTCGTATCAAATTCGTAAACATTTATTGCTTTTTATTAATGTTACATTAATTAACATATTCTTTTGTAATACAAATTAATTTTTAAAATTTTTGCCAGTGCATTCTTTTTGTGTGTGCATCCAATGTTTTGCCTTGTCATTGTCAGCAGGCGATAGAAGCTCGCTGAGAGCCAAGGAAATTTTTACTCCTATTTGTTTATAATAAAGTCACAAAAGGACAACAAAGCACTCTTCGTCGATAGGATGCGGGGCGGTGATGAACGGCGACAGGAAGTGACACGTTCGCCAAGCCGATGGATACTCGTAGTCCTG